CAATCTGACATTAAATATCAATCTGACATTAAATATCAATCTGACATTAAATATCAATCTGACATTAAATATCAATCTGACATTAAATATCAATCTGACCGACATTAAATATCAATCTGACATTAAATATCAATCTGACATTAAATATCAATCTGACATTAAATATCAATCTGACATTAAATATCAATCTGACCGACATTAAATATCAATCTGACATTAAATATCAATCTGACATTAAATATCAATCTGACTGACATTAAATATCAATCTGACATTAAATATCAATCTGACATTAAATATCAATCTGACTGACATTAAATATCAATCTGACATTAAATATCAATCTGACATTAAATATCAATCTGACATTAAATATCAATCTGACTGACATTAAATATCAATCTGACATTAAATATCAATCTGACATTAAATATCAATCTGACAATCTGACATTAAATATCAATCTGACTGACATTAAATATCAATCTGACATTAAATATCAATCTGACTGACATTAAATATCAATCTGACTGACATTAAATATCAGTCTGAAATTAAATATCAATCTGACATTAAATATCAATCTGACCGACATTAAATATCAATCTGACTGACATTAAATATCAGTCTGAAATTAAATATCAATCTGACATTAAATATCAATCTGACCGACATTAAATATCAATCTGACTGACATTAAATATCAATCTGACTGACATTAAATATCAATCTGACATTAAATATCAATCTGACTGACATTAAATATCAATCTGACTGACATTAAATATCAATCTGACCGACATTAAATATCAATCTGACATTAAATATATCTGACATTAAATATCAATCTGACATTAAATATCAATCTGACATTAAATATCAATCTGACCGACATTAAATATCAATCTGACATTAAATATCAATCTGACCGACATTAAATATCAGTCTGACATTAAATATCAATCTGACATTAAATATCAATCTGACATTGAATATCAATCTGACTGACATTAAATATCAATCTGACATTAAATATCAATCTGTCATTAAATTTAAATCTGAAATTAACTATCAAACTGACATTAAATATCAATCTGACATTAAATATCAATCTGACATTAAATATCAATCTGACTGACATTAAATATCAATCTGACATTAAATATCAATCTGACATTAAATATCAATCTGACCGACATTAAATATCAATCTGACATTAAATATCAATCTGACATTAAATATCAATCTGACATTAAATATCAATCTGACATTAAATATCAATCTGACATTAAATATCAATCTGACTGACATTAAATATCAATCTGACTGACATTAAATATCAGTCTGAAATTAAATATCAATCTGACATTAAATATCAATCTGACATTAAATATCAATCTGACATTAAATATCAATCTGACCGACATTAAATATCAATCTGACATTAAATATCAATCTGACATTAAATATCAATCTGACTGACATTAAATATCAATCTGACCGACATTAAATATCAATCTGACCGACATTAAATATCAGTCTGACATTAAATATCAATCTGACCGACATTAAATATCAATCTGACATTAAATATCAATCTGACATTTAATATCAATGACATTAAATATCAATCTGACATTAAATATCAATGACTGACATTAAATATACTGACATTAAATATCAATCTGACTGACATTAAATATCAATCTGACATTAAATATCAATCTGACATTAAATATCAATCTGACATTAAATATCAATCTGACATTAAATATCAATCTGACCGACATTAAATATCAATCTGACATTAAATATCAATCTGACCGACATTAAATATCAATCTGACATTAAATATCAATCTGACATTAAATATCAATCTGACCGACATTAAATATCAATCTGACATTAAATATCAATCTGACTGACATTAAATATCAATCTGACATTAAATATCAATCTGACCGACATTAAATATCAATCTGACATTAAATATCAATCTGACATTAAATATCAATCTGACTGACATTAAATATCAATCTGACATTAAATATCAATCTGACATTAAATATCAATCTGACCGACATTAAATATCAATCTGACCGACATTAAATATCAATCTGACTGACATTAAATATCAATCTGACATTAAATATCAATCTGACATTAAATATCAATCTGACCGACATTAAATATCAATCTGGCTTATCTACAAAATTTTGTGTGATTCATATTAGAATTTTTTTAATGACCTCTTATTAACACTATCTAAACTTTGAGCAAGTGGGGTCAAGGGTCATAGTGGTAATAAGGATCACAAAGCAGGCCTCCAGTAGATTCTTATAAGACTGAACAAGACATCAAAGAGGGATCTTAGAGCCCAACATTGTTTGATCTTTATATGCTCTTCAAAATTAGGATCTTTTCCCTTCTTTTCTCTTTTTGGTTTTTGCTCTTAATGATGACATTTGAACATTCCTTTGCAGAAAGAAATGATAAACTTGACCTGCCAAATCCAAAATGGCCACCTGGAAGCCATTTTGTTTCTTCTGATCAGTCCCAAAAGCAAACAAGCACAAGGAGAGCTTAAAGGGAACATACGTCTGAAATTTGAGATATTCATTCAGTGCTTCTTCAGAAATAACAATAACAATCTTTGCTAATCAAAATTCAAAATGGCTGCCTGTCGGCCATCTTGTTTTTCTAATCAGTCCCAATCTCAAAGAGGCACAAGTAGGGACCTAAATAACCCTATACATGAAATTTGAGAAAGATCTATAAAGTAGTTCTCAAGAAATAGTGATAAACTTTCAAAGTCAATATCCAAGATGGGCACCTATCAGCCATTTTGTTTTTTCTGATCAGTCCCAAAATAAAATGGGCACAACTAGATAGCAGGGGAAACCTATGTCTGAAATTTGAGAGTGATCCACCTCTTCCTTTTCAAGAAATAGTGATAACAAACTTCACTGAAAATATCCAAGATGACTGCCTGTCTGCCTTTTTGTTTTTTTTTATCAGTCCCAAAATCAAATGGGCACAACTAGGGAACAGGGGTTCATCTAGGACTTCTCAAGAAATAGTGAAAACAAAAATTGTTTATGGACGGACAGACGGACGGACGGACCATGGACGCAGAGCAATTTGAATAGTCCAACCTCTGATTACGGTGGGCTAAAAACAGATTGAATAACAAATGGTTCTCTTTCACTTAACAAACAACAAACAGCTTTAACTAATATTTATTTTTTTTTTATTATTTTTAATATATATTTTTTTTGTAATAAATTTTGTATGCAGAAAAATAAACAATTGTATACATAATATTAAAATGGAATTCAGGTAATTCTCTAGATTACAAACATCATTAGAAATTTTGGACTCATAAATTATGCAACAGATATTTTTATTGCATTCATTTCCCTTTTATAAACATTTTCCCTTTTCCCCACAGAAGTTATACTGATTTTAATTCATACTGTAGCCACTATCTCAGTCAGATTTGATTTTTCATCAAATTTGTACACTTATTGAAAATGTTGAAAATTTTGATCAGTTCATTGTTATGTACATGGACCAGCCACAAATATATATTCATATGTAAAAACCATTGTACACCAACTTTATAACATAGGGAAAAAATATAACTAGAAAACATTACCATAGTTACGATATATGTTATACTATTACCAATCCTCCTATCAAAAGCAACATAAAACACAAAAATAAACTACCTTCAAATGTAAGTGGACGGAGAAATACACAATTTCTGTTTAAATTAAACATTTGTTACAAAATGTGAACACGAAGAAATTAAAAATTTAATAAATTATTAACATATTTTTGATACAAGTCATTTCAACACCAAACTGTGTTGTACGTCATGAAAACTGTTGTGAAATAAACAAATGAAATCTACACTCTGGTTAGTACAAATGAAAAGATTCTTAGCAACAATTTTCATTTGACAATGTTTTTTCAGAAATTTAAGTCATTTGTATTCTGGGCCGGCCAAAATATTTATAATACAGTCTTAATACATGAAACAGTGCTGTTATCAAATGAAAATTGTTGTCTTGTTAAGCAGTCAAACATCATTAAATAAAGCTGAAATGTGACGATATTTTACTCTTTCATTCTTTGAATATAATTTCTTTTGATCAATACTTTGAAATCACTTAATGTAGAAATAAGACATTATTTCATTTAAATTGCAGAATAACAAATCAATGATACCAATTATCATCAAAACTATTTATGTTGATGGATATAAATTCACAAAAAGAATTCAATAAAATACTGTAATGTGTTTGGAAAAAATGTCACAACATAAAAAAGTAGAACAGAATTAAGTTTGATAAGAAAATGGATTATTTAACGGTACAGGAACTTGTGGAATGTACTGTTTTATATGTCATTTTATATTAAATACTTTAACATTAAAACAGAAAACTCAATTAGGTAATTTCAATTAACAGCAAATTTGTGTTGTAGTAAATAAGGAACAATCACCATCATATAAAAAAATGTCTTAAAATTTCTGTTTCCAGACTTTTGTAAATGCGTTTATTTCTTGAATGTTTGTTTTCCATGTGAATTGGTTTTAATGTTAATTTCTTAAGTTCCTTTAAGTGAATAAAGATAAGTTACGCTATCAGTATATGGAATGTCATATGAAACATTTAGTAAAAGATATTCTAGCTAAGTACACAAAAATATAGTACAAATTCTATCACAGTCATTCTTCTTTGGGACGGTTCATTGTTTGGGACGGTTCAGGTTGTTGTTTGGGACGGTTCAGGTTGTTGTTTGGGACGGTTCAGATTGTTGTTTGGGACGGTTCAGATTGTTGTTTGGGACGGTTCAGATTCTCGTAACATTATCTGATGCATATTGTATCATAAAAAATGTTTTTTAAAAAACTATGTCTTTATATATCAATCATTTCTTCAACTATTTTCATTTTTTCAAAATTAACCCGAAATTGATTTTTCGCACCAACCAGTAATATAGTTAATTTACCAATGAATGGTTTGCTTAGAAAAACTCACACATATATATACATATATCCTCAAATAGATTTCCACATTTTTGGTCCCAATTTGAATCCTAGAGAATCACAAATACTGGTCAGAAGTCTATAGTGGTAAACCCTTTATCTTCTCTTGGATTTCAGCTCTTTTTCTTTCTTTGTTATATCAGCCTCAAGACAAGAAATCCTCTTCAGCAGATCGTTTTTCTTGGCGAGCACTGTCACGAGCTGATCACGGGCTTGGCCCAACCGGTCCCCTGGGGATGCACTCTGTTCCAGCTCCTTAATACCCTGCCTCAAGTCAGCTTCAGATTTCATCGCCTAAAGACAAAACAAGATGTTCCTTACATCAGCATTTCATAAGAATTTCTCAGTAGCGTCATGATATATACAAACGAAACAGAGGGTGTTTTTATACCAGATATGGTAAAAGATTAATTTCTTGATAATACAAGGTTTGTACAAAATGGCAAAGGAAATCAATGACTTAAAAGAATACAGTTTGATCTAATGATTTCCATAAGCATTATATTTGCATAAAACTTCCACATCTACTTCGAAATCATTCAATTCCATGGTGAATTGTTTTGTTGATTTTGCAGGCATTCTTAATCCATGAATTCATATGACCATGAACGGTATAAGTATAAGTTGATTTACTGAGCTATTTTAATCCATGAATTCATATGACCATGAACGGTATAAGTATAAGTTGATTTACTGAGCTATTTTAATCCATGAATTCATATGACCATGAACGGTATAAGTATAAGTTGATTTACTGAGCTATTTTAATCCATGAATTCATATGACCATGAACGGTATAAGTATAAGTTGATTTACTGAGCTATTTTAATCCATGAATTCATATGACCATGAACGGTATAAGTATAAGTTGATTTACTGAGCTATTTTAATCCATGAATTCATATGACCATGAACGGTTAAGATTTTATAAAAAAAGTACAAATATTGAACTTCACGAAAATATGTGATTTTAAACTTTTTTTAAAATTATCAATTTCCTTGGTACATTTTACAAACAGTAGAATACGTTGTATACCCATACCTTGAAGTAAGTACTACAGTACATTGTATATATATATATATAAATCCTATATGAGAGATGTTAGATATAAACATACCTCTGCCAAATCCTTGTTCATTGTATCGTTGCGAGCCTCCATGTCGATGAGCTGAGTGTCCAGAACATCTCTGGGGGACTTCATGGGGGGCATAATCCTTCGCCTCATTGGGCTGTGTGAACATGTACAATTATAATTATTATGTACTAAACCAGCCTCGCTGTTTATTTCTAAATTTTAATAAGTAGCTTTTCATTGATGAGTTAATGTCAGGTCTTCTTTGTTAATCAGTTGTACTTTGCACAATTTTTCATTTTTTTTTCTCTTTAAACGACTTTTGATTTGTGAAAGTTATCTCACCTTGGTCTTGGAGATGGAGTTGGACTCCTAAAGCCTTTAAGCTCGGACATTCGAGAGCTAACAAAGTCGCTGGTTGCTAACACACCTCCCTTGGAGGACAGATATTGTCGTAGACGTGCATTGCTGGCAAGAGTCTCTGAACCATACAACCTCTGTGACATTTGCTGTGAGTTTAGAAGGAATGACATCAGTATTTGGCCTATTTTCTAATCTAAGCCTCTACACAGTAGAAAACTGTACACATATTTATCAAAGCCTAGATTTCCTTCAAAGCCTAGATTTCCTTCAAATGAATTCCTAAACAACCTTAAAGTTTGAAAACATTAAATGAAAAAAAAATCAGATGGTTGAATAAATTGACTTTAGATTGTGGTAGCAATAAAGGACAAAACATTCCGTCAACTTTTGCTTGTGACTTTCAAACATTGACCTTGACCTCTCTGATACCAATGTAATTTGAGACACAATGATTCTGAGAGTGTTTACCTGGTCAGAGAAATCAAGTCGGGTTGGTCCATCAATCTTCATATCAACTAACTCGTCAATCATCAATATCTTCTCATCCTGGTTTTTAACACTTCCCAAAGCCTGTTCAAGAGCCACTCTGCTATTGGTGGATGGTGAGCCAATCAGACCCTGTGTTGCTGGTGTGTTTTTAGCCCTAGAGAAGAACATGTCCTGGCAGACTACTCTTAATCCCTGAAACAGAATATTTAATTATAAAATTGAAATTTGGAATATGTCATGTGTTCATCACTTCTCAAACTGAGCATTATGTTTTTCATGTTGAAATAAATTCTTCACGATATTTACAGATCATCATATCTTTCTGGAGATATGATGACCATTTGTGTGTTCACCTGTAAACTGCCATGGTTATTTTGAGGTGGGGTCTTTGTGTAGAATCTACCTTACTGATTAACGTATGAAACGTCTGTCACAAGCCATCTAGAGTCATCAAGATTACGTGTCTTGTTTAAGAAGACAGCTAACTGCTATCAAAACTGAGTTAAACAGGCCACAAACAATACAATGTCATGATACAGGGGACTTGGCTGGTTCTTTATCTCAATTACAAAGATTTAAAAATAGAAAATTACACCATACAAACAATACAATAGGTGCATAAAGGCTATCACTGAAACAGGAAGGTCAGATTTGTACAAAAGCTGTAATGGTAATGATTGTTGAACTTTATAAAAATGATCTCACCTTGTAGAATTCTCTCATGAACAGTGTATTACTGTCATCGGTCATGTCTCCAGCTTTGATGTGAGCCAGGGAATGTAAGATCACCACAACAAATTCACCGATAGAGTCCATCCTCTCGCGCCGTACAAACAAGATCTTGCGAGCATGTTCGAAATGCACTGAATTTCTAAATGCATTGCGTTCGTAATTGTTCTTGGGGAGGTTGGAGGCCAACAGAAGACTGACATCTGGAGTTCCAATTGCCTGATGTAGCATTCGAATTATGAACACACCGAAACGATACACAACAAACTGACTAGGTGAAATACTGTTAATGTTCACAGGGGCAAGGTCACCTTTAGACTGCCACTGAGCGTCCTTCACATCGATGTAAGACTTAGAATAATCAGCACCTGAAAGATAAACATGTAGGCTAAAGACATATTGTATCATGAGGAAATCACACATACCATATTTATCAGTTACTAAGCCCATGTCTTGTAATGTACCCACCCATTTCTTTAACAATCTGTAGCATAGCCAGCAAATAAATCTTTCAATCATCCCTAGAAAGTCAACCACCCAACTTTGAATCAGGGGCAATATATAAGCTCCCTGGGTAAAATATTAAACAGAAATATTTAGAGAAGTAAACTTATACAACCCTAGGTAATCAGGGGCAATGTATAAGCCCCCTGGGTATATTAAACAGAAATATTTAGAGAAGTAAACACCTTTTTACAACCCTAGGTAATCAGGGGCAATATATAAGCCCCCTGGGTATATTAAACAGAAATATTTAGAGAAGTAAACACCTTTTTACAACCCTAGGTAATCAGGGGTAATGTATAAGCCCCCTGGGTATATTAAACAGAAATATTTAGAGAAGTAAACTTTTTACAACCCTCAGTAATCAAGAAATGATATTAAAGTATATACAATATATGCATAAAAGCAAAATAAAGAAATTCACAAATCATTGTTCAAAGTATATCATTGTTCAAAGTATATCATTGTTCAAAGTATATCATTGTTCAAAATATATGATTGTTCACAGTATATCATTGTTTACAATATATCATTGTTCACAATATATCGTTACAACCAGATACTCTTTATTCGTGACTTTCATAACTTTCCACCTCTATTTAGAGAAAGGTGAAGAGTTGCTGAGGGTGACCTCATATTAAATCAAATTTATATGGTACGGCTACCTATAACTAGGTTTTTAAAGAAGAGTATTTAACAACGAGACCAGTACCTGATAAAGGTCTGCAATACATATTTGTGAGGTGGATACTGATGTGGATACTGATGTGTGAGGTGGATACTGATGTGTGAGGTGGACACTGACAGAAGATGATGTACAACTTACCAAGAACTCGGTCAAGTGACCCTGATCCACCCTCACTGTTATCTAGCATGTTGGCCAAGTCGTTGATCTGTTTAAACAGTGGAGACATCATCAACATGTTCACCCAGTCCTGCTCAGCATTGCCTGATGAGGTAAATCCACCTGGTGTTGAAGTGGACGCTGGAGTTGGTACAGAAGCCAATCCAAACTGGTCCTTCTCAGCGGTCTTTGGTAGACTGCTCTGTAGCATACCTTCCTGTTGTCGACTGACAAGGTCGGCCTGTTGATCCTGGTTACCATCCATCAGACTCTGTTTTTCCAGCTTGGCTCGTTCTGCAGCAAGGCGTCGTTGTTTCCTGGCCTCTAGACGTGACTTCAGCGTGTCTTTGCTCCTTGCGTGGTCCTTCTGCATAGTTTCTTTCAGTCTCGCCATGTTCTCGTCATGTTCACGAAGCAATCGTGTCTTCTCATCTTCACTCATATTTGATTTCTTTATTTCTTCCTTCTGTTTTCGATCACGTTCCTCTAGTTGTTGTTTCCTCAGTCTTTCCTTCTCAGCCTCACGTTCACGAGCCCGCTGTGCTTCTAGTTCTCCCTCCTTCTCAAGATCCTGCTCCATTTGTCTGTAAGAAAATCAAAACTTCTTAAATTGCTCTTGTCAGTCTTGAAGAACACATAAAAGTTTTACTTTGATACTTAAACCCTAGGCATGATTTCAAGAGTGAAAAACTTTGGTAGACACTGCAAAACTGGACAAAATTCCTCATGTTAGATTTGATTTGTTGCAGTTCAACCTTGTGGTTTTAATAATAGATTTGTGTGACAGGAAACTCATTATATTGATATTCAAAAGTAATTAATCTCAAAGTCAACTTTTTTCAAAACCTAATCACCTCAGTTTCTCTAACAAGGCACGTTTCCTTTCATCTTCTCGCTGTTTCTCGTCTGCCTTGCGTCTTTCTAGCTCTTCCTGCATTCGTTTCATGATGCTATTTTTGTAGTGGTTGGCCTCCTCCATCGCCAGGCGTGCCTCCTCCTGGTACTGTTTGTATAGTTCCTCGCTAGGCGAGTATCGCTTCATGGCATCGGCTAGCTCTTGTAGCTGCTTCTCCTTGAGTTCCAGACGTGCGTACATCTGTTGTACTTCCTGTTGGGGCGTTGTCTCCTTTTCTGCTTGTGTAATCAGCTGTGTTGTCAAGTTATCGAAGTCCTTCAGAGTTTTCTGTATAACGGACAGAAATAGAGATGTTGAATTCTGTGCATCTTTTTTTATGTGCATTTTTTTCATATTGACAGCATCAGGAAGCAAATTTGATCGACTCAAGAGAGATCTGAATCTGGGTCTGTTACACAAATAGTACACAAGTAGTACACAAATACCAAAAATATACAATGTATTGTAAAGGACATAAAGGACATAGTACTTTATACAGAATAAACAATATTCTTGTCAAAAGAATAAATAATGTTCTTATCAAAAGGCAGACATATTTTTGTTATAAGGGATATCGTATATCTAACATAAAACAAATGTATATTGTTTTTATCAAAACGATTACATCATGTTATGTAGGAATTTAATTATAATCTAATTATTTCTATTTCATATTTTACCAACATAAGTCTTATTCTATGAGGGTTAGAGGAGATACGAACTATCATTTATCATCTTAACCTTACACACATTGTGTAACTCTATCTGGATTAAAGTGACATTCCCTCACAGCGAAGGACAGAAGTATATAACACTGTCTGGTAGTCCAAAGTGTGTGGGTAACCTGACCAGTTTTAGTACAACATTTTAAATTCATCAGAGATGGAGAGTGTCAGTGGCCTTTTTATACAGTGACTTATAGGTGTTGTAGAAAGGTGGAGAGTGTCAATGGCTTTATATACAGTGACTTATAGATGGTGTAGAAAGGTGGAGAGTGTCGGTGGCTTTATATACATTGACTTATAGGTGGTGTAGAAAGGTGGAGAGTGTCGGTGGCTTTATATACAGTGTCTTATAGGTGTTGTAGAAAGGTGGAGAGTGGCTTTATATACAGTGACTTATAGGTGGTGTAGAAAGGTGGAGAGTGTCGGTGGCTTTATATACATTGACTTATAGGTGTTGTAGAAAGGTGGAGAGTGGCTTTATATACAGTGACTTATAGGTGGTGTAGAAAGGTGGAGAGTATCGGTGGCTTTATATACAGTGACTTATAGGTGTTGTAGAAAGGTGGAGAGTGTCGGTGGCTTTATATACATTGACTTATAGGTGGTGTAGAAAGGTGGAGAGTGTCGGTGGCTTTATATACAGTGACTTATAGGTGGTGTAGAAAGGTGGAGAGTGTCGGTGGCTTTATATACAGTGACTTATAGATGGTGTAGAAAGGTGGAGAGTGTCGGTGGCTTTATATACAGTGACTTATAGATGGTGTAGAAAGGTGGAGAGTGGCTTTATATACAGTGACTTATAGATGGTGTAGAAAGGTGGAGAGTGTCGGTGGCTTTATATACAGTGACTTATAGGTGGTGTAGAAAGGTGGAGAGTGTCGGTGGCTTTATATACAGTGACTTATAGGTGGTGTAGAAAGGTGGAGAGTGTCGGTGGCTTTATATACAGTGACTTATAGATGGTGTAGAAAGGTGGAGAGTGTCCGTGGCTTTATATACAGTGACTTATAGATGGTGTAGAAAGGTGGAGAGTGTCGGTGGCTTTATATACAGTGACTTATAGGTGGTGTAGAAAGGTGGAGAGTGTCGGTGGCTTTATATACAGTGACTTATAGGTGGTGTAGAAAGGTGGAGAGTGTCGGTGGCTTTATATACAGTGACTTATAGGTGGTGTAGAAAGGTGGAGAGTATCGGTGGCTTTATATACAGTGACTTACAGGTGGTGTAGAAAGGTGGAGAGTGGCTTTATATACAGTGACTTATAGATGGTGTAGAAAGGTGGAGAGTGTCGGTGGCTTTATATACAGTGACTTATAGGTGTTGTAGAAAGGTGGAGAGTGGCTTTATATACATTGACTTATAGGTGGTGTAGAAAGGTGGAGAGTGTCGGTGGCTTTATATACAGTGACTTATAGGTGGTGTAGAAAGGTGGAGAGTGTCGGTGGCTTTATATACAGTGACTTATAGATGGTGTAGAAAGGTGGAGAGTGTCGGTGGCTTTATATACATTGACTTATAGGTGGTGTAGAAAGGTGGAGAGTGTCGGTGGCTTTATATACAGTGACTTATAGATGGTGTAAAAAGGTGGAGAGTGGCTTTATATACAGTGACTTATAGATGGTGTAGAAAGGTGGAGAGTGTCGGTGGCTTTATATACAGTGACTTATAGGTGGTGTAGAAAGGTGGAGAGTGTCGGTGGCTTTATATACAGTGACTTATAGGTGGTGTAGAAAGGTGGAGAGTGTCGGTGGCTTTATATACAGTGACTTATAGGTGGTGTTCAGTGGTAGGAGAGATTGTTTTATAGAGAGAACTATGTTATACCTCCTGCTGTTTTTTAAGCTGATCTTTCCTCCTCGCTAACTCTTCAGGTGACATATCCCCAGCATTAGAAATCAGGTCTCGCATTTCCTAAAACAACATATATTTACAATATAATATTTTGAATTGCAGCAAAGTAGTCTTAAAACACAATTAAGTTGACAGTAAATTTTGTATGTACTTAATAAACAAGGCAAAGGAAAAACAAAGGGAGGCAAATCAAGTTATTTTAAAAAATCCAGAAAGAAATGGGTAACACAAGATTAAAAAAAGTTTACAGAAATGTGGCCATGTGCTGACCTATGTGGTTCTTTGATATGTGTTAATACTAGCAAATATCTCCAAACACATCTCTGGAATATGATATGTACTAAACAAGGGCAGGTAACTCTAACATTGGCTGCTAAAAAGAGCAATAACTCGATACATACTTGTTCAAATGTTCCCAGCAAAGCATCTCTCTCTTTCTGCCGTTTCTCATCAATATCAATGGATGCCTTTTTCCTCATCGCTTCCAGTTCACGAGCCAACTGATCCTCCAGATGGATAGCTTCCTTCAGATGGCGCTGTCGTAGCACAGAGTAGATCATATTCTCGGCTTCTTCACTGTTTTTGTTCTACACAACAGAGGTCAAATTTCAAAAGTTATAAAGAATTTCTGAAGACACATATATCCATATATGTTGGAATTGTTTTTGTTTATTTGTTTAAAATATTTCATATTGTTTTTAAAGAATTAAATATTCCTGACAACTAAGAAGGTTTTCAAGATGGCTACCAAGATGGCCATCTTGGATTTTGATATTGATTAGCTAACTTTGATGTTTAGATTGACCCCAAAAATCAAAATATATTGTAAGTATCACCTCAGCACCATTCCTCGTGTGTACCAACAAATACCATAAAACAACTTGTAAGCATATCTATACATGGGGTGGCAAACAGGATGACCCATTATAGTTATAAATGTAGGCATGAAATAATAATTCAGAGCTTTGAGTGAAGACAAATCAATTTTCTAAACAAAATGTTAAGTCCAACAAAATACTGCTCTGCAATTTATTAAAACTAAAAAAAATTAAGTTATAAAATTTTGATATTTTTTCTGTAACACAAGATGAGATTTAAAAATATTAAGACCCATGTGATTGATAGTGTATATATACAGGGTGAGATTGTGGCCACAATTCTCCAAACCGTTACTGACAACATAAAATTAAACAAAACATTAAATCAACCAACACATCAAGAAATAATTACAAACTAAGCTGATATTAAAGTTTTGTCATACCGTCCATCACCAGTTCAATTTAAATAAAACTCTTCAAAGAATTTCATTTTGAGCATGACAAAATCAACATAAGGAATTAACTTCCCACAAACAGCTAGAAACATCAATCTGGTAGACTTTTGTGGGGAAAATTATTTACAGAATTAATATACTTGCTTATAAAGACATCAATTCAGATAAAAAATTAAATAATTTGAATGTAGAGATTATATGTATATCAAACAGTGCATTTAATGTTTTATTATGTATCAATTTCTTCCTTAATACTAAACAATTCTATCTAGAATCTGTAGGAATCCATGATCTGTTTTATTTTTCACAAATTCATGAACCAAAGTTGGATTTTGGAATCATTTCTGAATGACCTCCACATCAGTAAAACAATAATTTTTAGTTTTAGTTTATATTTTCGTTAAAATGTTGTACCTCAATTAAAATGTTGTACCTCAATTAAAATATTGTACCTCAATGTTAAATATAAATATAGCTGCTTTCGTCATACTGTCAACTTTCTCCTTACAGATGTATAGTGTAAAGTGCTAGTGAGACAGAATATAAACTTAATATTCAATTCTTTGTTCCTGGAAAACATTGATCTGTGCAGCATATAATTATTCAGTTGACAAGGAATAAATTGTTTCCTGAAAATGATAAATTTAAATATTGTCTTTTCTCTATGGTTTATAAAAGTAAAGATAAATTTTAATTTGATTTGGATTTTTATTTGTTTTTCTTTTTGTTTCTCTCTCACAAATTTGAGAATGTCATTCATTGTGTCGTGTATTAATTCTAACCCACTATATACAGTTGTGTTATTGATCAAACACAGGAACTGTATAATATAAATGTTAGACTTCTGTGCTGTTAAACTTTGATAAGAGTACAGCTTATTCATTATTAAAACGTCAGATTACAACACTACATTCCAACACAGATTATTCACATGCTTAGTTACGTAAATAGTTATCAAACCATCAACACAATAATGACCGACAAAAAAAAAAAACAACAACATATATATATATTAATATTCGTGCAATATGGTGCCTAGTTACCTTTCCCTTCTTTCCCTTGTTCATAGCCTGAAAACCATCACATCATCAATATTACAGAATATAAAGTGATCTCTGTGCATCATTCTGATTCACACAAGCCCGATGTTTCTGTATATATATCTCAAGTTAGTCTAAATAAAGCTATGAGAATCAGGTCGGAGTACATCTATACTACGATGTCAGAAGGAAAGAATAAATAATCGTCAAACATTAATCATTGTATAGCGGAATAATAACCACTTAATGCTGTAGTCATCATACCAGAAAGGGGAGATAAATCTCTCAAACCAGAATGTCACGGTATAATATTTATGCTTCTTTCAGGGAAAATAGTTATGTAAGGAACAAGGCACAAAGCTATCCAGAAAGTAAAATCCTGTAATAAGACAGAGATACATTTCACACAGAATGTGAAAAAGGCACTCAGAGAAAATTCTTAAATACGGCTGAAAAGTCAATCTGAAGAATATTAGGATAATGTATCATACCTTGACACTATCCACCAGTGTTGAGTTTTCCACATTTCGTGCTAACTTTTCATTGACTTTGTCTCGTTCCTGTTGCTGCCGAGATAATTCCTTTGCCATCTCAATGTCATGTTTCTGTGCCAACTGTTCAGCTCTTAGTCTCTTTCTTTTCTCAATCTGAAAGGTTTTGTTTAATTTACAAATAAATATACAACAGTACTGACTTATCTCTCCTGTTTTGTCAGAATGTCTACAATACCATTTTTCACTAGTGTAATAATATTTTATCCTTGAATATTGAACTTGTCTGTTTAAACTGACAAAAAGTTCAGTTTCTGATCATCAAGGGCAAAGATATTATACAACTAAAATAAAGTATTGTTATTTTTTTAACTTACTTCTGTTACAGGAGTAAAGTTTGTGGTATAGCTTGGTTTGTAGTATAACTTGATTTGTATAACTTGGTTTGTAATATAACTTAGTTTGCAGTATAACTTGGTTTGTAGCTAACTTGGTTTGTAGTATAATTTAGTTTGAAGTATAACTTGGTTTGAAGCACAACTTGGTTTGTAGTATAACTTGGTTTGTATAACTTAGTTTGTAGCATAACTTGGTTTGTAGTATAACTTAGTTTGAAGTATAACTTGGTTTGTAGTAACTTGGTTTGTAGTATAACTTGGTTTGAAGTATAACTTAGTTTGAAGTATAACTTGGTTTGAAGTATAACTTAGTTTGATGTATAACTTTGTTTGAAGTATAACTTGGTTTGAAGTATAACTTAGTTTGATGTATAACTTGGTTTGAAGTATCACTTGGTTTGAAGTATAACTAGGTTTGTAATATAACTTGATTTGTAGTATAACTTGGTTTGATGTATAACTTGGTTTGAAGTATAACTTGGTTTGAAGTATAACTTAGTTTGATGTATAACTTGGTTTGTAATATAACTTGATTTGTAGTATAACTTGGTTTGAAGTATAACATGGTTTGTACTATAACTTGGTTTGTAGTTTAACTTGGTTTGTAGTATAACTTGGTTTGGAGTATAACTTGGTTTGTATTATAACTTGGTTTGGAGTTTAACTTGGTTTGAAGTATAACTTACTCGTTCTGACAGAGTATTCTTCTGACGATCTTTCTCCTTGTCAAGGTTGTCGTTTAGAGCTTCCATTTCCTTCTTGTGAGCCCCCAGCAATTTTTCGTATTCTGCCTCGTTTAAGTTTTTATGATGTAATGCCACATCCCGATCAAACTTGCTCTGATGGGCTGCCATAGCCTGTATAATGAAATGCTCACACTAAATCATCAATTTAACGAGTTCTACCCTGTGAACCAAAATATCTGAATGTCAAAGTAAAATTCAGAATCACCCATAGTACCTAGGTATGCTTCAAGTCAAAGAAGGCTAAATTCCAAACAGTGGTTAAAATGAAGAAAATGTATGCCACAGAATGGAATAAGCTTCAGTTTAATCCTTCAGATCATATGATAGAGTATTATAGAAGCCTTATCACTATATTTACCACCTTATCACTATATACCCCAGCTTATCACTATATTTACCAGCTTATCACTATATTTACCAGCTTATCACTATATACCCCAGCTTATCACTATATTTACCAGCTTATCACTATATTTACCAGCTTATCACTATATCTACCACCTTATCACTATATTTACCACCTTATCACTATATACCCCAGTTTATCACTATATTTACCAGCTTATCACTATATTTACCAGCTTATCACTATATTTACCAGCTTATCACCATATTTACCACCTTATCACTATATTTACCAGCTGTTTCTGCTGTCGGATCTGCTGTTCTATAAGCTGTTCTTCCTTTGCAGCTTCGTCCTCTATTGCTCGTTTTTCCTTTCTTAGTTCCTCCTTCTGTTTTCGCTCCATCTCTTCCTGTTCTCGGAGCTGCTGGTCTACAATTTTCTGTTGCTCAGCAGTGAGTTTTTCACTATTCACCTTACTGTTGATCTGCATCATTACATTTGCTGTTTCCATGTCCCCTTGAGCAGCCTGTTAACAACAACAGTTAACATAATTCATCTTTCTCTCTAGACACAAACAATATTAACTTTTTAGTTACAACATTTTGTGAAACTTTTTTACAGTTCTTCAGACATATTTTTCTCTCATCAAATTCACTCGATGAAGGTAAATGTCAACATGTTATGCACTTATATAATACACAGGTCGTCATTTCAACATTTTTAGTTTCTTTTTTAACATGTAGTTTTGACTGCCATTGGGTTTAAAGAATCCTGATTTCAATTGATAATTCACTCATACATATTTCCTACAATAATCATATCAAATGCAATCTAGTGTAGTATTACCAGCCTTAATGTCCCATATATTGACCTTCCAATTCTCTTACAATGACCTTCAATTACCTATACAATGATAATTGAATGTCAGCACACTACACTGACCTTCATATGTCTATACAATGACCTTCAAATGCCCTTATGGTGACCTCATGAAATTTTTACTCTGATGGTCCAATACTTAACAGTGTGGACCGCGTGGGATTCATTTTACTTCCTAAAGCGTTGTTTAGTGTGCTTCACTTACATGTGTTTTTGTTATATGGTCAAGTTCTTTATTGACAGCTTTTTCTTTGTCCAATTCTTCCCTCATGCGTTTCTTGGCTGCCAATTTAGCCTTCATCTTGTCATGAGCTGCTTCGCGGTCATCGTCACGGCGACTGTTCAGCTGCCTCATATGTTCGTTGAACTCTGTCATGATGCGCTCACGATCCTCAGCGTTCACATTCTTCAGCATGTCCTTCATGGCCTTCTCCTCGTTCCTTCTCTGTTGCTCCTGTGAAGAAGTAAAACACATGTTACTTATAAACAAATTTCAATGCTTCGTCATGTAATTGTTTTAGGAATAATGAGAGTTGACAGAAACACAACTGGATACACTTTCGGTGAGAAATGTTACAATGGTATTGTCTATGTTGTTATATCTTATTTAAGTGTTAATAATTTCACCCAGCAAATTATGAATCAATATTATTTCATTGTCCTGTAATAAGCCCACCCGTGAAGAAGTAAGAAGTAATGTACTGAGCGTTGGGCTTATTACAGAATACAGTACTGAATGCTGTCCAGTTTTATCCAAAAATTTCCCTTGAACATGCCGTTTTTTGATTATTTCCTGTGAAAGTAAGACAGAATTCATTCTCTTTGTTTTTTTTACCACACATCTTGTAGGTGATTATTGAAGCTTACTTTTTCCATCAACTGACTTGACTATCACTGTCCTCCATAACAGGAATTTATTGCTTGACTTTCTATCAGACCTACCTTCTCCATGGCAACAAGGGAAGCCAGAACAGCTTCCTCCTCCATCAATCTGTCAGCATCTTCATCTGTACCTCTTGCCTCAAGCAGCATCCTCTTCTCTTCTTCACTCACTCCTTCCAAGTCTTCATCCTCCAGCAGTTTCATTCCTGCCTTTCGGTTCTTTCTGTTTCTTAGCTTCTGCTTCATGTCCTCAATTTGTTTGTGTAGGTCCTGATTTCGAGTTCGCGTAGAGTTAATCAGTTCTTCCTTCTGGCTCTTAGTAAGATCCATGGAACGGATCTGTCGCTCAAACTCTGGATCAATGTCGACTGCTGGCATGTTATCAGCTGCCTCCAGTCCTCCTTTCCTCATGTCAGCCCACATCTGTTCCTGCAGCTGTTGTAATCGTAGCAACTCCTGTTTCAGTTCTTCATAAGATGGCATGTTGATATTTGGAACTGCAGTTGGTGGGAGATCCTGCATCTCAGCCTCGCTTAAGTGCTTCTTGTGCAAATCCTTCTTCTTCTGGCGTCGTTCCTCCATTAGACGCTTACGTAAGTTCTTCAGTTGTTTTAGCTTCTGTTTCTCAAAGGCCTCATTCAGTTTCTGGATGTCTTCTGCATGTTGCATCATCAAGCGTTCCTTCTCCTCCTCAGAACGGGCCTTCAGCAGCATCTTTTCAAGTTCTCTCTTGGCTTTATCAGTTGAGTTTTCTTTCTTTTTCTCAAACTCCTCCAGAGTATCGTTAATTCCTTCAGTCTCTGTCTTCTTCAGGTCATTCTCTAACTTCGCTGCCTCGTACGCCTGTTTCTCGAAAGCTCCTCTTGCTCTATCAAGGCCGGACTGATCATCTTTACCTTTGCCCTTTGTTCCGAAAACTGTTGTGTCGCCATGTATAATGGTTTTGTGATCTCCTCCTGATTTAACGTGAGAGACCTGTTGAAAGCCACTTTGTCCTTGACCTCCTGAGTTCTGACCTTGTGATCTTTGACCACCTGACTTTGATGGGTCAACCCCGTAGCCTCCAGCCATATGACCTCCATCTATTTTCATGTTTGTTACATTGTTGGTCATACCACCAGCACCTGCAGTGCCCATGTTGATTAGGTTAAGAAGTTCTGGTGACAGAACGAAAGGTCCACCAGATTCCAGCATAGCTATCAGTTGTTTGAGTAATGGTATGAGTTCTGAGTCGCTACCACCTTGTGAGTACACATCACCATAGACACCAGACAACTGACAGTCATAATCTCCAGCCAGAAGTCCTGCATGTGTCAGAACAATCTTAGCCTCGATGGCACACAGTTCTGATCTCTCCCTTGCATATTCAAGAGCAGAGTGGGCTTCATCTAAAGCTTCCATCTTATTGGTAAGATGGTCTTGGAGCTCGGCCTGGAGTCGGGTTTTAGCCTGTCTGTAACGCTGTAACACTGTGTTTTCTGCATCAGGGTTAAGGGCCCCTTCTAATTCATTTTTCCTGTCCCGATAATTCCTTTCTTCATTTTGAAGTTTTCCGAAAAATCGTCGCAACATATCACAGAATTTCACATGTGCCGCAACATGTGCTTCCTCCATCTGGTGTTCCATTGGGTCTCCTTGTAAGAGGACAGCTATGACCTCTGGCGGTATGATTGTTGCGTACTCCTGTTCAGCACCCCCTCTTCGTTGTACCTCTCGCTTCTCAGCCTCCAATAGATGATGTGTTCCATTGTCAATCTCCTCCAAAAATCGTTCAAGTGTCTTTGTCGTCACTGAATCCATGTCAAAAAGCAGCTGTTGTGCCAGGAGATGTTCCTTGGTTGTCAATTCTCGTTCCATTTGTCGCTGACGTCTCCAGAAACCGCGTCGAGCTACTAATTCTTCCTCCAGCATAGCAAGAGCTCCAGGTGGGGGTTTGCGCTTGCGAGGCCCGCCGGTTGATAGTGTTATTGGGATGGCTAAACCATTTTCAGGATTCAGACGGACTCCTATCACAGGACTTATCTCCCCTGTCACAGGATCTACAGCCTTCTTACTGATGGCAATTGGGACAAGACCTGTATAATAGGAAATTCATCAATGTCATTTCCTTGAATGATTTCATGTTCAAGTTATTATTAAAGAGATTCACAACAAAGGATCACAAAGATCTAAAGCTATGTATACAACAACAGAAAAATCCAAAACCTACCTTCCTGAGAATTGTCCTTATGCTGATAATGTTATTACAAGATTTTCCAATGTAGAATTTTAAATTCTAAAACATGAAATTTTGACCTGTGTCACAAAAAAATTTTGGACAATACTGCTTCATAATTTTAATATTTGCCGTAAGAAGACATTACGAATGACCTTGATGACCCTGACCTTGATGACCCAGACCTTGATTACCGTGACCTTTGACAAAGACACCTTAACCACTAAAAGCCTATTTTGAATCAAGAAAAATTTCTGTTATCTGTGACTGACTCATGAAGGGCCACTAATATGGTAAAGATCTATACAGCTAACATTAACTGACAACCACATCTGTTTGTACCTCCTCCTTCTGGATCCTCCATGGTGCCCCCTACAGGGACGATATTACTTGTCTTCTTCTCTTTCTCCGCCCCCAAAATCGGCACTTCCTGTCCAGAACCAGCAGGATCCTGCATCATTGTTCCAACCAGGATAGGAAGTAACTGTCCAGTCTTCGAAAATTCATACATTCCTGGAATTTAGAGAATAGAGAGTCAAATTTATTAAATCTTAATGTCCCTGGAAATGACTTCATCTTTAATCTGCCCTGGACAGAATAACAAATCCAGATGTTATTAGCACTCAGATATCTATAACTCTATTTCTAAAACCACACCTTCTTTAAAAGCAAAACACATAAACAACCTTTCCTTCATAATGCCAAGATATCTATACCTGGACATCCACCAGTGGCGGCCAGAATGGAGGCGCGATCGAGACGTCTCTGTATATCATGCTGGCTACGAAGTAGGTGTGCCCTTGACCTTGCCCGAGCCTTTTCCAGTTCTTTAAGGGCTGCGTCCAGCATGGACTCTTCATGGCGAAGGTTAACATTGGGACCATTGGCCGCTGAAGACAAAACAGAAAAAAATTAATTTCATCTGTCCATGGTAACAACATAATCATACGTATTCTCTAGACTTTAGAAAATTTCAAGATCGGAGTAGTTTTGTATGTACATGTTTATACAAATGTCTGTAGGACATGAATGTCTCTGCTCCCAAGCATATGATGGTGAATTTGCATGATAATTTGCAGTCGTCTCAGTTTAAGCCATTTAACGAGAATTAACTTTTGTGTCTGTACATGTCTATCTATGTACAAAGACATAAAACATACGTGTCTTTATATTTTGATTCTCTACTATATGTTGGCTCGGCACTTCATTTCATGCTATCTTTGAAATAATAAAATAAAATTCTCACAAATATTACTAACTTAACAGTATCTTGTTTGAATATCACTGGTTTTACTCTAAGCATACTTATATTAAACACACTGAACATTACACAAACTTTACATAAAACATGCTATACATTACACAAACTTTACATTACACATGCTTTACATTACACAAACTTTACATTACACATACTTTACATTACACAAACTTTACATAAAACATGCTTTACATTACACAAACTTTACATAAAACATGCTTTACATTACACAAACTTTACATTACACATACTTTACATTACACAAACTTTACATTACACATACTTTACATTAAACATACTTTACATTAAACATACTTTACATTACACATACTTTACATTAGACATACTTTACATTAAACATACTTTACATTACACATACTTTACATAAAACATACTTTACATTACACATACTTTACATTAAACATACTTTACATTACACATACTTTACATTACACATACCCATCAGAGCATCCTTGTATTGTTTTACAGCATCACTAGCTCGAGCCTCACAGGCAAGCACACTTGAGTCAAGCAGTGCTTGATAACCTCCTCCAGATGGCAGCACTGCTGTGTCCTTGAGATAACCTCCATGGATTCGTACCAACTTGCCACTGAGGGATTCAACAAATGAATCCCCAGGAATAATGGGATATCCATCACGATCGCCTGGTTTGGTGCCTCCAACAGGAACTACAACTCCTGTCATAATTAAAAACAATTATTCCCCTTTATTAATACTTTTCTACATTTTCGCTGGCAGAAAAAATTTGAATGAAAGATGGGATGTACATAATTGATAATCTTTCAGCACTTCAGTTATTTGCTTTTGATGTCCTGTCAATGCGAAATTTCCATGAAATTGTCAGCATTTGTAAGGAATTGGAATATTCATGTTTTGTACCATTAAGATAAAGGGGAGATCACTCTTACCTGACTCAGTGTCCAAGGAGACAGCGAGGATAGGTACTGGTTGTCCAGAATTAGCATCCACCATAAGAGAGCCTACCTCCATCGGGATCGGCATACCGGTGACCGGGTCAATGTGTGTACTGCCTATAGGTAAAACAGCTCCAGTCTGTGGATGTATAGTCATAGCCATGATGGGCACATGTAGACCGGTTACAGCGTCAAACATGGGTGATCCATATTTGAGGTCACTCTTGTGTTCCATAGGTTTGAGAGGTGTGGCGACAGCCTGACCAGATTTACGGCTGATTGGGTAAGGTACGTAAGGAATGAAGGGCTCCTCGGATCTAGCAGCTTCACCTGAGAAACACAAAACAGGATAACAAGATCAGTTAGTTACACTTGTTTTAAGGGAAAAACATCAGGAAGTGAAAAATGTTCAGGTTTGCTTCATCATCTTATATAAACCTATAAACACTTCATGATGATTAGTAATACACAGCTCAGAACCACTTTTGAAAATGTTCCTTGTTGATTTTAACAGCAGCTTTACACAAAAATATTTCAGCATTGATCAGGGTTCTATTGACAATTCAATGAATTTAAACATTATCTTTTTCAAGAAATAACAAAATTCTTCCTCTGTTATCTGTAATCGTTTTTAAGATTCATTATATAGACAGTGTTGATTTCTCTCTCTTATTATTTTAATTTCACATAATAGTTTGATTAAATCTTACATCTAGAGAGATAATGTAAATGTTAAACATTTCTTACCTGTGGCTGCATCAACAACAAACACTAGCCTAGAGGTCACAGGGTCAAAGGCCACATTTCCTTGTATGGGCAGCACATGCCCTGTCTGTGGATGGACGAAATAATCATTGGGCACTTCAACAATGCTGCTGTCCCCAAGGACCATCTTTGCCCCGGGTTTGGGTCTGAGCAATCCTGTGGTTTTATCAATGGAGATGAGGTCTGCTGCTCTGACACTCATGTCTGAACCTGATACAATATACAGCAATCATCATAACAATAATCCTATATATAATGCTTATCACAGTGAACTCTCTCCTAACCACATAATCCTGGGACCAAATCATAGGTCCAATGTGGAGAAAAATTCAACTTACAGAATTTGTCATAATAAGTAAGGATAGGGTTTCGTGGGACTCACTGGTCAAAACAGAGATAACTCAAGATCCAAGAAAGGCTTGTTTGAATATATTTCACTATATTTACATTAATTTATGTATTTTTTATATCATTCAAAATTATATTTTCAAGTTGAAAAACAATTTACACAATCATCTGAGGTAGCTGTTTGTAATCTTGTCTTTAAGAGATAAGATTAAAATTGTCCCTACATGTCAAACATCATTGCTTTCTGTACATTTGTATGATTGCTATTGGGATTTCAGATGCAGAATGTAAGGAAATGGGGTTAAAACAGTTTTTTTTTTTAATTTTCCTCCATGGAGTTGATCTTTCTACATATAACAGAGCTCTTCAGACTATGGAGGTAAATATAAGACTTACCTATCAATTCCTCCCTCCTCATAGGAGAGTTCTTTCCAGGTTTCAGCAGCTGTCCTCCTGTGCCCTGACCAAGTACACCCCAGGCGCTTGTCCTCTTACATTCTTCTCTATTTTCATCCGACATCTTATGGAGAAGCATTTCAATCCTTGTGTTCATGGTTCGCTGGGCTTCGTGGTTCAGTTCCCCATCGTTGGCTGCTCTCTGTTGGAGCTGGACAGCATACTCCTTCAGTGTACGTGCACTTTCTCTCAGACTGGCCTGGAATGTCACCTGTAATTATAATCAAAACAGTTGCAGAGCTTCTAAAACAGGCTGGTGTTGACAAAATACTGTTAAATATTTTCTGAATCACTATATGAGAGAAACAATACCTGTAAATCTTTCTCTGAGAAAAACTTGCAGGAGAAAAATGAGAGTGATACACTAAAAACCTCTGTATGTGGCAAAACATCAGCTTAGACATCATGTTTTTTGTCTATAAATGTACCTGGTGATTCTCCCGGGCCTTTTCATCCTCCTCCATTAGAACATTCTGTCTTCGCAGGATGAGTTCAAACTTCTGACCTACATCCTTCCGTCTCTCAAGTTCAATCTCGAGCATGTGTAACTTGTTATCATAAGATGCCAAGTCCTCGTCTGTAGCCAATGCTGCTTTGCCTTTCAAATTCATCTTGGCAGCCCATAATCCCTTGAGAGACTCATTCTGATTGGCCATTCTACCATACATTTGTTTCATCTGGAATTAAATATCAGTGGTAATAAATTCTGTTTGTCCAGTACTGATCACTATTCATCTAGATTCTGATAGATGTATTGCTGAGTTGCCTGTGTGTTAACTTTCAATTTGCCTTTTTCATTGCATTTACTGAATGTAAAAATACTGACTTGTCTCCATCTTGTGATGACTAATTTCTATCATTTTACTGGAGTTGTTCGAGGTTTACTTATTTTTTTGAAATTTGGACTCAAATTGTCCTTGTATTTACCAATTCATTTAAATTTGGACTCAAATTGTACTTGTATTTACCAATTCATTTAAATTTGGACTCAAATTGTCCTTGTATTTACCAATTCACTTAAATTTGGACTTAAATTGTCTTTGTATTTACCAATTCATTTAAATTTGGACTTAAATTGTACTTGTATTTACCAATTCATTTAAATTTGGACTCAAATTGTCCTTGTATTTACCAATTCACTTAAATTTGGACTTAAATTGTACTTGTATTTACCAATTCATTTAAATTTGGACTCAAATTGTCCTTGTATTTACCAATTCATTTAAATTTGGACTCACCTTGTTCTCTGATTTTGATATTTTGATTTACTTCATCCTTACATTTACCAATATTCAATAAAAAATGAATTGATGGAGATTTTGCCTTGTCATTTATTCTTTATTTGTAACTTGCCTCGTCCTTGTGTTTACTAATCATTTATTTGTGACTTGTGTTTACTAATCATTTATTTGTGACTTGTGTTTACTAATCATTTATTTGTGACTTGTGTTTACTAATCATTTATTCGTAACTTGCCTCGTCCTTGTGTTTACTGATTGTTGTTGTGACTCCACGAGACTGTTTGGAAAGTGTGTCATACAAAGTTCTTGTGTTGAAGGCCTCCAGGTCAATTTGTCGGTCGTAATCCCAGAAGTCATCATCCTTTACATCAATATTGGTTGCTGTTATATATAAAAAGAGAAGAGACTGTATAAAAGATTATAAAAAAACAAACAGGAGATTACAGAGGGATCTTAGCACCCACCATTGTTTGATTTTATTTTTTCTATAAATGTTGAATCGTTTCCCTTCTTTTCTCTTCTTTCATCTGTTTTTGCTCTTAATTGTTTGAAAGTTTAAAATTCCTTAACAAATAGCCATAAGAATCTTTAACTGCCAAATCCAAGATGGTCGCCTGTCCGCCATTTTTTGGTTTTTTGAGTCAGTCCAAAAATCAATAGAACACAACAAGGAACCAAAATGAAATCTGAGAAAGATCCATCTGGGGTACTTCTTGTGCAATAGTGATAACAAACTTTCATAATCAAAATCCAAGATGGCCGACTATCAGCCATTTTGGTTTTTCTGATCAGTCCCAAAATCAAAAGGGCATAACTAGGGACCAAGGAAAACCTTCAAATAAAATTTGAGGAAAATTCATTTTATCAAGAAATAGCGATTAAATTACTAACAAACAGATGAAGGACTACAGATGAAGGGTGATTTGAATACCAGTAATGAAAATAAATGGATTTCATGAAATATTCTAAATACTCTGTATGCACATGTTTTAGTGGTAATGTTATTTTAGCATCTTGTTGAAAGCATAGCATTTAAATATGATTGTACTAATTGCAGTTTTTTTCTTATTTGGGGCTTTAGTGCCAGCTAAATAAGATATCTATCATTTCCAGAATATCTGAAACTGTTTACATCAATATGTCAAACTTATTTTAAGTAAATTTCAGATGTTTTCTATTTTTTCATAGAATTTCTCCACATTGCATACTTGGCTTTGTTTGGCTGAAATTGCATCATCCAATTTAAAGGACCCACTATTTATACAAAACTGATATCCCTTCACCCAGGAAAGCTTCAGACCAGATTTGGACAAAGCTGAATCAGGCTTACAGAAGGAGTAGAATGTTAAAGAATTGTTGATCTCTTTCCCCTATTGGGTCCTGCCTCTCCCTTTCCAGGGGGCAAAGATCCACAGATTTGACAAAATTGATTCCCCTTTACCCAAGAATGCTTCACATCAAATATGGGAAAATTCAGATAATTTCTACAGGACAAGTTGATTTCCTCCATTTCTGATGTTTGGCCATGCCCATCCCACCCCAAGTTGCCAAGACCTTCAGCTTATAAAGTATTGATCTCCTTGATCCAAAAATACTTCAGACCAAATTTTGGCAAAATCAAATCATTTGGGCAAAATCAAATCATTTCCACAGAAAGAGTAGTATTAATGAATTTGCTCTATTTCCCCTATTGAGCCTCACTCCTGCCCCAGGAGGCAGAGACCAAAATTAATATCCCTTCACCTAAGAAAGCTCCAGACCAAATTTGGTCAAAATCCAATAAGTCCTACAGGAGGAAAAGGATTTTAAAGAATTGTTCCCTTATTTCTCCCATAAGGCCCCATCACTGCCGCCCCAGGGGCGGAGACCATCATTTATGAAAATTTGAGCTAATAACTAGTCAAAATATGAAACAAACAATCAAACATGAAGACACACTCATAGTTCATTCCAAACTGTTATATCATCACATGAATAATTCCGACAAATACTGACCGTCCAGAATAGCCAAGGCATCGTTGTCAGGTGGTTCATTACCGTTAGTGATGGCACGCATATTACGATGGTATTTACGAACAGGATGTACTGTTGATCCCTTACTGGCGTAGTCATCAAAGTTATACTTCTTGGTTACTTTACGGTAGAACGGGAATAAGTAGGAAGCCTTTGACCAGCCGTATTTCCTGAACAGCAACTAGAAACATGAAATTTAAAGAGTCAGTTTCCACATATTTTATGTCTGTTGTAAGCATATCTTTTAAAAAGGTATTTTGTCATGAAAAAGGTGTAAAAAATCTTCCTTTATTTTCCTCTGTTTTGAAACAATTTTAATCTTTTACCAACGACAGTGAAAAAAAATGAAAAAAAAAAATTGAAAATAACTTTAGCAATATATGAATCATGTAATAATAAAACAGTTAGGGATGGTGGTGAATTTACCAATGGTTAGCTAGAAACACTATGATACTGACCAATGATCAGCTTTTAACATCAAAATACTGGCCAGTGGTCAGCTAGAAACATTAAGATACTGACCAATGCTATCATCATGATGACCATTGCCAGAAGCGCTACCCCAAAGATGATGAAGATGATCTGCCAGTCGGGGGCCTGTAGGATGTCAGATGCTGTAGCGATACCATTCGCTATGATATTGGCGGACGTTGCTGGGAAGAATGGACCAGTTTGTGAGCACTGGGCACTTGTCTGCATCACTCGAACATACTGAATATAGAAACATGTTCAACTTCACTGGTAGGACAGGTTGAGATACTGAAATAATTTTGTTTGCATTTAGTCACATAATTTTTGCTGTATTTATCAGTTAATAAGCCTTTGGCTGGTAACTCAGTCATCTACATCTATTGATGTTTAGTGTACAATTTAAAACCAAATATTTTCATTATCTTCTGTAATAAGCCCTGACGTTCAGTTAGAAATTGTATGTTGGCACTTTACCATTAAAAGCATCATAAATTCTATACAGATTTTATTACTAATTAAGAGTTTTACTCAATCTCATTTTTTAAAAAAATATCCAATGTTATTTAAACAAAAGGTGACAAGATGACCTTTAAGTATACAGTATGAATCTCACCATTTTCTTATTGGAGTCGGTGCTGAGGGAGAAAACGTAAACACCGGGGTCGTTGAATTGGTAGGAAAACAATGTAGAAGTGGTAGCAGCAACTGCAGCAGCTTCAACCATGGTACGGAATCCCCCGTAGTCAAACGCACCATTAGTGTTAAACAGGTTGTTTCTGTAACAACAAACATCCTGACTTACAGTACTAAGTTTGTCACTCTGTAGTCAAACGCACCATTAGTGTTAAACAGGTTGTTTCTGTAACAACAAACATTCTGACTTACAGTACTAAGTTTGTCAGACTTACATGCTTTTCCTTTCATATAAAGTGTTGACTAACAAATTACTATAAATAGTAACAATGACCTTGAAAAACCAGCTCAAATGAGCAATTGTTGTAATACTGGTTTGTTGTCTTTGCAAAATTTAATAAAATGTAAAAAAAAAAAATTCCTTCCAAAAATGTCACTTGTCAGAATGTTGACATCAATATTGATTCTGTGTGTGTGTGCGTGCATGTGTGTGTGAGCATACGTGCATGCATGCATGCGTGTCTGGTTATAAATGACTTGATTGTTGATGTCAAAAACTGATGACTGTATATACAAAATATACTATAATATATGTCTCGCCCCATCCCCCCCTCCAAATACAAATTATTACATTAATTTTCATTGATAATATGTAAATACCAAAGAGATGTTGCCCATGAAAATTTTTTTAATTCTTTATTGTGAAAAAAAAAACCTTTGTCTGATCTTTAACAATACATGTTTCAATATGATTTTGGAGTTACTTCTGAAAATCTGAAGTTATTGTTCTGAAAATACACAAAAAAAAATAAAACAAGTTGTATTTGTTGTGTTCAGATGCCTTACCACAATGTAACTTTACACAAGGCTGGGTTGGAATAGCATTTGTGTGTAATGAGAAACGGGATTAAATGCAAACCTTCGAAGTCAAACTTCTCAGTATTTCTTAATCTACGAAAATTACTGGATTGTAAAATCTTGAAGATATTTTGTAAATGATATTTTCAGGTGTCAAGTGTCAGCTTTGCGATCTAGCTATATAACAAGCTTGGTTGAAGTTCAACTTCAGCTTTCCCTACCATAGATTTAAATGTCGACTTCAGCATTCCCTACCATAGATTTAAATGTCGACTTCAGCATTCCCTACCATAGATTTAAATGTCGACTTCAGCTTTTTCTACCATAGATTTAAATGTTGACTTCAGCTTTTTCTACCATAGATTTCAATGTCGACTTCAGCATTCCCTACCATAGATTTGAATGTCGACTTCAGCTTTTTCTACCATAGATTTAAATGTCGACTTCAGCTTTCCCTACCATAGATTTAAATGTCGACTTCAGGTTTTTCTACCATAGATTTAAATGTCGACTTCAGCTTTCCCTACCATAGATTTGAATGTCGACTTCAGGTTTTTCTACCATAGATTTAAATGTCGACTTCAGCTTTCCCTACCATAGATTTAAATGTCGACTTCAGCATTCCCTACCATAGATTTAAATGTCGACTTCAGCTTTCCCTACCATAGATTTAAATGTCGACTTCAGCATTCCCTACCATAGATTTAAATGTCGACTTCAGCTTTCCCTACCATAGATTTAAATGTCGACTTCAGCATTCCCTACCATAGATTTAAATGTCGACTTCAGCTTTTTCTACCATAGATTTAAATGTCGACTTCAGCTTTAACTACCATAGATTTGAATGTCGACTTCAGGTTTTTCTACCATAGATTTAAATGTCGACTTCAGCTTTCCCTACCATAGATTTAAATGTCGACTTCAGCTTTTTCTACCATAGATTTAAATGTCGACTTCAGCTTTCCCTACCATAGATTTGAATGTCGACTTCAGGTTTTTCTACCATAGATTTAAATGTCGACTTCAGCTTTCCCTACCATAGATTTAAATGTCGACTTCAGCTTTCCCTACCATAGATTTAAATGTCGACTTCAGCTTTTTCTACCATAGATTTAAATGTCGACTTCAGAGAGAGAGAGAGAGAGAGAGAGAGAGAGAGAGAGAGAGAGAGAGAGAGCTTTCCCTACCATAGATTTAAATGTCGACTTCAGCTTTCCCTACCATAGATTTAAATGTCGACTTCAGCTTTCCCTACCATAGATTTAAATGTCGACTTCAGCTTTTTCTACCATAGATTTAAATGTCGACTTCAGCTTTTTCTACCATAGATTTAAATGTCGACTTCAGCTTTCCCTACCATAGATTTGAATGTCGACTTCAGCTTTTTCTACCATAGATTTAAATGTAAGTGAAATGTCAACAAAAAAAACCAACCATAGTCTCGATACAGTAATTTTTCCTTGCAAATAAGACAGACAGATGGACGGACGGACAGAGACAGACAGACAAATAGATATATACATAGAGAGAACAGACATAGAGAGAGAGAGAGAGAGAGACAGACAGAGAGACAGACAGACAGTGTCTATGCTAATTGTTATGTTTGCTTACTTATCATACACGGGGTAGTATGTATTGGTCACACTGAAGAGCATGATTTCTCCACTAGCAAGACATGTAACAGGGTTCTCAATGCCAGAGAACTGTGACCCAGCAACATTGGAAGTAGCAAGCAGTCGGCGACGCCCATAATTGGCGCTATCCACAGTTATATTGCCAGTGTTGTTGCCCTTTTCATTGTCTTGCAATAACTGGATCAGTTCGGGGCGGTCGGGATTGTATACTCCCAGAAATCCTCTTGAATTCATCTGACAAATATTGATTTGTATTTCACTATTATCCCTGGAAGAACATTGATCAGTAGAAATGGCATTCCGTGAGTTGATGATCCTTGTCAGAAATTGGACACCAATTTCAGTCTGGAAAAAAAAAGAAACATGAGAGATTTGGACCTAATCAACATATAATAATTTCATTTTTTAATGTTTCAGAAGACTGTACTCCACCTGGTCAATCAGTGACTGTACTCCACCTGATCAATCAGTGACTGTACTCCACCTGATCAATCAGTGACTGTACTCCACCTGATCAATCAGTGACTGTACTCTACCTGGTCAATCATTAACTGTACTCCACCTGATCAATCAGTGACTGTACTCCACCTGGTCAGTCAGTGACTGTACTCCACCTGATCAGTCAGTGACTGTACTCCACCTGGTCAGTCAGTGACTGTACTCCACCTGATCAATCAGTGACTGTACTCCACCTGGTCAGTCAGTGACTGTACTCCACCTGGTCAGTCAGTGACTGTACTCCACCTGATCAATCAGTGACTGTACTCCACCTGATCAGTCAGTGACTGTACTCCACCTGATCAGTCAGTGACTGTACTCCACCTGGTCAGTCAGTGACTGTACTCCACCTGGTCAGTCAGTGACTGTACTCCACCTGGTCAGTCAGTGACTGTACTCCACCTGGTCAGTCAGTGACTGTACTCCACCTGATCAATCATTAACTGTACTCCACCTGATCAATCAGTGACTGTACTCCACCTGGTCAGTCAGTGACTGTACTCCACCTGGTCAGTCACTGACTGTACTCCACCTGATCAATCAGTGACTGTACTCCACCTGGTCAGTCAGTGACTGTACTCCACCTGATCAGTCAGTGACTGTACTCCACCTGATCAATCAGTGACTGTACTCCACCTGATCAGTCAGTGACTGTACTCCACCTGGTCAGTCAGTGACTGTACTCCACCTGATCAATCAGTGACTGTACTCCATATTTAGAAAAACAACACAGAAAACAGCATAAACAGAATCTTAATTCAAACTAAAATGTGATGAAACAAAATATTAACAAAAGAAAGATTTACACAAAAATCATGAAAATATAAAATTAGAATAAGACCAGGTGTTCTGGAAGTGTAAGCATATCTTTAGAACGACTCTGACCTGTATGTTAGAAATCGTTTGTTGTGATTACAACTCACCATGATATTGTTACTGGAATCACGAACAACGACATGTACACTGAGGGGCTCTGCTGCACAAACCAACATAATGGCATTACGTTGGGCAAGACGACACTGTAAATCACAGACCTCGTCAAGGTCATCCATCGCACACTGGCAGACTCCCAGCAGACGGTCATAACTTACATATTCGTTCGGAGGACATACCTTAAAATGATACAAAAGTAAATATATATACAAATCACCTCTAAAGAATTCCACAACAAGCAATATTTATACCAAAACTACCAGGAAAATCAGCATAAACAGTAAATGTTTAGCAAATTCTGAAAGTTATTTCAGCAGTATATTGTACAGTTTCTTGACTTCGCAGGATTACTCTTTCATGGTGGTTTTTATTTACAGGGATTGACTTATTTGATCATTCAGTCAGTGTGTTGGTCTACATAATCTCGGCAGAAGATCCGAGATACATGATCAGAAGCTTGTGAATATCTATTGACTGGAATGTTTGTAAAAAGACATAAAAGTTCTGATGATTCACTATAAACTATATTTCATATTATAGTGAAGTTAAATTCCCCACAAATACTTCTTATTACACTTCAGTAAACTACATGTCTTACAGAAAATGTTAGACTAAAAAAATTTTTTTTTCAAACTGTGGAAGGTTTAAAGGAATGTAAAGAAGTATAAAAACAGACATAAACATTAGAGAAACAAGAGTACTGTGTGGCGGAACAATATATACGTCAGTCTTAGGCCGAAGAAATATTCAGGATTTATTGTATCAAAATGAATACAGCTAGAACTGTCCTCCTGGCGGCAATACTAATAACTTTCTGAAAAGGGGAGGTAACTCAACCTGATGTAGATTACATACATCTAAAATGTATAAGGATTACTGCTGGCAAGCTTTATTGAAACACTTCATTAATTTAGGAAAACTTGCAAGTACATTGTTGGGTCTATGGACGGACAGACAGAAAGTTGGACAAACAACCTGATTCCAGCATACATCCCCCTCCCCTCTCTAACTTTTGTGTGGGGAAAGGGGGAAACTGTATCATAATTTTCAATAAATAAGATAAAACCTAGTTTCAAAGAGTTGTTATAAAAATTTAAGAGAAGCATCTTCTGGACAAGGTTAAAGAGCAAAAAAAGGGCCATAACTCTTTATGGATATTAAAATAAAAAGCTGCTCATGTCAGCACAATTTCATGTTATGGTTTTAAGGACTATGAATTTTGAAAGAAATTGGATAAAAAAAAAAACCAAAGGGAATAGAAATACTGACAAGATTTGAACGCAAAAAACAAATAAATGGCAATAATTCATTCACAAATGATTAAAATCTAAATACCGCTCAGAAAATAACATGTCATGCTATTAAAGTTTAAAAATTAGTAGAGATCTCCGACCAAACTGCAGTTCAGGAAAACAGGTCAAAGTGATTAATACAACTATGAGAGAAATTGGTGAAAAAACCACGATGAAAATTTACAATAGATGTAGACCAAATCACACTATAAGGAGATCTTGTCAAAATGTTTGATGTAGAGCAACTAAATTTCTGATAATTAAAACTTGTACTAACATCATCCCTACAGTGGGCCTCCCACTGCGCAGTAGTTAGACATCTGCCATCCTGAGCTCGTGTGGTTTGGGACAGACATAAGTCGTACACCTGTTTATAACAATCAGCAGACGAAGATGTTGATCCGGACTCAAGGAACCCAGCTGCACAAACACATTTCCGATCACTCTCCTGACAGGGAGATAAAAAAATAGAAGTCATATAATTCAGTTTATCAAACTACATTCTGATCACTCTCCTGACAGGGAGACAAAAAAGTCATATAACTGAGTATATCAAACTACATGATGAAACATACATTAACATAATGTAGTACATGATCATCAGGGGTGGGCTTATTACTGATACATGACAATTAAGCTTTAGCTGATAATGAACAGATATATGGGTCAGGAAGCGACGAGGCGTAGGCCTATCTCTGGATATAAATGGTATTTCACCAGTTTGATTTTATTTTTTTGTGGTCAAAATTTTTCTACTTGGTTGATTAAGCACTATAATCACCTCATCTCAAAGATTCATAATTGATTACTACTTTTCAGATGATGGGTTTGTTGTTGGTTATAACTGGTATTTTTAAATTACCAGCTTGCAATTAGTGTTTTTCGTGATCAATATTTTTCTCCCAGGTTGATAAACACCGTGTTGACATCTTCAAAAGTCCATACCTGGTAACTGATACCTGGTAACTGATGCCAGGTAACTGATACCAGGTAACTATTTTTTTTAGATGATGGGCCTATTGTTAGATATAAACTTAGTACTTCACCTGCTTAAAATTACTGTTTCTCTCAATTTATTATTGGTGAAGAGTTTGTAGGGGGATGAGGATAGAGAAAGCAATAAACATTCACCATGTATCAGATGTCTGACCAAGAGGAAAGTGCCGATACAAAAATATTCTTCTTCCATAACGCAAAAAAAAATCTTAATAAAGAACTAAAAAGTAAAAAAAAATATCCGTATTTACTTGAAAGTCTCGGCCAGACCCTTTACAGGCACATGTCGCCTGTCCTGTGAGCGACTGACTGGCTTCACTTCCACAATGGTAACAGGCCTTTTGTCCTGTAAGGTGGTTAAAATGGTCAACTGGACACTGGGAACAGTCATCAACACTCCCTCCATACTGGGCTGTGTTGTATCGACCTGCTGGACAAGGCGTAGCCTCCGCACTTCCTTGTGGGCAATAGTAACCTGTAATTTAGTATTAAAATGTAAAATAGTTAGATAAGGAAATTATCTACAAAAAATATAATTGTACAAACTCTGTACCATAAATGGTCTTAAAGTTTTAAACATGTGACATCATGGCAGCCATATTGGATTTATGACCTACATAAAAATGTTACACATGCATCTTCAGATACGTACATACAAAGTACTAAACAGACTATAAGTCCATGTCTTTCTGATTAAAAATTTTGGACTCCACAATTTTCGAAAAGACAAAAATGATATTAATAACAATAAGAAGCATAACAATAGGTCTTTTCACCATTTGGTGAAAAACCCTCATTAATCATATGAAAGAAATGTACTCTTTGTTGTGAGAACTGATTCAAGATAAAAGGACATATACTGTATATTTCTCAGATTTCACAAATACCTTACATTGCAGACATATTCGTGAATACATGATTTTGCAAATGGTGATCTAGGAACAAGGACAAGACTTTTTAACCATTTAAAGAAGGATGCCATCAAGCTTTTCTGTTTTCGTACAAATAATCGTGAGTGATTTGAAATTGTAATTGACTCAATTCGGTAAATTGACATGAAAATAAATCCTATGTGAAGTATATGTGGTTTACAGCAGAAACAGCAGGATATTGGGAATCAACATCTAGACTCTGGAAACTGATGACAAACAACAGAATGCCTAACAGGAAGCCATCTTTGATCTGACATGTTGAACTTTACCTGCTGGACAAGGGAAGGAATTAGTAGCATTGACTCCATAGTAAGCACTGGAGTTATCGCCTGGTTGATCTGTGATAGCCAACGCCAGGCACACGACACCCGCACGGCAATCAGCACAAACAGCACGGTTAGCATCAGCACCGAATGTTCCAGGTGGGCACGCTTCACAAGTATCGAGGAATGTTTCACGCGGAGCTCCATCTTTTTCTTTGTAACCTAACGGACATTTGATTGGTTCTATGGCACCTGGAAGTTTAACAGCATTATGTTTATAAATCATCTGAGAAAACCGTGGTAATAAATAGTACCTCTATAGTATTATTATAATCCTACTGTTGTGTCACATGGATTGAAGTGATCAAGGGAGCACATTATTATTCCAATATCATTATCACATCATCCACACTGCCTACTCACATAGCAGGGCTCTCATTATCCAAACACATCATTCACACTGTCTACTCACATAGCAGGGTGTAACAAAATGAGTAAAAAAATGGGTTTAATGGTAATTTTAGAATGGTGTGTATCGTAGAGAGCAGCATCTTAGTTTAAAGTACATCAGGTCAAAAGTCAGTTAATCCCGTGAGTGATAGATAGTGATGCACGCCTGATAACGGGCGGGGTGTGTACACAAGTGGTGAAGCACCGTGGCAGAATATCGCCATTATGATTGATCAGGACAGGTAGATGCTTTCTTGTATGCCTCGCGCTGGCGAACACATTTGTAAGTAAACAAGATAAGAAACAATGTATAAGGTAGATCAAAGATGGGAAGTTGATAACGGGTACTCTTAGTCGCAGGTGCCTTCTTCATTAGATGCTCCGGGGGCTGGGTTATTGTTGTCCAATTGAGACTAGGCTTAAATTAAGTATTTGGGTATTATTTATACAAAGATAATAGCCAGCAGAAGTGCAGTCGAGTCTGGGATCGAGTAGCTAGAGAGAGTTGGGAGTCGGACGTGCAGACGGGCAGAGTCCTGTATGGGACCTGCTCCGCGATGGAGTGGGTCCTGGCCAAGTTGGCCCATGGACATTTGTATGGAACTCTTTGATATGGACGGGCAGGTTTTTCGTTGTTGTCTGCCTTACACAGGTGTTTAGTTTTGGTGCCACGACATGATGCTGTATGTTGATTAGGAACTATCTTTTGTAATGGATACTAACGCGAAGTACTAACTATGGAAAACCACTATACGATGAAATAAAAGTTTCGGTCAACCCAAGTAAACACTGTGTTTAGTCATCGTGTTACAAGGGCTCTCATTATCCAAACACATCATTCACACTGCCCACTAACACAGGAGGGCTCTCATTATCCAAACACATCATTCACACTGCCCACTAACACAGGAGGGCTCTCATTATCCAAACACATCATTCACACTGCCCACTAACACAGGAGGGCTCTCATTATCCAAACACATCATTCACACTGCCCACTAACACAGGAGGGCTCTCATTATCCAAACACATCATTCACACTGCCTACTCACATAGGAGGGCTCTCATTATCCAAACACATCATCCACTCACATAGGAGGGCTCTCATTATCCAAACACATTCACCCTGCCCACTAACACAGGAGGGCTCTCATTATCCAAACACATCATTCACACACTGCTCTCATTATCCAAACACATCATTCACACTGCCCACAGGAGGGCTCTCATTATCCAAACACATCATTCACACTGCCCACTCACATAGGAGGGCTCTCATTATCCAAACACATCATTCACACTGCCCACTAACACAGGAGGGCTCTCATTATCCAAACACATCATTCACACTGCCCACTAACACAGGAGGGCTCTCATTATCCAAACACATCATTCACACTGCCCACTAACACAGGAGGGCTCTCATTATCCAAACACATCATTCACACTGCCCACTAACACAGGAGGGCTCTCATTATCCACACACAACATTCACACTGCCCACTAACACAGGAGGGCTCTCATTATCCAAACACATCATCCAAACATGCCACTGCACTGCCAAACACTCATTCACACTGCCCACTAACAAAGGAGGGGTCTCATTATCCAAACACATCAATCACACTGCCCACTAACACAGGAGGGCTCTCATTATCCAAACACATCATTCACACTGCCCACTAACACAGGAGGGCTCTCATTATCCAAACACATCATTCACACTGCCCACTCACATAGGAGGGCTCTCATTATCCAAACACATCATTCACACTGCCCACTAACACAGGAGGGCTCTCATTATCCAAACACATCATTCACACTGCCCACTAACACAGGAGGGCTCTCATTATCCAACACACACACTGAGGGCTCTCATTATCCAAACACATCCACACTGCCCACTAACACAGGAGGGCTCTCATTATCCAAACACATCATTCACACTCTACTCACATAGGAGGGCTCTCATTATCCAAACACATCATTCACACTGCCCACTCACATAGGAGGGCTCTCATTATCCAAACACATCATTCACACTGCCCACTCACATAGGAGGGCTCTCATTATCCAAACACATCATTCACACTGCCCACTCACATAGGAGGGCTCTCATTATCCAAACACATCATTCACACTGCCCACTAACACAGGAGGGCTCTCATTATCCAAACACATCATTCACACTGCCACACTCACATAGGAGGGCTCTCATTATCCAAGCACATCATGCACACTGCCCAAACACATAGGAGGGCTCTCATTATCCAATCACATCATTCACACTGCCCCTCTCACATCACAACACAGGAGGGCTCTCATTATCCAAACACATCATTCACACTGCCCACTAACACAGGAGGGCTCTCATTATCCAAACACATCATTCACACTGCCCACTCACATAGGAGGGCTCTCATTATCCAAACACATCATTCACACTGCCCACTCACATAGGAGGGCTCTCATTATCCAAACACATCATCCACACTGCCCACTAACACAGGAGGGCTCTCATTATCCAAACACATCATTCACACTGCCCAATAACACAGGAGGGCTCTCATTATCCAAACACATCATTCACACTGCCCACTAACACAGGAGGGCTCTCATTATCCAAACACATCATTCACACTGCCCACTCACATAGGAGGGCTCTCATTATCCAAACACATCATTCACACTGCCCACTCACATAGGAGGGCTCTCATTATCCAAACACATCATTCACACTGCCCACTCACATAGGAGGGCTCTCATTATCCAAACACATCATTCACACTGCCCACTAACACAGGAGGGCTCTCTCATCATAACACAGGAGGGCTCTCATTATCCAAACACACATGCAAACACATCATTCACAACACAGGAGGGCTCTCATTATCCAAACACATCATTCACACTGCCCACTAACACAGGAGGGCTCTCATTATCCAAACACATCATTCACACTGCCCACTAACACAGGAGGGCTCTCATTATCCAAACACATCATTCACACTGCCCACTCACACAGGAGGGCTCTCATTATCCAAACACATCATTCACACTGCCCACTAACACAGGAGGGCTCTCATTATCCAAACACATCATTCACACTGCCCACTCACATAGGAGGGCTCTCATTATCCAAACACACTGCAAACACACTGCCCACACATAGGAGGGCTCTCATTATCCAAACACATCATTCACACAGGAGGGCTCTCATTATCCAAACACATCATTCACACTGCCTACTCACATAGGAGGGCTCTCATTATCCAAACACATCATTCACACTGCCCACTCACATAGGAGGGCTCTCATTATCCAAACACATCATTCACACTGCCCACTAACACAGGAGGGCTCTCATTATCCAAACACATCATTCACACTGCCCACTAACACAGGAGGGCTCTCATTATCCAAACACATCATTCACACTGCCCACTCACATAGGAGGGCTCTCATTATCCAAACACATCATTCACACTGCCCACTAACACAGGAGGGCTCTCATTATCCAAACACATCATTCACACTGCCCACTCACATAGGAGGGCTCTCATTATCCAAACACATCATCCCCACTGCCCACTAACACGGAGGGCTCTCATTATCCAAACACATCATTCACACTGCCCACTAACACAGGAGGGCTCTCATTATCCAAACACATCATTCACACTGCCCACTCACATAGGAGGGCTCTCATTATCCAAACACATCATTCACACTGCCCACTAACACAGGAGGGCTCTCATTATCCAAACACATCATTCACACTGCCCACTCACATAGGAGGGCTCTCCTTATCCAAACACATCATTCACACTGCCCACTAACACAGGAGGGCTCTCATTATCCAAACACATCATTCACACTGCCTACTCACATAGGAGGGCTCTCATTATCCAAACACATCATTCACACTGCCCACTAACACAGGAGGGCTCTCATTATCCAAACACATCATTCACACTGCCCACTAACACAGGAGGGCTCTCATTATCCAAACACATCATTCACACTGCCCACTAACACAGGAGGGCTCTCATTATCCAAACACATCATTCACACTGCCCACTCACATAGGAGGGCTCTCATTATCCAAACACATCATTCACACTGCCCACTCACATAGGAGGGCTCTCATTATCCAAACACATCATTCACACTGCCCACTCCAAACACACATCACACAGGGCTCTCATTATCCAAACACATCATTCACACTGCCCACTCACATAGGAGGGCTCTCATTATCCAAACACATCATCCACACTGCCCACTAACACAGGAGGGCTCTCATTATCCAAACACATCATCCACACTGCCCACTAACACGGAGGGCTCTCATTATCCAAACACATCATTCACACTGCCCACTAACACAGGAGGGCTCTCATTATCCAAACACATCATTCACACTGCCCACTCACATAGGAGGGCTCTCATTATCCAAACACATCATTCACACTGCCCACTCACATAGGAGGGCTCTCATTATCCAAACACATCATTCACACTGCCCACTCACATAGGAGGGCTCTCATTATCCAAACACATCATTCACACTGCCCACTCACATAGGAGGGCTCTCATTATCCAAACACATCATTCACACTGCCCACTAACACGGAGGGCTCTCATTATCCAAACACATCATCCACACTGCCCACTAACACAGGAGGGCTCTCCTTATCCAAACACATCATTCACACTGCCCACTAACACAGGAGGGCTCTCATTATCCAAACACATCATTCACACTGCCCACTAACACAGGAGGGCTCTCATTATCCAAACACATCATTCACACTGCCCACTCACATAGCAGGGCTCTCATTATCCAAACACATCATTCACACTGCCCACTAACACAGGAGGGCTCTCATTATCCAAACACATCATCCACACTGCCCACTAACATAGGAGGGCTCTCATTATCCAAACACATCATCCACACTGCCCACTAACACAGGAGGGCTCTCATTATCCAAACACATCATCCACACTGCCCACTCACATAGGAGGGCTCTCATTATCCAAACACATCATTCACACTGCCCACTAACACAGGAGGGCTCTCATTATCCAAACACATCATTCACACTGCCCACTAACACAGGAGGGCTCTCATTATCCAAACAGATCATTCACACTGCCTACTCACATAGCAGGGCTCTCATTATCCAAACACATCATTCACACTGCCCACTCACATAGGAGGGCTCTCCTTATCCATACACATTATTCACACTGCCCACTAACACAGGAGGGCTCTCATTATCCAAACACATCATTCACACTGCCCACTAACACAGGAGGGCTCTCATTATCCAAACACATCATTCACACTGCCCACTAACACAGGAGGGCTCTCATTATCCAAACACATCATTCACACTGCCTACTCACATAGGAGGGCTCTCATTATCCAAACACATCATTCACACTGCCCACTAACACGGAGGGCTCTCATTATCCAAACACATCATTCACACTGCCTACTCACATAGCAGGGCTCTCATTATCCAAACACATCATTCACACTGCCCACTAACACGGAGGGCTCTCATTATCCAAACACATCATTCACACTGCCCACTAACAAAGGAGGGCTCTCATTATCCAACACATCATTCACACTGCCCGTACCTTAAAGTTATATGTACATTCAAATTTAAACAAATCATACACTTGCACACCAACTATTATTTTTTCTAAATATTTTCAAGCATTTTTATGACAAGACACATATAAAATGAAAACATTTACTCATCCTCCTCTCAAGTTACGCAGAAACGCAGTTTAACAGTAATCTTTCAGAATCTATACTACAACATACACTATATTTAATCTGTGTACCTTTAATCAGCCTTCTTAAGAAAGTGACACTAATCTACAAAGCAGACATGAAACTTGTTGTACTGACCTGCATCTGTCATATTACAGTCATCTAGTTTTTCACAGTAATGGCCCTGGGGGCAAGGCAGTGGTGTGGCAGAACCCTCGGGGCAGTAATAGCCCGGGGGACATGGAACTTGTGACATCGATCTGTTGCAGTAGTATCCTTCAATGAAAACAAATCATCTAAAGTGTTTTCATTTCATTTCAAGTTTGACAAAAACACAGTTTAAAAACAAATTTGCAAAAGAAAAACATGATACTTTTGTATATATATATATATATATTTTCCTGAGGCGCAAATTTCATGTTTTCAATTTTATCATACTTTTTTAGTCGATGCTCAATTTCATGAATTTATAGAAATAGAATTTTATAGAAATCCAGTCATACACAAAAATAATGTACAATAGTCTTCCTTTTTCCACAGATTATTCTTGAACACATCATGATCAGTTCACGGATTAAGCACATAAAATCAACAAAAACTGAAGTCAATTAATTAGAAGATTATGTGAATTCTCTGATAATCAAAAAGAACTCAAAATGTTGACTTATGATTATAAACACAACATACAGACCAAGTCCAATCTTTTGATAGATTTGAATCATTCTGTCATCACAAGTTAACAATAGATAGTTGAGATAGGCAGATAGTTTAGGTTAATTTCACATTTAAGAAAAAGAAAAAAATATTTTACCTGTAAGATCATAAAGCTTTAGTAACAATGAAAGATGCAAAGATACAGGGCCCACAAATACAGTTTTGATACTGGGCCCACAAATACAGTTTTGATACAGGGCCCACAAATACAGTTTTGATACAGGGCCCACAAATACAGTTTTGATACAGGGCCCACAAATACAGTTTTGATACAGGGCCCACAAATACAGTTTTGATACAGGGCCCACAAATACAGTTTTGATACAGGGCCCACAAATACAGTTTTGATACAGGGCCCACAAATACAGTTTTGATACAGGGCCCACAAATACAGTTTTGATACAGGGCCCACAAATACAGTTTTGATACAGGGCCCACAAATACAGTTTTGATACAGGGCCCACAAATACAGTTTTGATACAGGGCCCACAAATACAGTTTTGATACAGGGCCCACAAATACAGTTTTGATACAGGGCCCACAAATACAGTTTTGATACAGGGCCCACAAATACAGTTTTGATACAGGGCCCACAAATACAGTTTTGATACAGGGCCCACAAATACAGTTTTGATACAGGGCCCACAAATACAGTTGTGATACAGGGCCCACAAATACAGTTTTGATACAGGGCCCACAAATACAGTTTTGATACAGGGCCCACAAATACAGTTTTGATACAGGGCCCACAAATACAGTTTTGATACAGGGCCCACAAATACAGTTTTGATACTGGGACCACAAATACAGTTTTGATACAGGGCCCACAAATACAGTTTTGATACAGGGCCCACAAATACAGTTTTGATACAGGGCCCACAAATAGTTTTGATACAGGACCCACAAATACAGTTTTGATACAGGGCCCACAAATACAGTTTTGATACAGGGCCCACAAATACAGTTTTGATACTGGGCCCACAAATACAGTTTTGACACAGGACCCACAAACACAGTTTTGATACAGGGCCCACAAACACAGTTTTGATACAGGGCCCACAAACACAGTTTTGATACAGGGCCCACAAATACAGTTTTGATACAGGGCCCACAAATACAGTTTTGATACAGGGCCCACAAATACAGTTTTGATACAGGGCCCACAAATACAGTTTTGATACAGGGCCCACAAATACAGTTTTGATACTGGGCCCACAAATACAGTTTTGATACAGGGCCCACAAATACAGTTTTGATACAGGGCCCACAAATACAGTTTGATACTGGGTCCACAAATACACTTTTGATATAGGGCCCACAAATACAGTTTTGATACTGGGCCCACAAATACAGTTTTGATACTGGGCCCACAAATACAGTTTTGATACAGGGCCCACAAATACAGTTTTGATACAGGGCCCACAAATACAGTTTTGGTACAGGGCCCACAAATACAGTTTTGATACAGGGCCCACAAATACAGTTTTGATACAGGGCCCACAAATACAGTTTTGATACAGGGCCCACAAATACAGTTTTGATACAGGGCCCACAAATACAGTTTTGATACAGGGCCCACAAATACAGTTTTGATACAGGGCCCACAAATACAGTTTTGATACAGGGCCCACAAATACAGTTTTGATACTGGGCCCACAAATACAGTTTTGATACAGGGCCCACAAATACAGTTTTGATACAGGGACCACAAATACAGTTTTGATACTGGGCCCACAAATACAGTTTTGATACTGGGCCCACAAATACAGTTTTGATACAGGGCCCACAAATACAGTTTTGATACAGGGCCCACAAATACAGTTTTGATACAGGGCCCACAAATACAGTTTTGATACAGGGACCACAAATACAGTTTTGATACAGGGCCCACAAATACAGTTTTGATACAGGGCCCACAAATACAGTTTTGATACAGGGCCCACAAATACAGTTTTGATACAGGGCCCACAAATACAGTTTTGATACAGGGCCCACAAAAAGTTTTGATACAGGACCCACAAATAGTTTTGATACAGGGCCCACAAACACAGTTTTGATACAGGGCCGACAAATACAGTTTTGATACAGGGCCCACAAATACAGTTTTGATACAGGGACCACAAATACAGTTTTGATACAGACCTGCCTGACAGATGGTCTCGTTGTGGGATCCCTCTGGACAGTAGTAGCCAGTTGTGCATTGGTCTCCACCATAACTCATACTAAAGTTTGGACACATGAAGCCAGCTGGACATCGGGCACAATCAGCATCACTTCCGGCTGCTATCTGATCTCTATTAAAAAAAATACAAATGAGCAGATATTCACAAAAATCTTACAACTGTAACTAAGAAAGGTAGAGTGTGGGTGGCTGGACTGAGGGGAAAGTGTATTACTGACATAAGTTCACCTGTATGTGCTGAGAGCAGTGGGAGGGGTGGGGGTGGGGGGTTGGAGAGTATATTATTGACATAAATTCACCTGTATGTGCCTGGTGGGCAGGGCTGAGGTGCAGTTGTGGCATTGGTACAGTACCATCCTGTTTCACAGGGATTCACTGTGTAGTTTGCCATCCCTGTAGTGTTACAGAAATAGCCTGCTGGACAAGGCAGACAGTAGCTGACATCATCTGCCCCTTGTACAGGATTGTAAGTTGTTTCAGGACAAGCAGCTATAGCCTTGCTGACCTCACAGTAGAACCCAGCAGGACATGGTTCTGACACGGTGGAATTATCTGGACAGATAAATCCGCCCGGACAAACGTCACACTCTGATGCTGAGGCTGCACCTTCCCAAGTTATATACCGCAGAGCTGGACAAGTCTGTACCACCGTAGTTCCTGTCAACAAGACAAATTATCCTCTTTAGCAGGTGAATTAAAACTTTGACCAGTGTGCTACATCCTTGTAGTAACCAATAGCCTGCACCTTAACATTCCTATAACTTCACTGTAACAACAGAATCTGAGCTACGATGAAGACATAAATAATCCTAATTTGTTTCCATTCTCATTTGTGTTGATTTTTTGTTTGTTTATTGTATATTTAATCTACCAATGAATCAATAGCTTCACTTCAACACTACCATGTATGAATAACATTACATTGATAAGAAGAGGAAAAATAATCCCTCAGGTGTGAGATAGGGAATCTCATCCCCCTGGGTAAGGTTTTTTAAGCAGAAAAATTGGGTAAGCCTCTAATTCACCAACTAAAGAATCTTTCCCCTTATGATCACCTTAAAGTGATAGTGTACTGCTATTGTTTTTTATATATTCAAAATCCCTTTAAAATTATAAAATAGCTACAACAAGAACAAACTCTGAAAAATAAATATTCATCGAGATATTTAACGTTGTTTGAAAAACACACCTGTACGGATTGAGCATTGACCCCGTTTTGAGTACACGCAGATCTGTGACGTCACAAGTTGAACACAAATACCACGGTTACGTTAGTCAGCCATATTTGTTTGATAAATCTTTTAACAGGTCAGCACATAAATATGAATGTATTTAGATCTTAAGAGGTTTTATAATTATATCTTTAACCAGTACATACCTGCAGGACAGTAGAAGCCATAAGTACAGTTTCCACCAAGTGGGCGGTTTTCGTCTGGGGGATCAGGAACACTTTGACCTTTCAGACAAAGGTATCCTGCTGCACAATCTCCAGCAATACGGCCACCAACACAGTATTTCCCTGGGAATGACGGTAGTAAAACACTTTTACATATAATACAATTCTATCGTTAAGTTTATGTCATATCAATCCTACAACTATATATATTTACTTATGTTCATCCCTCCTCCTGGCTCTGATAACAGATCGCTAAAACTTTCTCTTCTTGGAAAATGCAGGGGAAATAGATCTATTATCTTTATGCTAAAACATACTAAGAAATTATTGTCTTTGCCCTATAAAACTAGATTGGGGTCATAAAAGAAATGAAATATTATGAAATCATTGAATACTTTCTGAATGTTACAGAAAGAACAGAAAACCTGAGTGAAGGATCAGTACTGGTAATTATAACATAAAGTAGAATTCTTTACAATCTGAAAAACAAAAAACAGTACCTTCTAGTGAAGAGAGATGTCACATGACTCATACTTATCATAGACACCTTCACACATCCCCTACCTAAAAAACAGTACCTTCTAGTGAAGAGAGATGTCACATGACTCATACTTATCATAGACACCTTCACACATCCCCTACCCAACCAGTCACACAATTCTACACATCCCCTACCCACCAGTCACACAATTCTACACATCCCCTACCCACCAGTCACACAATGTCACACATTCCCTACCCACCAGTCACATAATTCTACACATCCCCTACCCACCAGTCACACAATTCCACACATTCCCTACCCACCAGTCACACAATTCTACACATCCCCTACCCACCAGTCACACAATTCTACACATCCCCTACCCACCAGTCACACAATTCTACACATCCCCTACCCACCAGTCACACAATGTCACACATTCCCTACCCACCAGTCACATAACTCTACACATCCCCTACCCACCAGTCACACAATTCCACACATTCCCTACCCACCAGTCACACAATTCTACACATCCCCTACCCACCAGTCACACAATTCTACACATCCCCTACCCACCAGTCACACAATTCTACACATCCCCTACCCACCAGTCACACAATTCTACAAATCCCCTATCCACCAGTCACACAATTCTACACATCCCCTACCCTCCAGTCACACAATCCAAGCACAGGCACACTATCAAATGTCCCCTACTTACCAGAAACACTTCCAAATTCCCTACCACCAGACAACAAATACTTACCTGCTGAACATTCCTTGCAGTCCTCTGGCTTCTCCAGCCCGGTATCACTGGCATCAGTGTAAGTACCGTTTGGACACAGGAAGGGGTCTGAGGTGCCATTAGGACAGTAGGAATAGGCTGGACAAGGCTCAGGGACACTTGTGTTGACCATACAGCTAAAGCCGCTAGGGCACGTTACACAGTCAAGTTGACCGGAATTAGGCTGGTAGGTTCCTGTCAATCAAAATTATATCTATTTATAGAAACTATATCCAAAGCTTCAGACATTTCTTGACGACAAAATGCATCTTCTTTTTATCTGTAAGAGTATGGGAGAAAGATAATTTTTCTATTCCTGTCTTAATATTAAAGTCAAATGCTTGACACTCTGTGTTAATATTAGTGAAAACTTGAATGTTAACCTTTGGTTTTAAAATCCAGTGTTAACACCAACAATTTTCTCAAATAACAAACTGTCAATACAGCTTCTAGTTCTTACCAACTCCACAAGGCTCAGGGTCAGCAGTTCCCAGCGGGCAGTAATGTCCAGTCGGGCAGATGTAATCTGTGGGTGTTGAAGTGCTGATGTTGGCCGACTCTGGGCAGTAGTATCGCTCAGCACACATACCCGTGGGCGTGGTTAGAGCCTCATTCTGACAGTAGTAACCTCCAGAACACATCCAGCAGTCACTTAAAACACCACCACCTGTCTGGTTCCGGAATGTTCCACGTGGACATGGCTCAGCTGTTACACCACCTATATGTGAAAGAAATATCAACGACATGATATCCTCATGGTTCAAGAAAGATTGTACAAGAACACATACTGAGGCGACTAGGGTCACTTGGCCCATAAAGACTGAAATCATCCTCTTATTTTATTTTCATTCATGATTTTCAAAAGATAAGAAATTTGTTTTTGGAATAAAAACTGAAAATGTCCACAGCTCTCTGATGTTTTTGTCCTAGAGAGTGTATATTCTGGTATTTATCCTAATACATGCCAAAGGAGCAAAAACATTACTGATTGCTTAAAATAGGGGGGGGTCTTATTAGAGGACATTGATACAGTAAGCATTGACATAACTACTGAATTTCACCAATATATGAGAGGGAATATTGATGGATATTTACGATATACACATTTTAGTGCCAAGGTTAATCAAGTGTTACTGCTATGACAAGGCAGAAGTATGGTTGAACACAGAAATCCTCCTCACACTGAGGGTGTAAGGTGTGTCACTCACCTTCTAAGCAGTAATGTCCCACAGGAAAGGGCATAAATCTTCCTCACACTAAGAATGTAAGATGTGTGTCACTCTCACTTTCTAAGCTGTAATGTCCCGCAGGACAGGGCATAAATCTTCCTCACACTGAGGGTGTAAGTTGTAACACTTTCACCTTCCAGGCAGTAATGTCCCGCAGGACAGGGCATTAATCTTCCTCACACTGAGGATGTAAGGTGTGTCACTCACCTTCTATGCAGTAATGTCCCGCAGGACAGGGCATTAATCTTCCTCACACCGAGGGTGTAAGGTGTGTCACTCTCACCTTCTCAGCAGTAATGTCCCACAGGACAGGGCATAAATCTTCCTCACACTGAGGATGTAAGGTGTGTCACTCACCTTCTAAGCAGTAATGTCCCGCAGGACAGGGCATGTTTAGTCCATCGTTTGGTGCTTCTTGTGTCGCATTTGCAACACATAGGTACCCAGCCATACAATCTCCAGCAGGACTTCCGAGGCCAGTTGCATTACAGAACTTTCCAGGAGGGCATCCCTGACAGTCCCACGAGTTGACAAGGCCTGTCAGTGAACTGTAGGAACCTGCACAAGTCAAAGTCAAGGATGAAGTTTACATAAACAAAATTTTTTTGAAGAAGATTAGAAAATTGGGTCATACCTCAAAATCTTTGTTGGGGTAAAGTTCAAATAAAGTATATAAAAGATTATTACTATTTTTGGGAATTCATAAGGACAAAGGTCGCCTTTAAAACTTCAGGTCAAGGTCGTTGTTCTTTTGAAGGTTATGTTGTATGAATGATAGCATTATGAATTTACAGATGTTTTTAACTTTACTGCTCTAACGTTTGTTCTTATTGAGGGAAAATTCCAAGACAATACCTAAGGGGCATGGTTGACCGTTGTCAGATGTTCCATTAGGACAGTAATATCCAGCAGGACATATCTCCGTGTAGTTCATACCCTGTTGAGGACATGTTCGGCCTTCAGGGCAATCCCGACATACCGCTTAAATCACAAATTTCCTCATGTTGATTACACATAATTACCAAATATGAAAATTACTTACTTTAAAAGATTTCAGAAAGTCCTTTATTTGAAGCAAACTGGACATCATGGAACATGGTACAGTTTTCTTATTAATGTTATTTTCAAGATAAAAATTTCTCACCATTTCATTCCATTCTTAAAAATACAGTGCTATACTGTAACAATGGTTATTTAAGTAAGTTTTGTTCTATCTTTTAACCACTACTGACATTATTGTTTTCCTCATTAGTGTAATTTCGTGATGATGAAAAGACTATTTCAAACTTAAAATGCAAAATTTAGGAAAATAAACCAGTTTGATACTAACCATGTTTTGTACTAGGTGCATAAGTTCCGACCTCACATGGAGTTTCCTTAACATCTCCAGACTGACAGTAGTGTCCAGCTGGACACTCATACCCAATGATTCCATCGGTCGGGGTAGCAATGTTTGACCCATTAAGACAAATATAGCCAGCATCACATGGTAGACTATAACCTGAAGAATTAAGTGAAACAGACTATAGACCTCGTACTTAGTAGATAAAGACTATAGAACACATTTCAAATGAAACTGAATATAGTCTATATATAAACATACCATGTAAAAGCATTCATATTTAAAAAAAAAATCCTATTATTAGCTGAATAACAATTTAGCATACATATTTATATGAAACAGACTATAACCTACACAGCTTATGATGAATATTTCTAAACGAATTTTATAGATAAGATTGTTATCTCCCCTGTCGTGACTTCTGTGAATGTCTTATTATATCATTGATGTAAATTAGTGAAATCTCAGTTTTAACGGAATTTTATTTGATTTAGATGTACATGAGATATTTTTAACTAATTACACTACCTACAGTATAGGAAGTGTGTGAATGTGACCTATAACCTTTCAATAACAAGCTAGTGACTGTGAACTTTGACCTCTGCTTCATGCACCACCATATTCAATCAAAGGACATAAGCATGATGTAACAAGACTTTTCGCAACTTAAATCTAAACAAAGCAAAGCTGTCAACTGAAACATACACATGCTTATATCACAAACACTTACAGTAGATGTGGACATTTACGCATGGGGGAAATTTACACTAAATACTGGAAGTCATTTGGCAACACATGTTTTTCAGCTTTAAACGTGAATTCCTCAATAACATAAGCTTTATTTATTTTACAACAATTGCTAAATAAGGTAATTCAACTGATACTAATCACTCTTGTTGGCCTAGATGTAAACGTGCGAGGGGTCTTATGGTGGGAGGAAACCGGAGTAACCAGGGAAAAACCCAGGTGACTCCTTACCTTTTCACGTCCGTTCTGGGAATCAAACATCAGACGGCCAGGTGAAAGGCGAGTGTGTTACCCACTGTGCCACCTCACTACCTTTATGGTAACAAGTATTCAGCTCAAATTTCCACAAAGTTATGTGGCCATCTAACATACGCTAAATATCCCAAAAGGATGAACCATTCAATTTGGCTAACGAGGAAACTGGAAATTTATATAGCATGGACATTTTTTAAAAGGCTGCAAAACGACACATATACCACATACACAACATCAATTAAAAGCAATATACTATATACACGATTCACAAACAACAATGCATTATTCGGGATGCATCACCTACCAGTGACCACTTGACCTGTAAAAAACAGTTCTCTAAATATATCTTTTACAAAAGGTCTCAGGGGCCTGTATCAATTAAAATTAAGTTTGATGATCTTTTTAATGACGAACGTTTCAAAAGGATTGAAATCTAATTAAAAATATCAAATGATTATCAACTAATTAATTAATTTGACCAACTCAAGGAAGATTGATAAAGAATTTTCAAATCTGATATATATATATTTTGATAGAAACTTACTGTGGTAAAATAATTGTAGATCTCTAATGTATTTATATAGAGAATATCTGCTAACATGACTTAATCAAAGTAAACAACATCTACCATTTCCCATACTGTATTTGTTATATATTGGACTCTTGCTGGTTTCAATGTCTCCTGAACCCCACATTTTTCATGGCAAGCCTTACGACTCCCTTACATATAGATATAAACTTTATTTATTTTAAAATTGCGTATCAAGCTATTTCAACTTATTACTGGCCCAGATGTAAGCCTGTGTGGGGTCTTATTGTTGGGAGGAAACCGGAGTACCTGGAGAAAATCCACGTCGTCAGGCAGGTGACCCCTTACCTTTTCACATCTGTTCCGGGAATCTAACCCCAGGTGGCTAAGTGAAAGGCAAATGCATTACCATTGTGCCACCAGACCACCAGACTCTCCCACATCTTGTGCCTGTGACTCCTCCCCCCCCCAACCCAAACCTTTTTTGTGAAACTTTATGGCTTTCCCCATTTTTCTTTCCCAGCATACCATTTCTGGAGCTGTCCGGTGTACAGTAGTTGCCTGGTTTACATGACTCGCAATACGTGAGATCAACGTTTCCTGTGCTGGAGGCGATGGTTCCGTCTGGACAGGGAATCGGCTTGTAGGATCCTAAAGGACAGTAACTTCCTATCGGACACAAACCTTCAGAAGGTGTCGGTTCAGTTGTACTTCCATTACAGTAGTACCTACAAACCAAGGTGAACATCAAGACGTTATCTTATAGATTAATCATTACAGTTCAAAGGTCACACACATCTACAACCATCAGGACAGAGTTGACAGTGAGAAACATAGCCCCCAATTTTAAAACATTTTCATAAGGTTGGAAGTTCTTATAAAACAACCAGCAAAAGTAGCCCTGTACAGTATATACTCACCCTGGGAAACAGTCTCCCTCGGGAGCCGGTAGCCCTGTACACAGTATACTCACCCTGGGAAACAGTCTCCCTACAGGATCTGGTGGCCCTGTACACAGTATACTCACCCTGGGAAACAGTCTCCCTTGGGAGCCGGTCGCCCTGTGCACAGTATACTCACCCTGGGAAACAGTCTCCCTCTGGAGCCAGTAGACCTGTACAGTTTATACTCACCCTGGGAAACAGTCTCCCTCGGGAGCCGGTTGCCCTGTACAGTTTATACTCACCCTGGGAAACAGTCTCCCTCGGGAGCCAGTAGCCCTGTACAGGATATACTCACCCTGGGAAACAGTCTCCCTCTGAAGCCAGTAGACCTGTACAGTTTATACACACCCTGGGAAACAGTCTCCCTTGGGAGCCGGTAGCCCTGTACAGTTTATACTCACCCTGGGAAACAGTCTCCCTTGGGAGCCGGTAGCCCTGTACACAGTATACTCACCCTGAGAAACAGTCTCCCTCGGGAGCCAGTAGACCTGTACAGTTTATACTCACCCTGGGAAACAGTCTCCCTTGGGAGCTGGTAGCCCTGTACAGTTTATACTCACCCTGGGAAACAGTCTCCCTTGGGAGCCGGTAGCCCTGTACACAGTATACTCACCCTGAGAAAAAGTCTCCCTCGGGAGCCAGTAGACCTGTACAGTTTATACTCACCCTGGGAAACAGTCTCCCTCGGGAGCTGGTAGCCCTGTACACAGTATACTCACCCTGAGAAACAGTCTCCCTCAGGAGCTGGTAGCCCTGTCAGTATACTCACCCTGGGAAACAGTCCCCCTACAGGATCTGGTGGCCCTGTACACAGTATACTCACCCTGAGAAACAGTCTCCCTCTGGAGCCAGTAGACCTGTACAGTTTATACTCACCCTGGGAAACAGTCTCCCTTGGGAGCCGGTAGCCCTGTACAGTTTATACTCACCCTGGGAAACAGTCTCCCTTGGGAGCCGGTAGCCCTGTACACAGTATACTCACCCTGAGAAACAGTCTCCCTCGGGAGCCAGTAGACTTGTACAGTTTATACTTACCCTGGGAAACAGTCTCCCTCGGGAGCTGGTAGCCCTGTACACAGTATACTCACCCTGAGAAACAGTCTCCCTCAGGAGCTGGTAGCCCTGTACAGTATACTCACCCTGGTAAACAGTCTCCCTCGGGAGCCGGTAGCCCTGTACACAGTATACTCACCCTGGGAAACAGTCTCCCTCGGGAGCCGGTAGCCCTGTACAGGATATACTCACCCTGGGAAACAGTCTCCCTCGGGAGCCGGTAGCCCTGTACACAGTATACTCACCCTGGGAAACAGTCTCCCTCGGGAGCCGGTAGCCCTGTACAGGATATACTCACCCTGGGAAACAGTCTCCCTCGGGAGCCGGTAGCCCGGTGGACTGGCAATATTTCCCAGGAGGACAAGCTTGGCAATCTGCTTCAATAGTGATTCCAGTGCGATTGTTATAGGTACCAGCAGGACAGGGGAACTGGCTGGATAGATTGGTCATTGCAGGACAATAGAATCCCTCTGGACAGCTGCTGTTAGTCAGTTCTCCCACTGGCCCCAAACTACTGTCACAGAAGTAACCTACAAGCACCATTACAAACAAGTTTTAAATGTTTCTAGGAACAATATTACAGGTATTACAGGCCTCTTTCATAAGATCAATGGTTACTGTCTGGTTTTCTCTGAGGCACCTTTCTGTATACATGTATTCCCACTGGATACTATTTATAGGTAAAGGTCAAATGTCACATGTGAGTTTCTACAACCTTGCCCTTTTGTATATACCTGCTGGACACTGTTTACAGGACGATTGTTGGTACTCGTTCTGGTACTCCCCACTGGCACAACGGTAGGGTGTTCCTGTGCCTACGGTACAATAGTGGCCAGGAGTACAACGGTAGTCATAGGGATCTGGCACACTCTGACCTCCGGGACAGTAGAAACCTACAGGTCAAAGGTCATAATACAGATTCAGGCAAAATATCGTCAAAGTATAATTTACAGGGCATTTCACAAATCTAGTGTGAAGCCCTTACAATCACGCGATGAAGGTCACGGTACACATTACCATGCTAAAGTGGTGAAGTATTTCCATGCTTACAGACGGACCATTATTTTTGTTAGTGTAAATTGAGATCAACACATTTTTATAAATGTAATAGATTTGCTTTCTATTTCTTTTTCAATTTGTCGAGACATTACGGATACCATCCTACCTGCATCACATAGACCTGTTGTGGCACTTAGACCCGTTCCATTACAGTAGAAGCCTGGATCACATTCTGTACACTCCCCCTCGCTCTGCAGACCTGTTGTTGATGCATATGTTCCGTTCCGACAGGCATTGGGAAGATCTGTTCCAATCGGACAGTAGTGACCAACTGGACAGACAATTTCTTTGGCAGAGGTGGCGCCACCTGGACAGTAGTATCCGCCGTCACAGTCGTTAGTGGGCAAGGCTAGGCCGTTAGTCTGACAGTATTTTCCTGGTGTACAATTTTGCATGGCATAAGATCCTTCTGGACAGAAGAACCCAGCCTGGCATTCTCCTCCATTGGAAGTTGGCTAAAAGTATCACAATATCACATCATTAAAATCTGTAATCCAGTGCTACACTATATTCATTACTCTTTCATTTGTTCAAAGAGATTTTCAGTAGGAGACAAAGAGTCTCAGAAAATGATACCACCTGTAGACATGTTTGTCAGACATTAAAGTGACTAAAAGGGCCTATAAATGTGAATCCCAAACTTTCTGAAGAGGAACTTCAAATTCCTCCATCTTATCATTAATAAAACAATGTCAGCCACACTTACCTGAGCCTCATGAGATCTATTAGTACAGTACCAGCCTGCTGAACAGTTTCCTGTAGGGAAGGCATTACCATCACCTTGGCAGTACATGCCAGGATCACAGGGCACACAGGAATCAATGGTTTGTTGTGTGGTCAGGTTGTTGTAGGTACCAGGTGGACATGGCAACATGGTGGGGTCAGTGGTATTCAGGCCACAGTAGTGACCACCAGGACAAATGTTAGCACTGTAATCAGAAGTGTTAGCATAGCAAAAGTAGCCCTCTGGACAGCTCTTACAATTGATCTGATTGGTTAGATTTTGGTACGAGCCTGCTGGACAGCCAATTGGATTGCCTGATCCCTCTGGACAGTAGTGACCAGTTGGACATTCATGGCCGATGATTGGGTGAACTGTGCCTGTTGGACACTGGGTGTCATTCAACATGAGTGGGTTGGCGCGATCTACCCCTGAGACACAGAAGTAACCGCCCATACAGGGACCTGAAGGCGATGTTAAGTTGGCTCCTGTACACAGAACAAAAAGTCTTTCATTTAGAAAACATTGAAACTACAACAAAACCTGATAAGCTTTAGACATTAGTCACAACAGGTGTTTCTGCATGTTTTATCTACTGCATACTTTAAATCACTTAGATTTCGTTAATACATTATGTTGCAAATTTTCCTCATCAGTCATATTCATGAATACATAATTTTGTGAAATGCGATCTAGAAATTACTTTAAGTTCACGAATGTTGAGGTATTTGGGGCTCTGATACCGGTAGCCGAATCAACATGGATGCCCTCCAGAGTTACTTTTGTACAAATAATCCAGAGAGATTTGAATTTGCGATTGACTCTTCACGCATATTAATGTGAAAATAAATCCTCACAAAATGTAAGTGATTTAAAGTAAATTGTGCTAAATATAACTTTATGACAGACAAACAACATACATTAAATGCAGTAAGTAAGGTTTCAGATAGAGTTATGTGTACAGTAATATAGAATATATTTTTAGCATTGAAATGATATCCTCGGTTTAAAACACAAACTTTTTATGTTTCAAATTATCAGTCTGGTGTCTGATGAATACTAAGAAATCTTCATATATAATTCATTTAAGGATTGTCTATTTTGTTGCTTGCATTGACTGACGAAGGGAAGTAAATCTCGTGCAAAGAATATGGAAGCAAGTAAACTACTTCTATTTTTAGGTAATGAAGTAATAAGAGATAATTAGTTTCATTGACGAGGATCAAAGTCATAGTGTAACTGAAGTCTTTTTATGCAAACCTTGACAAAATTGTCCATCCGTGCAGGGTGTACAATCCTCGGCCTTCTGTAGTCCAGTTATGTTGCTGAAGGTGCCAGCTGGACATGGCTGCCAGTCATGTCCAGTTCCATTAGGACAGAAGAATCCGACAGGACAAGCAGCTTTAGCAGTGGAGGCTATACCGGGAATCACATGCTCTGGTACACAATAATAACCTACAACATCAAATTTCCTTTTAAGCCCATGTCTGGTAATATAAGCTCACCAATGTGTTGCAGTTGAAATTTTATCCATTTGTTCTGTAAAAGTCCCCTCACCAACTTTAAGAATGAAGGAATGTGTCCGCCTCCTGGGCTTATTGCTGGAAACAAGAATACTGCATCCATCATAGGTTGAATGAGCATTTTACAACAGGAAAAAGAAAGAATGTCTGATCAACACATTAAGGTTATTTACAGACAGTGCCAGATGTTAAATGGTGGAGGAAACCACAGTAAATCACCCGGCGTCAGTGGCGACTAAACCACTGGGCGTCAGTGGCGAGTAAATCACCCGGCGTCAGTGGCGAGTAAATCACCCGGCGTCAGTGGCGAGTAAACCACTGGGCATCAGTGGCGAGTAAATCACCCGGCGTCAGTGGTGAGTAAATCACCCGGCATCAGTGGCGAGTAAACCACTGGGCGTCAGTGGCGACTAAACCACTGGGCATACGTGGCGAGTAAACCACTGGGTGTACGTGGCGAGTAAATCACTGGGCGTCAGTGGCGACTAAACCACTGGGCGTACGTGGCGAGTAAACCGCTGGGCGTACGTGGCGAGTAAATCACTGGGCGTACGTGGCGACTAAACCACTGGGCATAAGTGGCGAGTAAATCACTGGGCGTATGTGGCAAGTAAATTACAGGTAAACAATTTTGTTTATTAAATCTGTCCGAGCTATGGTGGTAATGAGCATCCCTGTGAAGTTTTAAGCATATCTGTTGGAAATTACCAGAGATAATGAGCAGACGTAGTTTAGGTAATTACAATAAGGGGCCATAACTCTGTAAATTACTTTAATGGTAATGAACTTTCCTATAAAGTTTGAAGTTGATATGTTGAAAACTTATTGAGACATTGCGTGGACAGTGCATGTGAGACTGCCCCATCACATAATAACATAATATTGTGTCTGTGTGTTCTTTTACTCTTCATTTAGAAATTGTGAAGGGTTATGCCGCAAGTTGGTAACAGTTTACAAAAAAAACAAACCTTCAGGACACACGGAACAGATGGAGGCTCCATCATAGTCGACAAAGGATCCAGCAAGACAATCCTGTGGAGCTGCACTGCCTTCTGGACAGTGCATGCCTGCTGGACAGACAACCTGACTCTCCACACTGGATCCTGATGGACAGTAATGACCTGCAACAGTCGATCAAACATTTAATAATCAACATGCTTTATTTGTTTGGTAATTTTATTTCCCAGAAATTTGTAAGATTTTGGTTTCAATAAGGTACAAAAAAAGTTCCACAGCCATAACAATGGTAAATGACAGCTGTGAGAAAATGCTTGACTAGAGTGAAGTTCCTGTAAACTTTATCCATTGAGCATATGCGTAGTATTTAAGGCATTGTGTGGACTTACATGCTTTACATGGTCCTGTAATGTTTGTATCAGACTTAATGGCTGTGTGGACTTACCTGCTTTACAGGGTCCTGTGATATTTGTGTGTCAGACTTAATGGCTGTGTGGACTTACCTGCTTTACAGGGTCCTGTGATGTTTGTGTGTCAGACTTAATGGCTGTGTGGACTTACCTGCTTTACAGGGTCCTGTGACATTTGTTAGTGCGTTTCCATTACAATAATATCCAGCTGTACAGTTGGCACACTCGTAGCTAAAGGCAAGTCCTGTGGCGTCAGAGAATGTACCGTTCGTACACTGGTCAGGATATTCTGTTCCTAAGCCGCAGAAGTGACCAACTGGACATATGAACTCAGTTCTGGATCTAGAACCAGACGGACAATAATTTCTCTCCAAGCATTGTCCAACTGGAGCGGTCAGTCCAGTCTCATTACAGAAATAACCACCTGTGCAGTTAAGACACTGACTTTCCATATGTAGGTTGGGGGTGTTACTGTATGATCCCAGGGGGCAGGGGATGGGTTCGTCTGTACCCTCGGGGCAGTAGGATCCTGCGGGGCAGTCGTCTGCATTTATCACTGTCAGAGAAAAACAACATCTGATAACTATACTGTCTGTGTAACTAATATTACAGGACAAAGAATATCAAATATGGGCTAAATATGTGATACTGATAAAATACAGTAGTTCATTTAAATATGATACTGATGTGATACAGTAGTTCAGTTAAATATGATACTGATGTGATACAGTAGTTCAGTTAAATATGACACTGATGTGATACAGTAGTTCAGTTAAATATGACACTGATGTGATACAGTAGTTCAGTTAAATATGATACTGATGTGATACAGTAGTTCATTTAAATATGATACTGATGTGATACAGTAGTTCAGTTAAATATGACAATGATGTGATACAGTAGTTCAGTTAAATATGACACTGATGTGATACAGTAGTTCAGTTAAATATGACACTGATGTATTACAGAAGTTCAGTTAATTATGACACTGATGTAATACAGAAGTTCAGTTAAAGATGACACTGATGTAATACAGAAGTTAAGTAAAATATGATACTGATATAATACAGAAGTTCAGTTAAATTATTCCAAGAAACAACAGATTATGTATGACCTTTAAATTGAAACCTAACATTATGACATTTTGACGTAATCAGAAATGAGACTTACAGTCGGGTGTGGTAGAATCAGCACCCTCACGACAAAAGTAGCCTGCAGAACATAGTTGTAAGGGGTACGTCAATCCCACCTGGTCACAAGCCCATTTCCCAGTACAGGGCGAGCACTCCGATGAGTTGGTTAAACCTGTAGAGAGACCAACAAGCCATAAACCACTCAATTTGTACAAGTGTTATCTACTACAGTTTGTCTACTTTGATAAATTGATGACAGTCTTACATGTGTTACACACTTTATTTCTTACTTAAACAATTTTTCTGAATTACATTACAATGAGCCTAGCACCGTGAACCAAAGACAAGGACCGGGCTTATCAAAGGACAATTTAACCGTATTTGTTGGTAGCATAGGTGGGGGATATTACACCATTTACTGTCAGAGAAATGAAGTACAGTGTTAATTAAATATTTCACCATGAAGGACATTAATATTACTGACACTGTGTGTGAAACTCTTGATCACACAAAATCAGACTTTAAAACGGAAACTACTGTACAGTCCATAATTTTCATGAATCAGAATTTTATGCCGTTTTCTTTTAAAATGATCAAATTTTATTTTAATAAGTTAAATTTCATGATCTGGATGTAGAAGGATATTTTCTACACAAGTGTGACGTTATTTTATGGACTAAATTTTCATGATAATTTCAATGTACTGTGAAACAGCGAAAAAATCTTCCCTGTGAATATAACCGACTATCTGATACTTGTTTTAGATCTATTTTTAGTAAATCTCTCATTTAGTGGGATCAAGCCTGATATACCTGTCCTATTGTTGAATGTTCCTCTTGGACAGGGATATTGATTGGCGTGCTCTGTGCCGTTTGGACAGTAATAACCCTCAGGACAAACAGTGGAGGCGAAGTTGACCACAGGTCCAAATGTAGCATTACAGTAGTAACCCTCCGGACAGGTAAGACACAGTGACTGACCAGGATTGATCTATGAAAAAACGTCAAGGTCATAGAACGATTAATTGTGTACCAATATTTCAACCTTTTAACATGTCTGCTTAAATACTAAACAGTGCAAAGGTTAGATGAAGAAATATTTTTTCCATCTAATTATCTACCTTTGTAAAATTGAACTGAAGTTGATGCCTCACAGGTAGGCAGCTCAGAGTTGTTGACTTAACACATCAACTATGTTCTCAATATTTTACACATATTTACTATATTTGTTAACATCAATCTAATGTTTCCACCTGCACTTATTACAATGTTCTTGAAACAACAAGCTTTTATACAATCACCAATCTGGTATGAAAAAAAACTATTCAGTTGAATATTCCTTCCTGTTAATCCTGAGCATTTTCTATTATTCTGAAATACCTTGGTTTATTAAAAAAAAACAAAATTATTTTAGTCAATGATAATAGGTGGCGCTGTCTGTATACAGATAAATATTTACCTGATAGGTACCCGAAGGACAGGCCTCTTGTGCTTCTTTGCCACCCACACAGAAGTAGCCAGGGTCACAGCTGTAGTTTGAAGGTGTTGATGAGATCTGACCAGCTGGACAGTAGTATCCTGGGGAACAGTCTCCAGCAGGTGCACTTAGACCCTCTGTGTCACAGTATTTTCCTGGAAGATTTCATATCAAATTGAACTTAATGTTGTTCCTCTTGAGGACAAAATTTGAAGATTTTTTTAATTATACAATATGAAACAGATTAATCTTCATTATGCTCTGTTCTTAAGTTTATTTCTGGTGGATGACTATTTGAAGTCCTCTGTACCAAACTCCAAAAACAAAAGTAGAAAACATGTAGTACATGTATTAACAGAAATGTCTCTACACTAGTGTTCTGATTTAGTATTCACAATAAAGTAGCTGTAAAAGAGATTTCTGTGAAGGGAGATAACCCATCTCTGGTAAGAGATACTCTAGCTACTTACTGACCAACATACAAGTATTTAAGATGTAATCTAAGGTTAAGGAGTATAAGGCATGAAACAGAGTAATACCAGTTATTGCAGATTTTGTATACTGCACTGTAAAATCAGACATTTTTGTTGAGCTCAAATTTTGAGGTTTCCAAAAATATACATTTTTACTGGTTTGTTGCTTACAAAATTCACTAGAACTAAGACAAACCCATGTAAGCTTTTCTCACTATATTATTTAATGGACATAAAAAATTGTGGATTTGTCTGTGAAAGTGAGATAAAAAACCTCTCACGAAAATAAATGATTTTAGTATTCTATCAAAAGATAATGAGGTCATACCAAATTACAGAGGTGTCTTTCTGTTTTACTTATAGACAAACCACATTCCTTTTGGCTCAAAGTTCTTGATTTTGTGAATTAACAGTACCAAGATAACCCTCTAATACCAGAATTGCTATTGAACTTTATCATTTTGTGAACATATGAATTCCTGGATATAGAGCACCACCAGCATCTATGAAAATAGCAACCCCTAAAATTACTGATTCTACAGTATGTGATCAACCTGACCTTGCCAAAATATGTCTACTTTTGATATGTGATGACTTACCCTTAGTACAGATGGTACAGGATGAGGGATTGGTTCCACGAATAGATCCTCGGTAGTAACCGATTGGACAAGGAGTAGGATATGAGCTTCCTTCTGGACAATAGTAGCCTGCTGGACAGTTTCCGCCCATAGAACCATCGGGAGGTGTACTCAGTGATGAGCTGCCATTACAGTAGTAGCCTACCACAAGACATGAGAAATGTGAGACACACAATGACAGGAAGTTAGCTAAATCACATGCAAGATAACGTAGCAAATTACTGTACCCAAACAACACATCGCCTCACCAACATGAACCAATACCCCAAGTATGAAGTTCCAATGATTAGTGGTACAGGAGATAGAGACAAAACAAACTTAAATAAAATATAAAGTTCATGTAACAAACGATGTATGAAATCGAGCCTGGGAAAGGTAACAGGAAGATGGAAATCACCCTCTTCCTGCAGTTCCCAATGGGGGACTAATTTATGATAAGGTAAATTGGAGATAGTCATATGACATCAAGCATGACGACAGGCATATTCAAGTTTGTCAAGTGACATCAGAAAGTTCATTCCATGACAAAATGATTTGTAACAGGAAAGAAAGTAAAAAAAAAAGAAAATTACTTTCAACAAAATGAAAAAATTGTATTTCACTATACGATAAATTCAATATAAAATAATAACAAAAACTTTTGAGAGATATTGATTGCAAGCAGAGATATTTGCTTCTAGTCTTACCTTGGGAGCAGTTTCCAGTAGGTTCTGTAAGACGAATACCGAGACAGTACATGCCCGGTGTACACTCGATCGGGGCATCACTTCCCTCAGGGCAGTACTGACCAAATACACAAGTTCCTCCCATGCTTGCATCAGTTGGATTAGGACTGGTTGATCCGCCAGAACAGTAGTATCCTCCACTGTAAAGGGAGATAACCCATCAAACATTCACAAACAACACTAACAAACCACTGGATCCACCAGAACAGTAGTATCCTCCACTGTAAAGGGAGATAACCAATCAAACATTCACAACACTACTTACAAATTATTCCTGAACTTTAATTAAGATAATTAAAAAAAAAAAAAACCAGAATACAACAATGAGTCTCCTTTTTAACTGCAGCACACTCACATTTCTTCTGCAAAAGTATTCAGACAGTACTTTACACCCTTAAAAACAAATTTAATAAGATCCAGCAATCAGTACCTGATAAAGACAGGCTGCTATAACTTACAGTTGTAAGAACAGACAAATTCATGATACATACAGCCTCTTCGTTAAACATCTTTAATTACCAGAAAGGGTAGATAAGCAAAATGTACCGAAAGTGTCAGGGGCAGACAACTCTCGTCTTGTATATTTGCAGTTGTCAGTATAGTCGCTAGTAGTAACCTTTTCATTGTGTACTTGAAATTGCCAGGCAAATAATACGTAAATACAACATGGTAAAGAAAATTGGTTTATTGCAACAATGCAGTTTTAGGTTGAGAAAACGACCTATATTCTTTTACCTGCAGTTTCCAGTAGGGGCTGACAACCCTGTGTTCTGACAGTATTGCCCTGGAGTACAGGTTACACAAGCTGATGAGTTGATCTGATTGGTGGCAGAGTTGAATGTTCCAGCTGGGCATGGATTAGCATACTTCTGTGTTGTGCCTTCAGGACAATAGTGACCACTGCTACAGGACTTATCAGTGTAGTCAGTGGAGTTAGCCAGGCAATAGTACCCTGTAAAGACAGCACACAACATCATTCACACATAACAGAAATTTCAAAGAAAATAAAAAAAAAAGATTCTCAATAAATTTTGTTGAGCTAACTGTGAAGTTTAAAATGTCTTATCAAAGTAAGATTGTTTAAGAATACAGCAATTTTACTGTTAAGTTTCATTTATTAGCTGAAAATTTAAAAGATTCTGACTCACCTGCTGGGCAGACTTTACAGGTACTCTGAGTTGTTTCATCCTGGTACTCACCGGCGAGGCAGCCTATAGGGGCATCACTGCCCTGGGGACACTTATAGCCAAGGGGACAAATGTCACCATAACCTTGAGAGTAAATAGGTTTAAATATAGGTCACTGATTTCATTGTATACAGCATTCTATAGCCAAGGGGACAAATGTCACCATAACCTTGAGAGTAAAAAGGTGTTAAATATAGGTCACTGACTTTATCATTAATACATGAATATACAGTGTGTTAGTTATTATTTTAGGGAAATTGGAACAAAATATGTTTTTTTAGATAATTTAAGAACAGCTATATCTATATGATATACTTTCATATTCCTAATGTGTCTCTAAATAGCATTTAAATAAGACCTACAGCATGTATAGAGAATATAGAACCTCCAATCAGGATTTAACATAAATTAGGTACTAGTATATGTCAACCAATCAAAACCAGTCTGATATAATCTACTACCCATTCTGTAGAAATATAATGATAGCCTTGTTTTATAAATAGATATACAGACCTGTGTGTCCCCCTATCAGAGGACAGCTAGCTGGATATGTGCTGTTAATGGCCGCATTGTCAGGGTTGGGGCGGTCAACGCCTGACTGACAATAGTACCCAGCCTGACATAGGCCTGTAGTGACATTAGCACCCTCTACTGAGCAGTAGTAACCACCATCACAGTCTAGGCATTGGTTCACCTACAAATCAGTTTTATACAATTATTCTTTAATATCATTCTTAGATATTTTAAATTTATCAAATTTTGGGTATATATACTTCATATCAATAAATCTTCTAACCTCAAAACTCCAATAATTTCACAAAAAAGCAATTCAAAATGTTTTCATGTTCTTTTTTGTCAAAAAAAAGATGAATAAATGTACTTTTCTGTAGCTTAAAGTTTTAACCTGTGCAATTCTCCCCGGGGAAATTCTGTAGATTAAGGAATATAGGAACATCCATACCTAATACACTATATACACACACAAGTTGATTTGTCAGCTATATATATACACACCCTATACAAATTGGTCTGTTGGCTGTAGGTTCCCATTGGACAAGGCTGCCAATCTAACCCAGTTCCGGCAGGACAATAGTAACCCATTGGACAATCATAATATCCTGATACTGGAACTGAAGCACTGACGTTCTGGGCCACGCAGTAGAATCTGAAGGCAACATTACACAACTTAATGAGAGATACTGTAAAAATTCTCATTTCCAAGGAGTTTTATTTTTTTTGCTATTTCTAAGGATGGATGAAATCTGACAACAGATACTTCAGAAATAAGATCAATAAGGGTCAGTTTTATATACCATCCACAAAAATACATCCCTGCTGTCTGAACCAGTGAAGGAATCAATACAGTACAAAGTGGTATTTCTCAAAGGTCGGCTCAAATAAACGTCTTATGTTTATAAACTATGTAGAGAAACTTTATCTAATAGAGAAAGTAAGAAACTGATAGTAAAGGAATCCAACATACCCATCAGGACAGGTGATGCAGGCAGACATTCCTGAACTGTTTGTGTAGGTACCAGCTGTACAGGCGAGAGGCTGGTCACTTCCTTCTGGACAATGTAGGCTGATAGGACAGATGACCGCATTGTGTATACTTGATCCTGGAAATGTCCAATAATAGCTTATTAGGTACAAAATTATCTGAATGAAAACTTAATGAAAAAATGAAGGATTCTCAACATCCGGGAACACCTGTTGTAGTCTATTTATGGACTAATTCATTGACATGTTTTCACCACTATTATAAGGAGCTCTACAGAATACCTCAGGTATCCATCTGTAACAGAGGTCATTATTTATTTCAATGCCTCCACTAGGATTCGAACCTTGGACCCCTGACTTACTAGTCTGACGCTCAACCAATCAAGCTAAAGAGAAGTTCTCACTATCCAAGTAGTATATTACGGCTTGTTTTTACCAGGGTTTTACAGGAACCTAGCCGCAATCTTAGATATATAGAGTGTTCATTCTTTAATATTGTTTTCTCCTGAATGGAAACTGTTTGAAGATTTAGAGCTCCAATATTCTTCATAATTCAGCAACATATCAAAGATATCTGGCACACGTAATTTTTTAATACATAAGTTTACATCAAGCTTTGCCACAGAACGGACTTAAAATGATGTGAAAGCTTATTGTCAGAATTTAAAATGGACAATAAGCAACAATTACAGTATAGATAGTTAATTGTTTTTTGCTTTGAGAAAAATAAGAGCTAAGAACTTCTCATGATGTGGCAATTGCAAAAGTTAACAAGTGCAAAAAAAGGAGAAAGACAGAAACAAAGAATGTACAGACATGTCAAAAGAATTTTAATTCAAACTCCAATTCAATGAAACTCAGGCAAAATATGAACAAAAGAATAATTTACAAGAAGATATCTGAAAAAGGACAAGGATAACAAGACCAGGTGTTCTGGAAGAGTAAGTGTCTTCTACTTCATCAAAGACATACATCATTCAAATGCTGGTCAATATAAGTAATTCGTGTCCCAAATGAGAACAAGGTAAACAAACACGAAGCAACCAGCATCATAACTAGCATCAAACTTGTTCAACTTTATATCGCATAAAGAAAATGTTTTTTTCTCTCTTGAATTCTTACTACCATCAAACTCCCAATAATATCTATCATTTTGCATCTATTGAAACCTTGTGCTGTGAGTAAAGCTGTCAGCTGCCGACATCTTACATAAAAATCATGATATTGAGAACAAAGCCTTGAATATCGAATCAACAGTAATATGTAAACACCATGAAAGTTGGGGATGCAGGAATATTGCCATCCATAAATGGAAAATTTATAAAATGGAAGTTGAAATCATCATAAGTTCATCAAACAGAATTTTCAACCTGTAGGGGTTTACCAAACAATGATATAATCATTTTCGAAAGAAAATTGCACCTTCACCAAAGCATTCCCTCAGTCTGATTTTCAATGTGAGAAAATTGATTTGTATATGTAATATGCTTTGTTTTCAAATTTTACGAAACCTAACTGCGCAAGATAGAAAGTTGGTTAACAGTGATTTAAATATTCAATGATCAATCTGTCCTCCATGGTTTTTTAAAAGATGATAATAATAAAAAACCCAGATAAAGTGAGAACTTGGGATATCTGACCTTCAGGGCAGTAGTAACCTGCCGTACAGTTGCCTTCAACATCTGTTAATCCTGTCTGTGTACAATAACTACCGCCGGTACAGTTTGTACACTCCCCTACAGCAGTCAGTCCTGTACTGTTAGAAAAGGTTCCGGCTGGACATCGTGCTGGTGTGTGAGTGCCCTCGACACAATAACGTCCAGCTGTACAGATCTGAGGAGCGTTGTTATCAGATCCCTCTATACAGAAGAAACCTGCTGTGCACAGCCCAGTCGGCTCAACCAATCCAGAATCATTACAATACCAGCCTAAATAAAAAAGTGAAGAAAAAATTCAACTTTAGAAAACAACAGTGACCTATGACCCTGATCCTATATCTTCTTGACCTATAACCTTTGATCTAGTGATTGCTGACAAATACTGTAAACATGGAAATTTGTGAAACGGGGAAATTTAAAATATAATATGCAGAAGTCATTTGCCATGAAAATTCCACCCAGGCTTGAAAATTTGTGAGTTATTATGTACATATCAAAATAGGTATTAAATATGTAAAGATAAAATAAACCCCGAGTCTGAACAAAATTAAATTAACATCGTTGAAACTTCACATTATACAAAATTATGCTTGTGAAAATAAATCAGAGTTCAAACTACCAGTGTTGACATTGCCCAAAATCATGACAAAGTGTTTGATAGTTTCCTAGCAAGGAAGGAAACTACTGATTGGTAATGGCATTTTCAATTGGACTATAATCATCTTTTGGAATATGTTCCTGCTACGTTAATTCACTGTTAAGAAATCAAAGCTTTTATTATGTTTGTTATCACATTGGATACTGCAATGGAGATATCATGTTAAATGTAGCCCTAAAAAACACAAGTCTATTGGTGTATGGACAGAAATTGACATATCAGTATAATTACAGATTTATGTTACTTAAAATGATCTCAATGGTGTTTACAAAGCATGTCTAGAAGTCTTATAATTATTTATTATACATAATAAATTGGGAAAGTTTTAAAATAATTTTCTTATCAAAATGTGAAGTTAAAAACTGTTGTTCTTTGATAATACAAATGGCGATATTCTGTGGTCTATATATACTGACTGCTTTTAAAATAGAGTTTGGACCTCAAGTTTTGTCAGTGAGCATGGTGTGATGGCAAATTATGAAAAAAAGACAATCAATGTTAATTAAGTGATATGTGTGTGCATTGTATTTGACAGTATCTCGTGCTTGCTATGGTACTTTACAATTCCCTATCCACAGTGTTTACCAGTGATGACCACAGGGAACACCAATCAAAAGTTAGATGTGTGATCACATGATATGTTTAAACAATTTGAATTGTAAGTGAAATAAGACTTAAGAGGGTTAGCACTAACACTAGACAGAAACTGATTGTTTTCATTAAAAAAATCATGTGTTCAAACTACCTGCCTACACTACTGATCTAAGGTTTACCGTACATCAATTACGAAAATGACCCTCAAGTAAAATTTGCCTATTGAAATCGCATAATAAACCCCCATAGAAATAACCATGTTCACAGTAAATGATGAATACTGTTGACCTTACCTCAATAACAAAGGTATATAACAAAAAACTTTTATCACACAAATATATTAAGAAATATCTTATTCATAAAAATCTATCAAACAAAACTGACCTATTACCTCTTACTGACCTTTAACAGTGACCTATGACCTTTACCCTGTTTATCTTACTGGCATTAAAAGCCTGAATGACAATGACCTTGACTGCTACAAACCTCTTGTACATGAGTTACAGTCGGTCAGGTTCATCAACTTGGTGTTATTTGAGAAGGTTCCTGCTGGGCATTTGATGGGTTCAGTTGTCTGCTCCGGACAGTAATGACCAACTGGACAGGGGTCTGCATTTGACCCTTGAGATGGTGCGGCTGTTTGTGCGGCTGAGCGACAGTAGTATCCGGCAGCACATGGCAGAGACGGGACGACAGTGCCAGCTGTACAGTAAAGACCTCCTGCAAGAGACAAACAAGAGGCTTTAACACTGGTGTCAATATTACACATGTTCCTAGTGGACAAATATAATAAGAAGTGACACATCTAAATCAGCTTTTACAATAACCTATTTAAAATCATATATAGTAATGTATGGAGCAACTTAAAAAGTAAAACAAATATCAAACGTGTTTGAAATCAAAACTTTTAACACTATTTCTGCTGGAGCCATAAAGGGTAAATGTGGTCATACCTGTACAGGGCATGCACTCTGTGTCCCATCTCAGGCCGGTCTGGTTGTTGAAGGTGCCCACGGGACAAGGGAACTCGTTTGCCACTTTTGTGCCATTAGGACAGTAATGACCCTCTGGACAGATATAGTCTGTATAGTTAGAAATAGGGCCAAAAGCATTGTCACAGTAGAAGCCCTCAACACATTCCTTACATGTGTACTGTCGAACCTCGTCCTGGTAGAATCCCGCTGGACACAGCTGATAGGAGCTAGAACCCACCGGACATTTATATCCTACTGGGCATTCATAGGCACTTGGGTTCCTCACAATCTGGCCCTCTGGACAGTAGTAGCCTTAGGTATAAAAAACAAGAGGAGATAACTCTAAACTATACTTCCCTGGTACTACAATCCTTGTTTCAGCCGAATACTTACAGAATAAGTGAAGCAATGAAATAGCTTTCAAATACAAAATATTATAAACATCTGTTAAAATTTTCTATTTAAATATCAACACAGAAGTGTCAGGATGCAGATAAATCACACACTATACACTGTATTGCCCCTTATGGCGCTGGTCTTATCTTTGCACGTTTTGCTTCTTAAATCATTGAAATAGAAAATCCAATTTAATTGTGCTAAATAAAGTTTTATTTTATGCTTTTGTTATAATTGTTTGTTTGTTGAATTATAATTCACAGTTTAAACGTAACACAAAACAATAATGATACATTGTATATTAATCACAAAGCTGATGAAGTGTAAAATTCATCGACAGAAAAAAGGCTAAAATTTCACCATTTTACACTAAAATCTATAAATCACTTTACCTGCATCACACATTCCATCCTCTGTAGCCAGTCCACTACTGTTACAGAAATAACCAGCAGTACAGGGCAGACACCAGGAGACATTCTGACCAGCCATGCTAGGCTGGAAGTAACCTTGAGGACAGGGTTCAGGAACGGAGCTTCCTTCCACACAGTAATGGCCCATTGGACATCGGTCACCTGTAAACCAGTAGTTACATATTTATAGTAATATTGTAACCTGGGCCTGAAGTGTTAACCAGTTAATACTGTAACTAAAGCCCAGGGTGTTAACATATTATATTGTAACCAGTGTGGTCACTAGCCTTATTACCAGACAATCAAATACTATTTGTTATCAAATTCTTTACATGAAATAATTTTAACCAATCAAATAATTACCTGATTTCTACCAATAAAACAATACCTTATTGCGACCAATCAGAGACTGCAATGACAATCACGAATATACCACAGTGAAAGAATTACAAATAATGACAAGTAATAATCATGTTGTGTTTTAGAATTCTTAGAAGATTTTCCAGAGAAAACAAGCAAAATGCGTATTGCTGAAGCAATGCATGTCTCATACTGGCCCCCACAAGTTACAACCCTCAAACTCAAATATGTACAAGATAACTTGATGTTTAGTTATGGTGTGATTTGACAAAAAATCCTTCATGGAATTAAGCTGCTAGAACACTGAATAACGTTTAAAGATGCATGGATGGACAGACAGACAGTAAAATTAAAACTCCCACCCCCCACTTCTTCCCACCCACTTCAACCCCCCACTTCCTTCTGCCCACTTCCTACCGCCCACTTCACCAGTAAGGGATTAATAAGGAGGAGGATTAAAATATTGCAATGAAAAAAGGGTGTTGAGTGGAATAATTCATTTAAAACTGAAAAGGTCTTAAAAAAAACCTGGACAAAACACTTCAGTTTCCAATAAAGTTCCTTACCTCCGGTACCTGTAGGTTGTCCTGTGGTAGAGTTGGAATTACAGTAATATCCTGCCGAACAGTTCCCTGCGGGTGTGCTCATCATATCTATATCACAATACATGCCAGGGTCACATCCTACTGGGGCAGAACTTCCAATGGGACAGTAAGTTCCTGTAGGGGAGATTACTCTCTTAGTCAAATAAATTTGAAAAATATGGACAGATTACTACAATGGTGTCTGTTACAATAAAATTCTCTAAGGGAGATCATTCTCATAGTCAAATATTATTCAGTATATTCTAGACATGATACACATCACTGCAATGACATCAGGTTAAGTTTTTCTATTATATAGTGAGACAGGTTACAACCTATTACAGAGTGAGACAGGTTACAACCTATTATATAGTGAGACAGGTTACAACCTATTATATAATGAGACAGGTTACAATCTATTATAGAGTGAGACAGGTTACAACCTATTACAGAGTGAGACAGGTTACAATCTATTATATAGTGAGACAGGTTACAACCTATTATATAGTGAGACAGGTTACAACCTATTACAGAGTGAGACAGGTTACAACCTATTACAGAGTGAGACAGGTTACAACCTATTATATAGTGAGACAGGTTACAATCTATTATAGAGTGAGACAGGTTACAATCTATTACATAGTGAGACAGGTTACAATCTATTACAGAGTGAGACAGGTTACAACCTATTATATAGTGAGACAAGTATTTGAGTCTGAGTACCTTTTTATGAAAATGGACGATGGCCTTTTTATTTCTTGTGTGATATATCACAGAGTTAGATAGAATTAGCTGGTAAGTGTAGATGTAATGTTATAAGACAAACCAATATATATATGGTAGTAAAATCACTTTATACTGACAAGTTACAATTTAGAAAGTGTACTGGGAATTTTTTCTTTGGACTTATAAATGTTAACTTTAACCACTCACACCTAATGGAGCTATATAAATAAGTACTAGCAAAAAGACTCTTGGAATTGGATCTTCGACTGTCTCAAGTTATGTGGCCTGATTAAGTAAGATTTAATGACCTGTAGGTCACTTAGAACAGAATGTAACACAGCAACATACCTGCTACACACTTGCCACCATCTGTTAAAGTTTGGGCGAGGCTGGAACCCAATGTACAATACCAGCCAGCATCACAGAGTCCTGTGGGAGAACTCATGCCTGGCGAGCCACAGTATGACCCGGGGGTACAGGGCTCGCAGGCACTGGTGTTGGATTTACCTGTAAACAGGTGAAAAAACGCTGACATGTTTGTAAAGCATTTTAAATATATGTATTTTGTAAAGATTTTGAATTTTTGAAATGAAGAATTCCCACTTGGGCTGTGTATGAAAGTAGGAAATGTCTTGAAATACAGACACTGTGTCACAGACTTTCACACATTAAATTCCAAATGTTTTCAAGGTGACTTTGATTAATGTCCTTCTGTATACATTTTTCATCATTTCCACTCTAAAGGGAGCTAACCACTATCTTATTGTTTTAGGATACAATCAAACTTACAAATCAAAAACAAATACTATTTAATTTTGCCCTTGTACAGGTTGTTATACACAAATTTTTGCCTTGATCTTAAATTCACCCTCCCTGTTCTGGGACGAAAAAGACGAACATTTCCTGGTAAACAGTATAATCATAGCTCATATTTTAGAGCTTCCATGAGATATCTTGTACATAGCTTTTTGTTTTCAAAGTGCTAAACAGTATCTTTTTTATTTCAAGGTCAAGGGTAGATATTGTACCAGTGAGGTTGTTAAAGGTTCCTGCTGGACATGGGAACTGGATGTCAAAAGCGGTCTTAGCTGGACAGTAGTGACCAGATGGACATGGTTTGTCCGCATACGTCGTACTGTTGGCTATACAGTAGTAGCCCTCTGGACACGATTTACACGAAGCCTGGTTACTCTCATCCTAGTTAACAAAAATCAAGGTCAAAATGTCAGAAAAACTGATTATTTCATGGTTTTCAAGGTCAGAGGGTCAGAAAAATTGCATTCCAGATGTATACATTTCAAAGAGTTCAAGGTCATAAAACTAGACAAACTAAATAAAGATACCTACCTGAAATTCTAAAGGCAGTAATGATTTAGGAGTCACTTGCAGAACTATAGGTCTTTTAAGAATTAACTGCAAATCAAATTCTTTAAGGGACAATAGCCATCTAAAACAGATCACCACTGACACAAGACGGTTCCTACCTGGTATGATCCAGCATCACAACCTTGTGGTACAACGGTGCCTTGTGGACACTGGAAACCAATAGGACAGATCCCGCCGGTTCCTGTGTGGTTTCCTGTTGGTGTAGCTGTGTCCACGCCGGACTCACAGAAGAACCCTTGGGCACAATCCCCAACAGGTGCAGTCAGGTTAGTGACATCACAGTACATGCCTCCTGTACACTGCTGACAATCTGCTTCCGCAACAAGACCAAGCTGGTTACTGTAGGTCCCTGCTGGGCATGCTGACTCGTTACGACCTGTACCAGCGAGGCAGTAAAATCCACGAGAACAGAGACGGTGACCGGATGATGAATTACCTGTAAAAATATATCAGTACTATGCATATATTTGTTTTGCCGTCAAGTTTACATTTTGATATTTTAGATAAATTTTGAAAAATAAAAACTGATGAAGAACTTTTAGGGTTTAATACAGGACAGGACTTGACCACAAAATGCCAGTTACTGAAAGACAGAACATGAGAATAAGCAAATTACCTCTTCAACCGTATCTGTATTGAAGACTACTTACCTTGGATGACCTCCTCAGGTACACAGTAGAAACCTTCAGGACATATAAGGCAAGCAGACGCTTGAGTAAAGTTGGCAAAGGTTCCAGGTTCACATGGCACTGGTAGGCCACTTCCTATTGGACAGTGAAGACCAATCGGACAAGGCGTAGCAACAGGGTTTGACACAGAATCTCTTCCAGGGCAGTAGAAACCACCATCACATAACCCAGTGGGCAGGGTCAAGCCTGCATTGTGAAGTAAATTTCAATTATAAGAAAAAATATTCTGGAGTTCAATTATAATAAAATTTGAGATTTCGTTTTGAAATTAAAAATATTTCAACAATATCTTATATAACTATTTACCAGTATCATTACAGTAGCTCCCTGGGTCACAGTCTGTACACTGGGTAGCATTGACAAGCCCCTGAGTGTTACTGTATGTCCCTATGGCACAAGGTGTGGGCCAGCCTGATCCTTCAGGACAATAGCTGCCTCCCGGACAGATGGTTCTCCTCGAATGGTTAGAGGACAATTCACAGTAATACCTGTGGATAGTAACAAATTAATACAGAATTAGAATTCACAGTAATAACTTGGTTAACAATACAGAATTAGAATTCACAGTAATACCTGGGTTAACAGTACAGAATTAGAATTCACAGTAATACCTGGGTTAACAGTGCAGAATTAGAATTCACAGTAATACCTGGTGATAGTTACAAATTAATACAGAATTAGAATTCACAGTAATACCTGGGTTAACAGTACAGAATTATAATTCACAGTAATACCTGGGTTAACAGTACAGAATTAGAATTCACAGTAATACCTGGGTTAACAGTACAGAATTATAATTCACAGTAATACCTGGGTTAACAGTACAGAATTAGAATTCACAGTAATACCTGGGTTAACAGTACAGAATTAGAATTCACAGTAATACCTGGTGATAGTTACAAATTAATACAGAATTGGAATTCAAAGTAATACCTGGGTTAACAGTACAGAATTATAATTCACAGTAATACCTGGGTTAACAGTACAGAATTAGAATTCACAGTAATACCTGGGTTAACAGTACAGAATTAGAATTCACAGTAATACCTGGTGATAGTTACAAATTAATACAGAATTAGAATTCACAGTAATACCTGGGTTAACAGTACAGAATTATAATTCAAAGTAATACCTGGGTTAGCAGTACAGAATTAGAATTCACAGTAATACCTGGGTTAACAGTACAGAATTAGAATTCACAGTAATACCTGGGCTAACAGTACAGAATTAGAATTCACAGTAATACCTGGTGATAGTTACAAATTAATACAGAATTGGAATTCAAAGTAATACCTGGGTTAACAGTACAGAATTATAATTCACAGTAATACCTGGGTTAACAGTACAGAATTAGAATTCACAGTAATACCTGGGTTAACAGTACAGAATTAGAATTCACAGTAATACCTGGTGATAGTTACAAATTAATACAGAATTAGAATTCACAGTAATACCTGGGTTAACAGTACAGAATTATAATTCAAAGTAATACCTGGGTTAACAGTACAGAATTAGAATTCACAGTAATACCTGGGTTAACAGTACAGAATTAGAATTCACAGTAATACCTGGGTTAACAGTACAGAATTAGAATTCACAGTAATACCTGGTGATAGTTACAAATTAATACAGAATTAGAATTCACAGTAATACCTGGGTTAACAGTACAGAATTAGAATTCACAGTAATACCTGGGTTAACAGTACAGAATTAGAATTCACAGTAATACCTGGGCTAACAGTACAGAATTAGAATTCACGGTAATACCTGGGTTAACAGTACAGAATTATAATTCACAGTAATACCTGGGTTAACAGTACAGAATTATAATTCACAGTAATACCTGGGTTAACAGTACAGAATTAGAATTCACAGTAATACCTGGTGATAGTTACAAATTAATACAGAATTGGAATTCAAAGTAATACCTGGGTTAACAGTACAGAATTATAATTCACAGTAATACCTGGGTTAACAGTACAGAATTATAATTCACAGTAATACCTGGGTTAACAGTACATATTTAGAATTCACAGTAATACCTGGGTTAACCGAATAAATCATCAGTTGTAATATCTTGTAAGTTATCTATGAAATTACAACTTTCATATTTGCTTCTAATTCATAACGGATGTTATTATTGCATATCTTACCCTCCCTCACACGGTCCGGTGACATTGAGCATGCCTGGCTGGTCACAGTACCACCCTGCAGGACACTGGGTACAGTCTGCTTCAGCCTGCAGGCCTGTACCATTGCTGTATGTACCCTTGGGACAGGGAATTGGTGTAGACGTTCCTATAGGACAGTATGAACCCTCAGGGCAGATGTTAGCATCAGCTCCTACAAAGTATGTGCATGGTAAGTTGTTTGATTGTCAACTTTACGGAATGATTAGACAGATGACAACTTGTTTAAGCATTAGGAAATCAGACTTGTTTGGCATTTAACAAATAAGATAAACAAAAACCTATCATTACTCAACATATATGAGTCCTGAAACGGTTATTGAAAATACATGGTCACCTTATTCTTAGGTTTAGTGGTTGAATTGTGAAAATCTCTAATTACTTTAGGATGGAAACAGGTCATTTTGTGGTATAAACAAAATTTCTGTGTATTTATCGTCCAAAACTCTCTTACTCTAACTAGGAGATAGACAGTAATATGATATTTATCTACTTTTCTACTGAACTGAAAAAGATAAAGCTGGGTTTAATGAGAGATATGAGTTTATTATGATATAAAATTCTAACTAACCTTGATCAGGAGCTGAGATGTTTGCATACTGTTTACAGAAATGTCCCGCATCACACATGTCCACCGGCGTCACCATGCCAACCATGGGACAGTAGTACCCGCCCAAACATGGTGTACAGTCGGTCGCTTGACTCACACCAGTCCTGTTGTTGAATGTGCCAATAGGACATGGGAATTCATTGTTGTATCGAGTTCCTGCCGGACAATAGTAGCCCATCGGACAAATAGTGGTGCTGTTGTCAAGTACGACAATCCCCATGGTGTTGTCACAGAAGTATCCTGCAGGACATTGTTTACAGGTGTTCTGAGAATCTTGGTCCTGGTATGTTCCATTTTCACAGCGAATCGGTGACTCAGATCCCACGGGACAATAGTGACCGACTGGACATCTAGTAATGGAGAAACAATTTTATCGTCACAAAATAAAGTAACATTTCGTCTACATGGGTTCACTGGTTCTATGTTTCAGTAATCCAATGTTCATACAGAAAAAAACCCAACAGACATACAAGACGAATCTTGGTTAATTTGTTGTCATCAATGTTCTTTGGATTCCTCATTGATTTCCCCCATTTTCTCTGTTTTTTCCCCCATAAGGTTGACATTATGCTTTAAGTTCCAAAATCTGAGATTTACAATAGAAGACCAGTTTACAATTACCTGTAGTCATCAGGTGTTGATGAGTTTTGACCTACTGGACAGTAAAATCCCGCAGAACAGTTTCCAGCGGGCAGTTCAGCTCCGGAGCTTGGACAGTAATTTCCACCAATACATATCTTACAATCACTGATTTGATCCTGCATCACGACGTCCAGGTAGTACCCAACGGGACAAGGTGAGGGGGCAGAGCTCATTTCCTCACAGTAGTGTCCGAATGGACAGACAGCCCCGGTCACATTGTCTGTGGGCGTGGCTACTGAGGCCTCTAGTGTACAGTAGTAACCTGTAATGGTAAGCGTGATAAATATAAAATTTATTTTACAACTGCAAAATCAGTGATATCAACTCTCAACACTTGAAAGGTGTTACTGTTGGAGGAAATCAGAGTACCTTAGGAAACCTTACGAGGTCGGGGCAGGCGATTCGGATCTTAACTCTAACACTTTATCTCCAAGATATAAATATAGCATTACACAAGTGTAGTTACACCACAAAGTATACATCACAAATGTTTGAGATTGCATGAAGGTCTCCCTAGTGAAATAAATGTCACATTTGGTGCAAATTTTGCCAATGATCGAGGGAAAATGAGTTTGCTTTATATAATAAAGAAAATCTTAAATCCAATATGTTACGTTCATGTAATTATGTGTTTAAACATATTCAAAAAATAAATTCCATATGCATGTTACAATTTAAAGTACAAGTCTTGAAATGTCCTCAATTTATCATCTGAGCATAAAAACAGAAATCCTTCAGTTAAAAAAAAAGTCAATACTGTAACATCTTTAAAAATTCTGTTTCCATAGTTACCTTGAGAACAGTTTCCGGTGGGTGTGTCAAGTCCTGTTGTCTGGCAGTACTTGCCAGGGGTACACTGCTGTGATTCATAAGAACCCTCAGGGCAGAAGAATCCGACCTGGCACTGACCGCCTTCAGGAGCAGATGGCATGGACAGACTGGAGTTACTGCTACAGTACCAGCCTAAAACAGCAAAATATTTACGAAAATAAGAAACCACCTCCTCAATTGTTAAAAAATTTGCATGTTACAAACTAATAATGTTATCAATAGATTTTACAATTTGTTTACTGTTCTTAAAATAAGTAAGAAAAAATATGGGTCTTTTCTGTGGACAGGGATACTCAACCCTTGTTTAAGAGTTTTACTGGTCAGTACATGGCAAGCTTTGTGCTCACCAATCAAACTCTTACAATCAGTTTGAGACATCCCAGTCCAGGGCATAGACCCAGCCAAGCTTTACAGTCAGTTCTTACCTCATACAACTGTTAGACTTTAAATAGATTAGGTAGACTATCTTTGCTGGTTATTTAGTTTAATTACTTCTAGTAAGTGTACAAACATTTATAAAATCGAAAGATTAACCTCAGTTTCTCTGGAGATAATCCATAAATACTGAGACAATCAGAGACAAAGTTTAATAAATTCTTAATAAGTAAAACTATTGGAAAAGTAGACAAGTAAAACAGCTGTTTTGTGAGGATATTGTGTAATGGATCACATTACTAACAGAGACTAGAAAACGTCTTTATTATAAAGACATGAATGCCTCAGGTCCGATATAATCAAAAAGCTAATCAGGTGTAGAACTTGATGTTATAAACCAAATCAGTTCAGCTGTTCTCAAGAGATGTTATTGTTTTGGAACGGGACGTGACGTCACATGATACAATGTGACGTGATGCAATTTGACACACAGTAGAAGGGTATATAAATGTAGACTTACCTGGAGAACAAAGGCCAGTTGGTGCTGACAGTCCGTTGGTGGCACAGTACTCTCCTCCTGGACAGGGGAGACAATCACTGAGTTGACGGGCCATGGTGAGATTGTAGAAAGTCTGGGCAGGACATGGATACTGGGTGGACACATAGGTACCAGCTGGACAATAGTGGCCTGAGGGACAAGGACTGTCCACGTAGGTCACAGACCCTGGATAAATAATTCAGCATCATCATTTGAAGACATAGATTAGAGTGATCTCCCTTGTCTCTGTATATAGACCTCAGCAAGAATCACATGTATTTCTACAGGAACTGAACCAATGTTATGTGAAAGAATTCTGGCCATGTTTGTTTGTTTTTGTCTGTCAGAGAGTAGAGTACATAAATAACCCATAAGTGTGGCCTATACATCATAACATTTGGTTCTTTACACAGAAATCAAAACAAATTAAAATTTCGAAATATAGAAATCCCATATCATTAATTAAGAACTATAATCATTATTAAACATTGATTGGATTTTTTCCCTATAATTTACATTTAGAATTTATATCCTTTTTTGGTAATAATTCTCCTCCAATTTAATCAAATTCGACAATATTCTTACCCTGAACACAGTAGTATCCAGCAGGACACTGATGACAAACAGCTAGACCAGAGACATTGCTAAATGTTCCCTGACCACAAGGAAGGGGTGTGGTTGTCCCCTGGGGACAATAGTGGCCCTCGGGACAGATCCCGCCCACTCCAGTCTCTCCACCTGACACAAATAATTCAAAATTTACTGTTTGTTACATGGTGTCCACATTCTTGACATGTATAAATGCCTTAATATAGAAAATGTTCAAATTCTTTTTTAATTATAGGTAGAATACTAAATTAGTTAAAATTAGTTATCGACTCTTGTACAAATAAGAGTAATTTTCATTTTTTTAATTCTTCCTCACTATACAGGTATGAAAAGCTAAATTTTCTCTTAAAATCATACAGCAATACATGGACTAAGGAATTTGAAATATTTTGCCACCTGATGAACAGACTAAATGTCAGTATGTCTCTACCTGGTACTTGACAAGTGCCGTTGATGAAGGTGGCATTCCCTCCTGTCGGATCACGTCTGTCTACACCATATTCACAGTAATGACCAGCATCACAGAAACCAGTCGTTGTGGACATCCCTAAGGAGTCACAGTAACTCCCACCTGGACATGGTTTACACTCACTGGACATAGACAAGCCTGTTTCATTGTTAAAGGTTCCAACTGGACACTGCTGCCAGTCAAATCCTGTGCCAGCTGGACAGAAGTGACCGATTGGACATAAGTCAACCAGATTACCCGACCGACAGTACCTAGAAAAGAAAAACATGAAAGATCAGATATCAGCACAAGATATTTATCTACAATTGTAAATACTTGTTAATACTAAAAAACAAATGTAAATTCATGCAATCATTTGTAAATACCAACAAACATTTGTAAATGTATATACAAACACAAACTTGGATCCTACCATGCACGATCAAGTTCATTTATCTATAGATTTTAAATTGCTTACAATTTACAAGATCAATAATTCTAAAGCAACAGGCGTCTTATGATACAAATTACTTAAAATCCTGATCAAACACTCAAACAAATATGAAATTTTGGCCAGACTACTTGACAGTAATACAAAAAACTTGCACTCAGAAAGCAGAAGTACCTTGAGTTCATTCATACAGACCTGAATAGATCATGATTATGAGGTTTTAAAAAAAACAGTAAGAGAACCTGTAAAATAGATAAGTAAATAAACAATGACCAAGGGAGACCACTCACCAGCCTGCGGGACATGTGTAACATTCGGACGCCATGGTGTGGTTCATGTATGTACCGTTGGCACAGGGTGTAGGCTGTGAGGAGTTAACAGGACAGAAATGACCAACTGTACAAGGATAATCTGCTGGACGAGAAGAGTTCTGTCCTCCTGGACAGTAGAATCCCGCCTCACATGGTCCTGTTGTAGCATTCAGACCCTCCGTCTCACAATACTGACCCTCTGTACATGGGGTACAGTAGTCAGAACTATTTAGGCCGAGGTAGGGGTTAAATGTTCCCTAGTAACAAAATAAACAGACCAATCAATGACTGTCTCATATACTTACATTCTATATCACAGTAAAAGGAAAATGGTTTCTTCATCATATGTTACAATGTACATGATATGTCACTTCATTCTATCACATTCTAAATTATTTCACAAATAAATTATTACTTTTCAAATTCTAAAGCTTTATTAAAAGTAAATATCAATTGGCAACAAGAGGCCTATAGGGCCCGTATTACTCATCTTTACTATGTTAACAAAAGGCCTATAGGGCCCGTATTACCCATCTTTACTTTGTTAACAAGAGGCCTATAGGGCCCGTATTACTCATCTTTACTATGTTAACAAGAGGCCTATAGGGCCCGTATTGCTCATCTTTACTATGTTAACAAGAGGCCTATAGGGCCCGTATTACTCATCTTTACTATGTTAACAAGAGGCCCATATTGCCTGTATCACTCACTGTTCTATATTTAGAGTGAAGATATTTAAGTTGGTGTAAATTGTACACAAATCCTGATTTAAATGCTGTCAAAACTGAAATAACACAACTAACCTCTGGACATCTTTCAGGTGTCTGAGTTCCGCTTGGACAGAAGTGACCAGCTGTACACAATTCCTTGACCCTGGAGTCTGACCCTCCAGTACAGAAGTAGCCACCTGTACACTGTCCCTGTGGTGAGGTCAGTCCTGGAATCTCACAGTACTGACCGCCGGTACATGGTGTACATTGAGTTTCATTGGCTAGGCCCTCTAGGCCACCGTAAGTCCCAGCCGGACAGTCTAAGGGGTTTACAGTGCCCTCTGGACAGTAGGAACCTGTAAATATATTTAGTATTCAAGTTTTTATAATAAAAATGATATTTCACAATATATAATGTACATATATGACATAAATATAACACAAAATTTATATCAAGTTGAATTTTTTTAAACCATTTAAAGTTAATATATTTTTTTTGATTTCCGTCAAAGTTTTCAATACTTATTACAATTTTGTTCATTTCAAATAAAATCTCAATATTTCATAATACCATTGAATATAAACATGAGTCTTCAAAACTCATTTATTTGTTTCCACAGTAATGTTATTTTACAGCAAGCTTTACAATAAAACCTTTACGGTAATTTTATTTTTGAAAGACACAAAATTTTACATTGTTATGAAATAGAAAAATGTTATTGACACTGAAATAAGCAATAAACATATTTCCTTTTCATTCTTAAGATACACAAGAAGATTGTTTTGTCTGAAAAACTTAATTAATTTTAAATTGAATCAGTTTATGTTTTTTATTTCTGACCTTGTGGACAGATGCCAGCGAAGCCTGTGTTGTTTGGAGTGGACAGCTCTGCATACAGATTACAGAAGTATCCCGGAGCACACAGTCCGACAGGTTCTGATTGGCCGGCTATGCTACAGTGGTACCCTCCAGTACAGGGCGTACACTGAGAACTCTGATTTAATCCTGTCATGTTGTTGTAGGTACCGGTAGGGCAGGGGAATTGGTCACTCCGTACCGTGCCTTTAAGTTACAAGATCTCACATTACATATACTGCAACTTGGACAAAAACATAGTTCCAAAGTGCTTAACCCAAAATAGCTGTCCTTGAGAAGTATCAACTCATGTCATTATAATATATATATATGTATATCTAAAAAGTAAAAATCCCTCGCCCCTAATATAAATACTTATTTCAATTTTGAAATTATTGAAAAATTATACAAATTAATGAATTTAGTTTGTAAACATTGTAGACAAATATCAAAAATTTACCATTTTTACAATCTGACAAAATGATATTTTTTATAAGTGGAAAACTACCACCATCTTGGTTTATCATACGTCAACTAACATGATATATATACCCACCTAACAACAGACTTCTGTAAAGTCATTACCCCTAAATATAAAGCCACATTTCTACATCTTATTGATATTGGTAATATTTTGTTCTGTTACACAACAGTGGTAAAATCATACTGTATGTCTTTAACATCAGTGAAATATTAAATTTTGTGGGAAGGTCAGTTATATTTCACACCATCACTACAATATGCCATCACACCAATTTGGAATGATAATATTTCTCCAGAAATGTAAACAAATGTTATTTTATCGTTCTATAAAAAGCCAACTCTCCCAATTTGACCCGAGTATTATGTGTAGGTCTCTGAGTTCACTTGTCACCAGCCCCTCCTACATCACTGACCTGATGGACAGAAATAACCAGTTGGACACTTGATGGTTTCATTGATGACTACGACTCCTAAGCTGTTATCGCAGTAGTAGCCCTCTGGACACAATTTGCACGTCCACTGACCAGTCTGGTCCTGGTAGAATCCACTTGGACATAGAATTGGGCTGGAGGTGGCTTCGGGACAATAGTGACCAGTGGTACAAAGATTTGGTGTGTCTGTTATTTGTCCCTCCGGACAGTAATATCCTTGGGTACAGTTACCTAGGTAAAAAAAACAGAGCTATCATAAAAACACAGAAAACAGTAAATCTATGCATTTCAGAATCAATATCGAGATTCATATTTTCATGATGTATCAATTCTAATAACATTGACAGTTATTCCCCTTTTAAAATATTGGCCAAAAATCAAGTTTTAATCACGCTAATTTGTGTGGTAAAACCTGCCATAAAATTGATTTTGAGTCCTGGTATAGTAGAATTCATTGTTTAATGCTGTTTAAATTGTAAGCTGTTGAAATTTTGTTAAACTTGATGCCTTTTAACCAAGTAGACTTATAATAAACATTTATGATCTTTGCCTTATAGTTCTAATGAAGAAGTTTTGTAAGCTACGAACCTGTTGTAGCAGTGAGATTGTAGTCACCACAGAATTCTCCAAAGGAGCAAGCCAGACAATCATTGACAGCTCTGTTTCCTGTACTTGGACTGAATGTGCCAGGTGAACAGGGGGTCGGGGAAAGAGATCCTTCTTCACAGTAGAACCCTGGGGGGCAGATATCACCAGTGCTGTCCCCTGGGGGAGTGGCGGTAGATGCTCTGGCTGAGCAGTAGTAGCCAGCTGAGCAGTTCCCTGTGGGTGTATCTAGGCCTTCAAACTGACAGTATTTACCACCAGGACATGGTATGGGGCTGCTGGATCCTGAAAATTGAATATAGATATTTTCAATGTTAAACTTCCACAAAATCAATGAAAATTTTCTCAAATTGCAATCATTTTAATTCTGAGCCTTTAAGAAAAAAAAAATTTAACCAGATTCTGAGCCTTTAAGAAAAAAAAAATTTAACCAGATTCTGAGCCTTTAAGAAAAAAAAAATTTAACCAGATTCTGAGCCTTTAAGATAAAACATTTTTTATCCAGATTCTTAGCCTTTTTGATGAAAAAAATTTAACCAGATTCTGAGCCTTTTTGATGAAAAAAATTTAACCAGATTCTGAGCCTTTTTGATGAAAAAAATTTAACCAGATTCTGAGCCTTTAAGATAAAAAATATTCCAAGACAACAAAGAAACAAGAAAGAGCAACAGTACAGTAAACAGTGACTCTCTAAGATGTATCATTAGTTTTGATGTCTATAATAATCTTCCTACCTCCAGGACAGTAGTAGCCAGGCTGACAGATACCACCATTTGTGGTGGTGTTCGGGCTGTCCGATCCACTTACACAGTACCAGCCGGCCGAACAGTTACCAGTAGGAGTAGTGCTGGCGTAGTCCTGACAGTATTGTCCTGGATCACAGTCGCGACAGTCCGCCAGGGACGTTCCATGTGTGTTTGGATTATATGTCCCTGGTGGACACCTGTACTGGGTACTGGATGATGTCCCATTAGGGCAGTAGTGACCTGGAATAACGAAATAACATCAATTGATGTATTTTGACTCCTGTGAAACAAAACTGGTGCCTAGTAACAAATCCTGCGTAATTTGACTTGTGAAGATTCTTTTTTTCATTATTATCCCTGTATAATAAAACCAGTTTTTTTCAAATTGTGACAAATCTTCTAGTCTTATTCCTGTGTAACATCTGTGTTATACATGCTTTTCATAGACCCTGTATAATACCATGACAGAAGTAAATCAGAGCTTGAATTGTGTTTCTAGCAGAAGTGGAATATCAAACAAGTGTGACAATAGTTTATAAGTCTGACCTTGAGGACATGGGGTGGACAGGTACTCGGAGGCATTGACCAGACAGTAGTATCCCTGGAGACATGGCGCACACTCCCACAGTCCTGTAGCCTCGCCGTACGTCCCGGCCGCACAAGGTGTAGGTGTTGCCGAACCCTCTGGACAGAAATGACCCAAGGGGCACTCCCCGCCCACTCCAGTGTAGAAGGCTTGTTCTGGGCAAGTGCAGTTAGCTGTTACACTGTCATTGCTCGCTCCTGGTTGTGGACGGTCTACTCCTGATGTACAATAGTATCCTGTTCAAAGTAAAATGGTGTACATTTAATTTAGAGAAATGAAAGAGTCCCTGATATTCAGCTGTGGAACAGTGGAAAGATCACTGGTCTGACCTACAAATGTTTGTATTGGAATGGGTGATTGGAAAGTTCGCTCTCCACCTACAGAACAGTTTGCAGTAACACGTGAGTAAAGGACCACTGTTTTACTTGAAAAGCAATTCACAGTGAATATGGAAGTAAATGACGACTATTTACCTGCAGAACAGTTTGCAGTAGGTGCAGTCAGATGTTCACCCTGACAGTACATCCCTGCTGTACATGCCTTACACTGGTCGACCTGGTACAGACTTGGCTGGTCACTGAAAGAACCACTCGGGCATGACATCCAATTGATTCCAGTTCCTAGAAAAAATTGGTTATAAATCACATCTCATGCATATTTCAATTTACAACGTCCTTTTTTGATATGTACTTCAAAACACAAAACCCAACACTTTATATGGTTTATCTTTACATCAGGCCATTTATATAAATACTTAGTAAAGAGAGTGAATATGTCATCTATACATAAAGATTGTAGTGAAATTTTAAACAGTTTCTACCATTACACAGAGTATACAAACCAGCTGGACAGTAGTAGCCATTAGGACAGGACTGGGCATTTAGTGTGTCATTGGCGGGCTGGACAGGAAGACAGTAAAAACCAGCAGGACATACGTCACATGACGAGGCTCCAGTGTAGTTGGTGTAAAATCCATCAGGACATTCCTAGAAAAAAAAACATAAAAATTCTTCTCTGAAGTATAAAATTTCTGGAGAAAATAATATAATGATGTCATGTATTACACATGTGTTACTATATTTATAGCACATGTGTACATCTACGTACTACACACATATATCTATATTCATAAAACTTTAGTACACTTACTTTAAATGCTAACACAACAAAATATAAAACACAGACAGATATACATGTGTATTTTTTACCTTATATATTTCACTGCCATTTGGACAATGCATTCCTCGGGGACAGATGTAGGCCCCTGGGTTGGGGGCAGCCATTCCCTCTGGACAGTAGTAACCGCCCCAGCATTGTAATGATGTCTCGGTCATACCTAGACAAAATACCATTACTTGTTAGTTGTAATCTGTTTGATGTTCATAAGGTCTGACAATGACTAAAGCAATAAAATAACTGAACCAATTAAATTTTACAACAAATAATTGATGAAATGTTTCTTCCACTACCTTGAGTAGCCATTATCAACTAAAACCTATTTCACTTATCTATGCATATAGATTACCTGAGTTCGGGCAGTAGAATCCAGCTGTGCAGTTTGTACAGCCTGACTGAGCAGTTAGTCCAGTCATGTTGGAGAATGAGCCAGCAGCACACGGTATTGGCTGGTCACTCCCTGTAGGACAGTAGGATCCCTCCGGACACAGAAGGAAGTTAGCTACATCAGCTTTGGTGGGGCAGTAGTAACCTGGTAAAATGAGTAAATCATCAAATATTATTCTTGTGCATGATATTAGGCCATCTTTTCAATAATGAACTAAAAAATTTGGACAAATGTGTGTAATCGATAATCAATGATCTGTTTAATCAAAATTGAAAATTTAACTATGATCTTGTCTTTCATTGAACAAAACAGTATGATAATCAAACTTACAATCTCCAATATCAGAATAGTATTTTGAAATCAAACAGAAAATGGAGATTACAAAGAGCTAAATCAAAGGGAAGTAACCCTGATTGACTCCTACCAGATTGGCAATTTGATCCAGTCGCTGTCATGTTGTAGTCGGGACAGTAAGTTCCACCTGTACAGTTGGTACACTCATCCACTGCCTGACGTCCGGTGGTTGGGTTATAGGTCCCTGGGGGACAGGACAGTGGGCTGACAGTCCCAAGGGGGCAGTAAAACCCAGGGGGACAGATGTCTGCTTCAACACCTTGGCTTGGTGTGGAACTATTTGCACCAGACAAACAGAAATACCCAGCAGCACAACTTGCTACAGGGAGTGTGAGACCAACCTGGTCACAGTACATGCCTCCACTACAGGATGTACAATCAGACACCATTGTACGATGTGTGATATTGTTAAAGGTTCCAGAAGGACATGGAAACTGTGTTGACATTGTTGTGTTTTCTGGACAATAAAACCCGGTAGGGCAGTAGGAGTTATTATAAAGCACAACGGGATCCATGGTACTGTCACAGAAATAGCCAGCAGGACACGCCTTACACCAGGACTGTCCAATGTCATCCTGGTAGGAACCTGAAGTACATCTGATGGGTGCAATGCTTCCCTCAGGACAATAGTGTCCCTGGGTACAGTTATAACTGGAGGGGGTTGGATTGTCCTGACCAGCTGGGCAGTAATATCCAGCACTACACAGTCCATCTGGTACACTATTTCCACTACCACTGCAGTAACTTCCAGATACACAGGCAATACAATCCGTGTCCGCATCATTTCCTGTGCTGTTGAGATAGGTTCCAGACTGACATAGCAAAGGAGCGGTGCTTCCAGCTGGACAATAGGTACCAGTAGGACAGATGTCACCTGGAAAATTTTTCATCTTTATGTAAATCAGTGCGGTAACGTAACACATTTTTCTTTTGATGATTTTTTATTTTTTCCATATACTTTTATTATATCTAATGAATATATCAAAAGACAACAATCATTCTCACCTTCGTGCATCAATTTCAATTCAAAATGACTTTTCTATCAACAACAATAATAGTTTCCCTATTTGCGTACTAAGACAATAATTGTACTAAATAAGGTTTCAGTGATCTAAAAATAGTTCTCAATACTGCAAACAACATTTCCGTCTATAGATTATTTTCACACCTTACACCAGTATACATGAATTCACATCATTCTGCCGTCTGAGGATTTAAGTAAAGGGTTATATAAGTGTAGCAAATCTTTGCTCCTTTTAAAACTTGCCCTCCCTGCTCATTGATGAAAAAGGCAAAAATCCAACATGGGCAAAACATTTCCCGTATACAGTATTAAAATACAATGAAAGTATACTTTGAAGGTTCAAGATTTCAAAGTTCAACCAAAACTGAAAAAGGAATTGCCAACATACTGTATTTTTTATGGTAATATGGATTTCACTTTTCAAAACCATGAGAAAAAAAATCCTTGTTTTTCTCTATACCTCATCTCTTCATCATGTAAATCCATATCCAATATCTAGATCACTTACCTGTTACGTTTCCATCAGTGGGGTTAGAAACAGTGGCCATCTGGGTACAATAGTATCCAGGGTCACAAAGGCCAGAGGTCATGTTTAAGAGGTCATTGCCACAGAATGACCCTGGTGTACAGGGGGTCGGGTTTGTCGACCCTTCCGGACAGAAATAGCCTGCAGAACAGTTGTTTCCACCAGCACCAGATGGTGTTGCTGTAGCAGATCCAGAATCACAGAAGTATCCAGCCATACACAGGCCTGACGGGAGTGTTAAACCTGTCTGTCCACAGTACTCTCCACCTTCAATACAAGGTCAAAGGTGAAGGTCAACTTTCATTTATATTTGTGGTTCTATAGCAATAAAGGAAAATATAACTGTTTCTATACAATAAACACTTTGGTATAATATGATTGATTCATAATGTTACAAAAAGTCAAGGTCATTAGCCAAGGTCATCAGCCACTGATTACATGGTGCCATGGCGACATCTTAATTTGATCTTATCTATTTGACATATATATCTTACAATCTAGACATACCTGGACAGCTGAGACAGTCACTGTTACTTGTCCTCATCGTCAGGTTGTTGTAGGTACCAGCACTACATGGATATTGGTTCCAGTAGCCAGTGCCGGCCGGACAGTAGTGACCAAATGGACATGGATTGTCTGTGTAGTTGGCTGTCCCTTCACCACAGAAATATCCTGTAACAAATAAAAGTTATCAATAATTATATCTTTAAAACATTGATTATGACCCTAAATATTGTACCAGTTTACCTAGAACCTGACAACAATACTAGTAGATACTGGCTCAGCATAAAATTTCAGGTGTTTCTAGGAGGCGACAAAAAATGTAACATCGTCAAAAGTATAACACCTCTTAAGGGTATGTTTACCTGCAGGACATGTAGTACAAGCAGCCATTCCAGTTGTATCGGCGTATGTGCCATTATCACAAGGTATTGGGTAGACACTGGCTGTACCTCCGGGACAGTAGTTTCCTACAGGACATATCCCTCCATACCCCAGCTGTCGGTCATCGTAGCAAGAGATGTTCCAAACAGCTGACGACTGATTGTTTCCATCAGGGTACTCTCGATCAATACCATAGACACACCAATGACCAGGGGCACAGTCACCTAGGCAAAATACAACATTTATTTCTCAATTCTGAAATGGGGTGATTACATCAGGACACACATTCTTGAAACAGGTGAGCTAAATATGATGTACATTTCTTCTCAGTGTGTATAAATAGATGGTTTATAGAGAAACATTTACGCTTGTTTCAAAGTCAAAATCCCTCGAAAAAAAATAAGATAAAATCTCAAAAGGTGGTGCATACTGTTACGTGGGATTAGACTGAGACCTACCTGTGGCTGCTGTTAGGTGTTCACCACCACAATATTTCCCAGCTGGACAAGGTTTACACTGACTTTCATCACTAAGGCCTTCTGTGTCACTGTATGTTCCTCTCGGACAGGACTGCCAGTCAATTCCTGTACCCGCTGGACAGTAGTATCCCGCGGGGCAGATGGTACTAAGACCTGTTAGATCACAGTAGAATCCAGCTGGACAAGCATTACATTGGACAGCATGTGTGTGGTTCACCTAGAGATACGTCAAATACGATAAAAATTAATCCAAGTAGTTTCAATCACAACATACCCAAGTATCCCTAGTGTTTATCTATTGGCTAACTACAGTCCTGATGAAACCTCACAGATCCAACATGCAGCACTCAATTCAGTTATCTGCCAACACACACAGATTGGCACTGGCCAATTCTTAAGTTAATTATGATCAAATTTATGATGAAATATTGAAACATTAACAAAATAATGAAACATTAACAAAGTCCCAAAGGGCCTGTTTTACTCAAATAAGTCAAATATGTCACTATATTAAAGCCATGAGCTTTACAATATCTGATAAGTTTGTCTTAGTTAAGCCATCAACTACTTTGATAAAAAGTTCATACTATAGGCAATTAAAATATCAGTATACTTAATTTTTATCAAAGCTCCAAACTGTAGGAGACACTGTTGAACGTAAAACTATGGAATCTTATCAACTTATAAAGTGTGATACACCAGGGGCCAAGATCTTAATATATTACAATTGAAATGTTCTTAAAAATCTTAATATATTACAATTAAAATGTTCTTAAAAATCTTAATATATTACAATTAAAATGTTCTTAAATATCTTAATATATTACATTTAAAATGTTCTAAACTTTCAACAGTCATTATAATCATACCTGATTGTAGCAGAAAGACTACAAAGTTAGATTAAATATACACCTTTGTATTCAGCTCAAAAGAAAATTAAAAAAATCTAGTTTTGTGACAATTTTGTCAGAACATGCAATTGCCATTTTCAAACTCTTTTTTGCCTCTTACTGGTAAGTTTAAACTGTTTTTTACCTGTGTGTAGTTACGACAGGGAATTGGCTGTGACACTCCCTCTGGACAGTAATGTCCTACAGGACAGAATGTACTAGCAGGCTCCTTGTAGATAGTTCCTTCTGGACAGTAGTAACCTAGACAACAGTAAATTTATGTAAAGCTGATAAAGTTCTGTAAATTAATTACTTTCCAAACATCATTGAAATACAACAAATTCAAACGTCTACATGCAACAAAAACTTTACAAACAACAAACTGAAGGAAGCCTTCCATGTTATTGATGAGTTTATAAATAATGTTCCTTTTCCCCCCTTATTAACATTTTCAGAAGTTTTCTTCCAATGGATAAAATATCAATGTTAAAATTCATAAATATATTACCAAACTAGGTTGGTTTCTACCTAATGCATTGATTAAGGGAACTATAGGTCAAAATGTCTGATCAATTAAAAGTCAAGACTGTAGCACTGTTAATTTGGTAAATACAGGCTTTGTAAAAGGGGCAACAATCTCTTAGAGGTATGACCCTAACACCTGACCACAGGCAGTATGACAACAAACTTTGCCAGTATGCCCAAGTTGTCCATGGCAGAACATACCTTGTCCACACAGCCCTGTTGGTGCAGTAAGGCCTGTTGTCTCACAGTATGAACCTCCTGGACATGGCAGACAATCAGAGTCATTGGTGAGGTGGGTTACATTTGAGTAAGTTCCTGCAAGGGTGGAAAAAATTTGATAAATACAAAAGTTAAACATAACATATCTATGCAGGACCTCATGCATAAATATTGTAGATTAATTTTTTTTGAAAGGAGGGTAAACACAAATCAGTGTATAATAAAATCTAATCGCATGATAACTATAGTGTTTAAGGTAGCATATAGCCTTAACTCTAAAACATGCAGATCACAGGTATAATGTGTTAGGTAGCATATAGCCTTAACTCTAACACAAATCACAGGTATAATGTGTAAGGAAGAATATACCCTTAACTCTAAAACATGCAGATCACAGGTATAATGTGTTAGGTAGCATATAGCCTTAACTCTAACACAAATCACAGGTATAATGTTTAAGGTAGCATATAGCCTTAACTCTACAACATGCAGATCACAGGTATAATGTGTAAGGAAGCATATAGCCTTAACTCTAAAACATGCAGATCACAGGTATAATGTGTAAGGTAGCATATAGCCTTAACTCTAAAACATGCAGATCACAGGTATAATGTGTAAGGTAGCATATAGCCTTAACTCTAACACAAATCACAGGTATAATGTGTAGTATAGCATATAGCCTTAACTCTAACACAAATCACAGGTATAATGTGTAAGGTAGCATATAACCTTAACTCTAACACAAATCACAGGTATAATGTGTAAGGTAGCATATAGCCTTAACTCTAACACAAATCACAGGTATAATGTGTAGTGTAGCATATAGCCTTAACTCTAACACAAATCACAGATATAATGTGTAAGGTAGCATATAGCCTTAACTATAAAACATGCAGATCACAGGTATAATGTGTAAGGTAGCATATAGCCTTAACTCTAACACAAATCACAGGTATAATGTGTAAGGTAGCATATAACCTTAACTCTAACACAAATCACAGGTATAATGTGTAAGGTAGCATATAGCCTTAACTATAAAACACAAATCACAGGTATAATGTGTAAGGAAGCATATAGCCTTAACTCTAACACAAACCACAGGTATAATGTGTAAGGTAGCATATAACCTTAACTTTAACATAGATCACCGGTATAATGTGTAAGGTAGCATATAGCCTTAACTCTAAAACATGCAGATCACAGGTATAATGTGTAAGGTAGCATATAGCCTTAACTATAAAACATGCAGATCACAGGTATAATGTGTAAGGAAGCATATAGCCTTAACTCTAACACAAATCACAGGTATAATGTGTAAGGTAGCATATAACCTTAACTCTAACACAAATCACAGATATAATGTGTAAGGTAGCATATAGCCTTAACTATAAAACATGCAGATCACAGGTATAATGTGTAAGGAAGCATATAGCCTTAACTCTAAAACATGCAGATCACAGGTATAATGTGTAAGGTAGCATATAGCCTTAACTCTAAAACATGCAGATCACAGGTATAATGTGTAAGGTAGCATATAGCCTTAACTCTAACACAAATCACAGGTATAATGTGTAAGGAAGAATATACCCTTAACTCTAACACAAATCACAGGTATAATGTGTAAGGTAGCATATAACCTTAACTCTAACACAAATCACTAGGTATAATGTGTAGGGTAGCATATAGCCTTAACTCTAACACAAATCACTAGGTATAATGTGTAGGGTAGCATATAGCCTTCACTCTAACACAAATCACCGGTATAATGTGTAAGGTAGCATATACCCTTAACTCTAACACAAATCATAGGTATAATGTGTTTGATAATATATACCCCTGATATTGCACATTTGATAAGTCTACTTTAGTGTATAGCTTAAACTGAAACATTAACTAATAAAATTCTAAAAGAAATCATGAGCAGTTGTGAAATTTGGTATCATATAGTTTAGATATTCAGTGTGCCAATGTTCAGTGGTGATATATAGAATTTTGATTGAGGTTATAACCTACCTTGGGGACACAAGCTAAATGTGGCGCTGCCGTTGGGACAGAATGCCCCCTCAGAGTGAGGGTTATAACCCACCTGGTGGACACCAGCTAAATGTGGCACTGCCGTTAGGACAGAATGCCCCCTCAGAGTGAGGGTTATAACCTACCTTGTGGACACAAGCTAAATGTGGCACTGCCGTTGGGACAGAATGCCCCCTCAGGACATGTAATGTAAGTAGGACTATCAGCACCCTCTGTGCAATAGTAACCGCCCCAACATAGACCTGATGGCTGTATCATGTTCTGGTCGCCACAGTAACTCCCTGTAAACAGATAAGATGAGTCAATATGATACTATCCCTGTGAACTGATGAGTCAATATGATACTGTCTCTGTTAACTGAAGAGTCAATGTGATACTGTCCCTGTTAACTGAGGAGTCAACATGATACTGTCTCTGTTCACTGAGGAGTCAATATGATACTGTCCCTGTTAACTGAGGAGTCAATATGATACTGTCCCTGTTAACTGAGGAGTCAACATGATACTATCCCTGTTAACTGAGGAGTCAACATGATACTATCCCTGTTAACTGAAGAGTCAACATGATACTATCCCTGTTAACTGAGGAGTCAATATGATACTATCCCTGTTAACTGAGGAGTCAATATGATACTGTCCCTGTTAACTGAGGAGTCAATATGATACTGTCTCTGTTAACTGAGGAGTCAATATGATAATATCCCTTTTAACTGAGGAGTCAATATGATACTATCCCTGTTAACTGAGGAGTCAACATGATAATATCCCTGTTAACTGAAGAGTCAACATGATACTATCCCTGTTCACTGAGGAGTCAATATGATACTGTCCCTGTTAACTGAGGAGTCAATATGATAATATCCCTGTTAACTGAGGAGTCAACATGATACTGTCTCTGTTAACTGAGGAGTCAACATGATACTATCCCTGTTAACTGAGGAGTCAACATGATACTATCCCTGTTAACTGAAGAGTCAACATGATACTATCCCTGTTCACTGAGGAGTCAACATGATACTGTCCCTGTTAACTGAGGAGTCAATATGATAATATCCCTGTTAACCTATTTGTTAACTGAATCATTGATAACATGGTCATCACGGGGAACACCATATGCTGGCTGTTAATATCTATAATGAAGTTCTCTATCTACCTGCTGTACAATTGGTACACTGGTCCTGTGCTGTTAGCTTTGTTGCGTTAGAGAAAGTTCCCTGTGGACATTTTTGTGGTTCAGAGGTCTGCAGCGGACAGAAATGACCAGCTGGACACTCGTCAGCATCGGCTCCCTGTGAGGGTGTTCCAGATGTTGCTCCTTGTTTACAGAAATACCTAAAAAAAATTTTTCAAAAAATGACCCTGGGTTACAGATTCTATTGTAGACTATACAGACCCTGATGTAGACTGTATCAGACCCTGTTGTAGACTATACAGACCCTGTTGCAGACTATACAGACCCTGTTGCAGACTATACAGACCCTGATGTAGACTATACAGAACCTGTTGTAGACTATACAGACCCTTTTGTAGACTATACAGAACCTAATGTAGATTATACAGACCCTGTTGTAGACTATACAGACCCTGATGTGGACTATACAGACCTTGTTATAGACTATACAGACCCTGTTGTAGACTATACAGACCCTGTTGCAGACTATACAGACCCTGTTGTAGAGTATACAGACCCTGTTGTAGACTATACAGAACCTGTTGTGGACTATAAAGACCCTGTTGTAGACTATACAGACCCTGTTGTGGACTATACAGACCCTTATGTGGACTACACAGACCCTGTTGTAGACTATACAGACCCTGATGTGGACTATACAGACCTTGTTATAGACTATACAGACCCTGTTGTAGACTATACAGACCCTGTTGTAGACTATACAGAACCTGTTGTAGACTATACAGAACCTGTTGTAGACTATACAGAACCTGTTGTGGACTATAAAGACCCTGTTGTAGACTATACAGACCCTGTTGTGGACTATACAGACCCTTATGTGGACTACACAGACCCTGTTGTAGACTATACAGACCCTGATGTGGACTACACAGACCCTGCTGTAGACTATACAGATCTTGTTTAAGACTACACAGTCCCTAGGTTACATATAGTTATGTTGTATGTACTTACCCTGCATTACAAATTTTGCTGTAGTCTATCTGGGCCAAGCTGTCACAATAATATCCTCCAGGACATGAAATACAGTCACCTACAGCCTGGAAGCCAGTTATGTTTCCAAACGTTCCGATTGGACATGGGAACTCTGATGAATACTTGGTGTTGAGTGGACAGTAGTAGCCTGAAAAATTTAAAAGTAACAAAATCCTTAAATTTCTAAACATTGTCTAAATGATGTTTTTTGGCTGCGAGAAACGCAATTATATATAAACTATAAAAAACACACAAACTTCATAAGGTCTAGAAATATGTTGTAAAATCATGAATATTTTTCTTGAGTTGGTGAATTACGCTCTTAATCCATTGATTCATGTAAAATGGATTTCTACATTAATAGGTTTTGTAAGCATTACAATGTATTTATCCACAAAATCAATGACAAAATTTGAGCTCTGCTTAAATAAATATCTGTTCTGGATAAAAAAAAATGGTCATTTTCATGTACAAATCCTACAAACAAATTTGATTAGTGTAGAGAACAAAGTCAGGTAATTGATAAAAATGCCTATAACGTTCATGGTTCGAAATAAGTTTATAACAAATTATATGATTTTGACCTTAAAATGAGGATATCAATTTTTACCTTCTGGACAAATGGAATTGTTGTACAGGACTACTGGTGCCATTGTATTATCACAGAAGTAGCCAACGGGACAGTCTTTACACACACTTTGTCCTGTCTCATCCTGGTAGGTACCAGACAAGCAGCGAATTGATTCGTGACTTCCGATTGGACAATTATGTCCCACTGGACATGTGTATTCAGCAGGACTGGATAGATTCATTCCTGATGGACAATAGAATCCACCATCACATTGTCCAGTGGCCACGGTATTTCCATATCCTGCACAGTAGTAGCCTTGGTAACAGGGGAGACAATCCGAGACATCTGAACCACCTGTCACATTCAGGAATGTACCTGGTGGGCAGTCGTCTCCCACACTACTTCCAGCAATACAGAACTTCCCCATCGGGCAGGCCACGGCAGATGCAGAAGAGGAGCCTACAGGACAGTAATAACCTGCAGAGCAGTTTCCAGTAGGGGCAGATAACTCTGAATTCAAAAGAAAATATGATATGAAAGTGCTGTATTAGACACTATAATGATAGTACAGTATCAGTACAGTAGAGAATTCTAATGATAGGAAAATTGAAACATTAAATTCTTGTTTATGTGATCTCATTAATTTTAACAGACACATGTAAAACCAAATTTTAAAAATGATAAAAGAAATAATATATAAACTAAGTTTAAGTGTTATCAAGTGTACACATTAAAGAATATCTGTTGATGAAAGAAAATAAGAATAAAGATAAATATTTACACAAAGTTAAAGTAACACAAAACTTAAAACAGGAGTGACTCACAGTTAACTAAGATCCCTTAAAAATAACATAAGACTTGGAAGAAAACATATCACTAAGGTTTTACACATTAATTTTCATATAAAGATCATCAATTAATATATAATTTTAATTTTCATATCAGTACTCTGTCACTTACCAACATTGTCACAGTACATTCCCGGTGTACAGGAGATTTCTGCTGAGCTGCCGTTGGGACAGAAGTTTCCAATCGTACATTGTCCCCCAGTCAGTGGGTCTGAAGGTTGTCTGGATGTGGCTCCTCCTGTACAATACCATCCGCCATCACAGTAGCCAGTCGGAGCACCAAGTCCCTGTGTCTCGCAAAACTCACTGAAAAAGAATTGAGCACTACAGATGATGTGTCAAGATCCAGTAAATACAATATGCTAAAACAGAAGGCAGTGTCAAGGCCTTGTGTTTCACTGTGGTCTCAATAATTCGGTACTAATGCTTATGCTAGTGTTTATATAAAGTCCTTGTATTTTGAAATGAATGTTGCAAAAACTACATTACCATCTCAAGATCAGTGTATAATCTATTTTTAGTATGCCTGACCTTTAACCTTTCACTTACCCTGGAGTACAGGATTGACAGTCAGCCAGTGCATTCATTCCAGTCAAGTTGTTGAATTTCCCAATCGGACATGGATTGGAATAGGGCAGTGTGGCTTGAGCAATGCAGTAATGACCTTCTGGACATGGGATGGGATCACTGGTGTTGACCGTACAATAGTAGCCCTCTGGACAGTTCAAACAGGTCGTACTCCCTGTGGCATTAGCATACTTTCCTGCTTCACATGGTATTGGGTCCTGAGTACCAGTGGGACAATAGTAACCTAGCAACAAGACAAAAACAATCATCAAATAGTTTTTATTATTGTTTAGTCATATTTAGTAAATATACATTTAAAGGTAATTCTATGTTACTTCTCAAATGAATCAGAATACAGTCCAAATACTTTTTGATGACCAATGAGATTTCATGTTACTTCAGCATATTTTTCCTTTGACCAAACAGATTATGAGTTACATTTTTAAGCCAATCAGAATTCGTTTCAACTGACAAATCAGGTTCTATGCTTTAAAGGAATAAATGTACTCCTTACCTGTAGGGCAGATATCTCCCCAAGTTTGATTGACAGGAGCTGCCTCTGGAGATCCTCCACTACAGTAGTATCCTGCTGTACACTGAGTTCCTGTGGTGGTCATGTTACTGATGGTACAGTAATAGCCTCCATCACAAGCAGTACATTCAGCTGCTGACTTCAACCAGAATGCTGGCCTAAACACAAATTACATATTGATTACCAGAACGCTGGCCTAAACACAAATTACATATTGATTACCAGAACGCTGGCCTAAACACAAATTACATATTGATTACAAGAACGCTGGCCTAAACACAAATTACATATTGATTACCAGAACGCTGGCCTAAACACAAATTACATATTAATTACCAGAACGCTGGCCTAAACACAAATTACATATTGATTACCAGAACGCTGGCCTAAACACAAATTACATATTGATTACCAGAACGCTGGCCTAAACACAAATTACATATTGATTACCAGAACGCTGGCCTAAACACAAATTACATATTGATTACCAGAACGCTGGCCTAAACACGAATTACATATTGATTACCAGAACGCTGGCCTAAACACAAATTACATATTGATTACCAGAACGCTGGCCTAAACACGAATTACATATTGATTACCAGAACGCTGGCCTAAACACAAATTACATATTGATTACCAGAACGCTGGCCTAAACACAAATTACATATTGATTACCGGAATGCTGGCCTAAACACAAATTATATATTGATTACCAGAACGCTGGCCTAAACACAAATTACATATTGATTATCAGAACGCTGGCCTAAACACAAATTACATATTGATTACCAGAATGCTGGCCTAAACACAAATTATATATTAATTAACAGATCTGGATTAAAAACAAATAAAAATATCAGACAGAATGAGGCCTACAGATAAATAAAGATTAGTTTGGAAAGCTACTTGGTTTACAGATGCTCTGGAAGAACATGTATGACAGAAAGTCTGTTGAACAAATAATTTCCATATTTATCTGACAATAATGTCATGTATAGATAACAATAATCTGTAGGAATGCTGGGTGTTAGAATAAAGCTGGTTCTAGGAAGAAAAAGTGAGACCTATTGACAACAATGAAAAGCGAAAATTCAGAAATAAAAAAATTGAGCACAGACTTCCATAGATGTACACACACCGTGAATCAAAGTGGTCAAGGTTGATTTTTTACCTGTAACCATAACCAATGACCATCAAAATCAAATCAAATTTAGAAGTTGGTGGTATGATGCGATATGCCATCACTACAAACCAAATCTTTGCTGGGGAAACAACTCATACACAATTTTATCTGGGACACAAGGATGCACACAACCATGCATGCACAAACAAAGCAATTACATGGACTAAGTTTAATTTGAGACCTACCCGTAAGTTCCTGGGGGGCAAGGAGTAGGAGAAATGGAGCCTTCCTCACAGTAGAATCCTTTAGGACACTTTCCTCGAAGTTCTAAGTAATCATCTGGCTGAGCCACTGTAGCACCACCGCCAGAAAAGTACCCAGGTCCAATCTTCTTAGTGACATTTACCAAGGCTGCCAAGGTGAAGATACATGTCAAGGTCAATGTGTAGATACATGTCAAGGTCAATGTGTAGATACATATCAAGGTCAATGTGTAGATACATGTCAAGATCATTGTGTAGATACATGTCAAGGTCAATCTGTAGATACATGTCAAGGGCAACATGTAGATAAATATCAAGGTCGACGTGTAGATACATGTCAAGGTCAATGTGTAGATACATGTCAAGGTCAACATGTAGACACATGACAAAGTCAATGTGTAGATACATATCAAGATCGATGTGTAGATATATGTCAAGGTCAATGTGTAGATACATGTCAAGGTCAACATGTAGATACATATCAAGGTCGACGTGTAGATACATGTCAAGGTCGATGTGTAGATACATGTCAAAGTCGATGTGTAGACACATGACAAGGTCAATGTGTAGATACATGTCAAGGTCAATGTGTATATACATGTCAAGGTCAACATGTAGACACATGACAAGGTCGATGTGTAGATACATGTCAAGATCGATGTGTAGATATATGTCAAGGTCAATCTGTAGATACATGTCAAGGTCAACATGTAGATAAATATCAAGGTCGACGTGTAGATACATGTCAAGGTCGATGTGTAGATACATGTCAAGGTTGATGTGTAGATACATGTCAAGGTCAAAGCGTAGATACATTTCAAGGTCAATGTGTAGATACATGTCAAGGTCAACGTGTAGATACATATCAAGGTCAATGCGTAGATACATATCAAGGTCAATGCGTAGATACATTTCAAGGTCAATGCGTAGATACATGTCAAGGTCAATGCGTAGATACATGTCAAGGTCGATGTGTAGATACATGTCAAGGTCAATGTGTAGATACATGTCAAGGTCAATGCGTAGATACATGTCAAGGTTAATGCGTAGATACATGTCAAGGTCAATGTGTAGATACATGTCAAGGTCAATGTGTAGATACATGTCAAGATCAATGCATAGATACATGACAAGGTCAATGTGTAGATACATGACAAGGTTATTCAGTAGAAATGTGAATGGATTTCAAGGAAAATTGGAATGACGTTGAATATTAACAATATTTTTAAGATAAATCCTATTTCTTCAACATTCGTTACCAAGAAATGTGAAACAATTTAGGTGAATCATGGTTGTTGGCTAAAGCACACCATCTTGATCAACTTAAATGATTGAATATTTACCAATTTCGTCACAGTAATATCCAGCTATACAGTCGAGACACTCTGTGATGAGTGACAGACCAACATCAGTACTGTAGGTTCCTATAGGACAGGCGTCAGGGTTGTCTAGAGGATCTGATACTGTACTAGCAGCACAGAACTTTCCTGTGAAGCATACACATCACTTAGTCAATGGAAAACTTTGACATTATAACTACAGACTAAAAGTGAACATAATTATAAGTCAAACATGACAAGGCACAACTAGGGACCAAGTAAAACCTACAAAAGAAATTTGAGAAAAATCAATCAAGTATTCTCCACAATTAGTGATAACAAATTACAATTAAGAGGGGATTCTACATCTAAAATTTGAGAATAATGCTTCTCCAGAAATACTGATAACAAACTAACTGTTGAAATCCAAAATGGCAACCTGTTTGCAGGGTTTTCCTCGACTCATAAAAACCTTCGTTTTGACTCCTTAAATTGACTAAGGACCCCAAAAATGAATAAGGTTTTATTCTATTTCATATAAGATGTGACAATTATAATTAACAATTTATAAAGGTGAAGGTCCCAGGGGAAACCCTAGGTCTGCCAACTTGTTTTTCAGTTTAGTCTGAAATTTGGACAATACACAACTAGGTATCCAACGTTCCCTACAAATGAAATTTAAAAAAAAAAAAAGTACTTCTCTAGAAATAACAATAGTATTGTTTTTTTTGAAAAGCTTAGATTAGAAAATTACTGAAGGATCTATTACACATTCTCAAAATTCAAATGAATTTCCTATCTTTATCCAAAGAAACCCAAATCTCTGTTAGAGCGAAGTAGCTATAATCGCCCAAAAAGTATTCAAGCAAAACAAGAGGAAAATAATGAAAACGTTACAGTATCATCTATATATAGTATGGGTTGATGTCACTGACGAAAGTTTCTGAAGTAAATTCCAAAAACATTGTTGATGGAATAGTGAAATTTTGTTTCACTCCTTCCCTGTGAAAATGTCACACCTTAAGTGGAGATTGTTTAGTCTTGTATCAAGAGAGTATATTAATCTTTATACAAGAAGACCATGTAAATTATACAGGTAAGTGCTGTATACAGGTAAGTGCTGTGAAAATAAATTGCAAGATATTTTACAGTAAAATCTTTATAATACATTTAGGATGATAAAAAGATGAGAACAAACCTTGGGGACATATTGTTGGGGCTTGTCCAGGGTAACATATATAGCCAGCGATACACAGCTGACACACAGACATTCCAGTGGTGTTGGCATAGTAACCAATGTCACAGATTCTAGGCAAGTCTGCTCCTGCCACACAATAGTGGTGCTGTGGACAAATGTTACCAGTGGTGTTGTCAACAGGACTGTCTACCCAGGCTCCTCCCTTGCAGTAGTAACCTGATGCACATGGCCCTGGAAACAAGTAAGTCATTCAGCAATGACATTAAACAAATCCTTTAACCCTGATAATGAGTAAATTGCTTCATATCTGTTAATCTTGTTTCTCATAAGCATTCACAGAAGTCTATCTTAAAAACTAGACATCTTGAAACAGTCCAAAAACAAGCTTCTTCACAATTTTATCACTCAAAACTAATGATTTTTAACTCATTATTTTCCAATTCAATTTAAAACCACCAACTTTGTTGTGTCATTTAGAGTTCATAAGTGGGTGTGCATGTGTTTGTGAGCACATGTGTAGTAAGTAGATTGTCACAATACCCACAAACTGGCAATATGATGATCTGCTGATTGATGTCATTGAGATGACATGATATCTTTATACAGAATCAATTCCTGACTTATTGTATTAGAAACTTATTTTCAATCTGGAAAAGAAACTGCAGAACAAGGTTAGAATGGTAAATCTGAAATAAGAAATGTGACAATGATATATCTATTCACATTGGTGATTGGTTTACAAGTGATCACCTCAAACTAATTACTGTTTGACCTTAAAGTGTCCTGTTACTTACCTGTAGGAGCTGTGAGGGCTGTAACTAATTACTGTTTGACCTTAAAGTGTCCTGTTACTTACCTTTAGGAGCTGTGAGGGCTGTAACTAATTACTGTTTGACCTTAATGTGTCCTATTACTTACCTGTAGGATTACTTACCTGTAGGAGCTGTGAGGGCTGTAACTAATTACTGTTTGACCTTAATGTGTCCTGTTACTTACCTGTAGGAGCTGTGAGGGCTGTAACTAATTACTGTTTGACCTTAAAGTGTCCTATTACTTACCTGTAGGAGCTGTGAGGGCTGTAACTAATTACTGTTTGACCTTAAAGTGTCCTGTTACTTACCTGTAGGAGCTGTGAGGGCTGTAACTAATTACTGTTTGACCTTAATGTGTCCTGTTAATGTGTCCTAATTACTGTTTACCTTAGTGTCCTTAGGAGCCTGTAACTAATTACTGTTTGACCTTAATGTGTCCTATTACTTACCTGTAGGAGCTGTGAGGGCTGTAACTAATTACTGTTTGACCTTAATGTGTCCTATTACTTACCTGTAGGAGCTGTGAGGGCTGTAACTAATTACTGTTTGACCTTAAAGTGTCCTGTTACTTACCTGTAGGAGCTGTGAGGGCTGTAGTATTACAGTAACTTCCAGCATCACATGGTAAACAGTTAGCCACTGACTGACCGTTACGATCTGGATTATAAGTCCCTGTTGGGCACTCTACCATGACAGCAGAGCCTTGTGGACAATAGTATCCAGGAGAACAAGAGTCACCATAGAGGATAATGGTTTTGTTTCCGGTCGGGTCATTATTGTATACAGGATCTCTTGACTCCGCTGATCCGTAACAAATGTGGCCAGCAGAGCATTCTGCGGTGTAATTGGAAGCACCTCTATCTTGACAGTAAAATCCTGGAGGACAGCTGGTACAGTTATCAAGGCTGGTCATTCCCTCTCTGTAGAAGTCAATATTTATATAGAGCGACACAACCATAAACAAAATATCTATGAAATTTCACTAAAATTGTACACAAAAATATACTTATATTATTTTTGTATTTGTGTTACATTAAAATATAATAACTGACTGATGACTCCCCATATAAACCAACAGTCTGCACTGGAAACACCAGTACAGTTTCCAGATCATTCATATAAAACAGCGACAGCAAATCTGGGGCATGCGAAATCTGCTTGATAATTGGGTAGGAAAAATAACTCACAGGGTAAGATTCTTTAGTAGCCACACACACACACACAACAAACCCTGTGTTTGTAACTAAAGAATCATTTCTCTCAAGTTGAGGCATTTCTATCTCATCCAAACAGAGTTGAAAGATGCTATAAATTTTAGGGTAGAACATAGAAGGACAAATGTCTTATTCAGATAGAGTAAAAGAAATTGATACCCATCTACAGAGTGACAGCAATGCAACTCAAAATTGTAGCAAGCAGAGAAGAGTGAGGTAGTACAATGTCACCACTATATAGTGCAATACTTACTGACTTAAGAAAGTTCCAGGTGGACAATCTGATGGAATTTCACTGCCCTCGGGACAGTACCGACCAGAAGGACAGATGATGCTGTAGTTCATTGCCTTATCAGGACAGTAGGATCCAGCTGGGCAGGTAAGACAAGCTCCTTGTCTATTAAAGGGATTATATGTTGCAACCAAACATTCCGTTACTGCGGTAGATCCAATTGGTGAGTAGTAACCTTTAATAACAATTATTCTCTTTATATTAAAATTCATTTTCCTGACAGTTTTTATTCTCGCACAAACTGAACAAGTTCCTCTACACAATAATTCTAATGGTGGATACTGCCACCTTTTCAAAATTGAAATATTTTATCCAATATTGCAGTGATAAAAATAAATCAAGATTTCACTTGGAATGAGGTTGGACCCTTCTCCATGAAGTTGGACCCTTCTCCATGAAGTTGGACCCTCCTCCATGAGGTTGGACTCTTCACCATGAGATTGGACCCTTCCACATGAGGTTGGACTCTTCCCCATGAGGTTGGACCCTTCCCCATGAGGTTGGACTCTTCTACATGAGGTTGGACTGGACCCTTCATGAGGTTGGACCCTTCCCCATGAGGTTGGACTCTTCTACATGAGATTGGACCCTTCACCATGAGGTCGGACCCTTCCCCATGAGGTTGGACCCTTCTCCATGAAGTTGGACCCTCCTCCATGAGGTTGGACACTTCTACATGAGATTGGACCCTTCCACATGAGGTTGGACTCTTCTACATGAGATTGGACCCTTCACCATGAGGTCGGACCCTTCCCCATGAGGTTGGACCCTTCCCCATGAGGTTGGACCCTCCTCCATGAGGTTGGACTCTTCACCATGAGATTGGACCCTTCCACATGAGGTTGGACTCTTCTACATGAGATTGGACCCTTCACCATGAGGTCGGACCCTTCCCCATGAGGTTGGACCCTTCTCCATGAAGTTGGACCCTCCTCCATGAGGTTGGACTCTTCTACATGAGATTGGACCCTTCACCATGAGGTTGGACCCTTCCCCATGAGGTTGGACCCTTCCCCATGAGGTTGGACCCTCCTCCATGAGGTTGGACTCTTCACCATGAGATTGGACCCTTCCACATGAGGTTGGACTCTTCCCCATGAGGTTGGACCCTTCCCCATGAGGTTGGACTCTTCTACATGAGATTGGACCCTTCACCATGAGGTCGGACCCTTCCCCATGAGGTTGGACCCTTCCCCATGAGGTTGGACCCTCCTCCATGAGGTTGGACTCTTCACCATGGGATTGGACCCTTCCACATGAGGTTGGACTCTTCCCCATGAGGATGGACCCTTCCCCATGAGGTTGGACTCTTCTCCATGAGATTGGACCTTTCACCATGAGGTTGGACCCTTCCCCATGAGGTTGGACTCTTCTACATGAGATTGGACCCTTCACCATGAGGTCGGACCCTTCCCCATGAGGTTGGACCCTTCCCCATGAGGTTGGACCCTTCCTCGTGAGGTTGGACCCTCCTCCATGAGGTCGGACCCTTCACCATGAGGTCGGACCCTTCCCCATGAGGTTGGACCCTTCCACATGAGGTTGGACCCTTCTCCTAAAGTCTAAAGTATTTACTTGACACTAAGAAATAGGTACTTGACAAAATTACCCAATTTGGAAAAAAGGACACACAAGTCAGCAAATAAAAGCCAAATTTATCTGTAAAATAAAAAATTCCTTTTTAAATGAATGTATTATAGAGTTAACTATAATCTTAGTATTATAGAGTTAACTATGATTTAAGTATTATAGAGTTAACTATAATTTAAGTATTATACAGTTAACTATAATTTAAGTATTATAGAGTTAACTATAATTCAAGTATTAAAGAGTTAACTATAATTCAAGTATTATAGAGTTAACTATAATTTAAGTATTATAGAGTTAACTATAATTTAAGTATTATAGAGTTAACTATGATTTAAGTATTATAGAGTTAACTATGATTTAAGTATTATAGAGTTAACTATAATTTAAGTATTATAGAGTTAACTATAATTTAAGTATTATAGAGTTAACTGTAATTTAAGTATTATAGAGTTAACTATAATTTAAGTATTATAGAGTTAACTATAATTTAAGTATTATAGAGTTAACTATAATTTAAGTATTATAGAGTTAACTATAATTTAAGTATTATAGAGTTAACTATAATTTAAGTATTATAGAGTTAACTATAATTTAAGTATTATAGAGTTAACTATAATTCAAGTATTATAGAGTTAACTATAATCTTAGTATTATAGAGTTAACTATAATTTAAGTATTATAGAGTTAACTATAATTTAAGTATTATAGAGTTAACTATAATTTAAGTATTATAGAGTTAACTATAATTTAAGTATTATAGAGTTAACTATAATTTAAGTATTATAGAGTTAAAGTATAATTTAAGTATTATAGAGTTAACTATAATTTAAGTATTATAGAGTTAACTATAATTTAAGTATTATAGAGTTAACTATAATTTAAGTATTATAGAGTTAACTATAATTTAAGTATTATAGAGTTAACTATAATTTAAGTATTATAGAGTTAACTATAATTTAAGTATTATAGAGTTAACTATAATTTAAGTATTAAAGAATTACCTATAATTTAAGTATTATAGAGTTAACTATAATTTAAGTATTATAGAGTTAACTATAATTCAAGTATTATAGAGTTAACTATAATCTTAGTATTATAGAGTTAACTGTAATTTAAGTATTATAGAGTTAACTATAATTTAAGTATTATAGAGTTAAAGTATAATTTAAGTATTATAGAGTTAACTATAATTTAAGTATTATAGAGTTAACTATAATTTAAGTATTATAGAGTTAACTATAATTTAAGTATTATAGAGTTACCTATAATTTAAGTATTATAGAGTTAACTATAATTTAAGTATTATAGAGTTACCTATAATTTAAGTATTATAGAGTTACCTATAATTTAAGTATTATAGAGTTAACTATAATTTAAGTATTATAGAGTTAACTATAATTTAAGTATTATAGAGTTAACTATAATTTAAGTATTAAAGAGTTAACTATAATTCAAGTATTATAGAGTTAACTATAATCTTAGTATTATAGAGTTAACTGTAATTTAAGTATTATAGAGTTAACTATAATTTAAGTATTATAGAGTTAAAGTATAATTTAAGTATTATAGAGTTAACTATAATTTAAGTATTATAGAGTTAACTATAATTTAAGTATTATAGAGTTAACTATAATTTAAGTATTAAAGAGTTAACTATAATTCAAGTATTATAGAGTTAACTATAATTTAAGTATTATAGAGTTAACTATGATTTAAGTATTATAGAGTTAACTATAATTTAAGTATTATAGAGTTAAAGTATAATTTAAGTATTATAGAGTTACCTATAATTTAAGTATTATAGAGTTAACTATAATTTAAGTATTATAGAGTTAATTATAATTTAAGTATTAAAGAGTTCTATAATTTAAGTATTATAGAGTTAACTATAATTTAAGTATTATAGAGTTAACTATAATTTAAGTATTATAGAGTTAACTATAATTTAAGTATTAAAGAGTTAACTATAATCTTAGTATTATAGAGTTAACTATAATCTTAGTATTATAGAGTTAACTATAATTTAAGTATTATAGAGTTAACTATAATTTAAGTATTATAGAGTTAACTATAATTTAAGTATTATAGAGTTAACTATAATTTAAGTATTATAGAGTTAACTATAATTTAAGTATTATAGAGTTAACTATAATTTAAGTATTATAGAGTTAACTATAATTTAAGTATTATAGAGTTAACTATAATTTAAGTATTATAGAGTTAACTATAATTTAAGTATTACAGAGTTAACTATAATCTTAGTATTATAGAGTTAACTATAATTTAAGTATTATAGAGTTAACTATAATTTAAGTATTACAGAGTTAACTATAATCTTAGTATTATAGAGTTAACTATAATTTTAAAAGTCTTTTTACATTTTTAAAATTTCAAAATGCTTTATTGTTGTGCTGACAAGTACGGATAATTAATATCTGGGTCACTGTCCCATAAATAGAATGATAAACTGTGTTTCCTTACGAGCAGAAATGAATGAAACAAACAGAGATTCTTTTGTTTTAATGACTCTGTGTTTGTGTTTCTAAATAATGATCACATCATATTACCACAGACCAAACTATTACAATTAACTGTAATTAAATTCACCTTGCATTTACATCTTCCTTAAGAGCCTTCCTGACTTCAAAATTTTGTACAATTCCTCAAATACTTGTTAGTATGTAAATATATAAAGAACACTGTGGAAATTTACATATATGATATATATTTATATATACTTCAAAAGAATAAAACCACCAGTAGAAGCTTTATATGTGATGTTTAGATAAGTTTTTTGGCTGTACTATAATACTATGTACACTTCTGTCGAAAATAGTGTGACATGATGGTTAACAGATTACAGACAAATAAAACAAATTCACAAGATGGTAACAATGTACTGTAGTTGATTTCATTTCACTTTTGCAACTCAAACTTTAGACGCCATTTAGTCATTGAAATATCACATTCAAATCTTCTACTGGTTGTGTTGTAAGAACTTTTATTCCAATGACAACCAATCTGACAACAGTGTGTTCTGATAAGACAACCCTTGTACAGATCTGCCTCTGTTGACAGTGTTCTGATAAGACAACACTCGTACAGATCTGTGTCTGTTGACAGTGTTCTGATAAGACAACACTTGTACAGATCTGCCTCTGTTGACAGTGTTCTGATAAGACAACACTTGTACAGATCTGTGTCTGTTGACAGTGTTCTGATAAGACAACACTCGTACAGATCTGTGTCTGTTGACTCTGTTGACAGATCTGCCTCTGTTGACAGTGTTCTGATAAGACAACACTTGTACAGATCTGTGTCTGTTGACAGTGTTCTGATAAGACAACACTCGTACAGATCTGTGTCTGTTGACAGTGTTCTGATAAGACAACACTTGTACAGATCTGCCTCTGTTGACAGTGTTATGATAAGACAACACTTGTACAGATCTGCATCTGTTGACAGTGTTATGATAAGACAACACTTGTACAGATCTGCCTCTGTTGACAGTGTTATAAGACAACACTTGTACAGATCTGTCTCTGTTGTCAGTATTATGATAAGACAACACTTGTACAGATCTGTCTCTGTTGTCAGTGTTATGATAAGACAACCCTTGTACAGTGTATTATAGAAATATTTTTTATCTCCGAATACACCTGAATTTTTAATAAAAGGCTGTGTAGCCTTGTTAACTTACCAGCAAGTGTGGTAAACTGACAAGCACTTTGGGCAGCCCCAGTACAGTAACAACCAGCATCACACTGCCCCGTGGGAGCACCACCAGACTGCACTGAGCAGTAGTAGCCTGGGTCACAATCGACACAGTCATATTTATCCACAGACCCTGTAACATTGCTGTAGGTTCCCAAAGGACAGGGTCTAGGTTCAAAGGATCCTGGAAACAAGCACAATTGATGTTTACATGTTCTGAGCTGCTGGCAAACTTAACTAATATCTATATAGATTTGGAAAATGTTTATCAATGTTTATTTGAAATTAACCTGTAACTAGGACCAGAAGAAAGTATCAATAAATCGTAAATACAATTCAACTGATTGAAATTGGATTAAATATTAACAAAGGAAGGATTTACACAGAGAACCCTGATAAAATCCAAGTTTAAGAAAGGCATCTTCAAATGAAATCTAGCCATTAAGTCTGTTCACCTTTTCCAGAAAAGCAGAATAACTGCACTAATATTACCTTTCAGGCAGTATCCACCTGCTGGACAACGTTCTCCAGTGACGCCATCAGTTGGGCCAGAAGTGGACGCTCCACTGTAGCATACAAAGCCGGGGTCACACTGGTCACGAGGGCTGAGTAATCCTGGGGCATCACAGTAGTAACCAGGGTCACACAGGTTACAATCATCCATGGCCATTAGGTCTGAAATTCATTTACAGTTATAAATTAATATCTAAAGATATTCTATGACCCATACCCTCCCTAGGTAACACTTTAAACGCTTTCCTCTCTTGTGTTACACTCTGTACCCCATCCCTCTCTTGGGTAACACTCTGTACTCCCTCCCTCTCTTGGGTAACACTCTGTACTCCCTCCCTCTCTTGGGTAACACTCTGTACTTCCTTCCTCTCTTGGGTAACACTCTGTACTCCCTCCCTCTCTTGGGTAACACTCTGTACTCCCTCCCTCCCTCTCTTGGGTAACACTCTGTACTCCCTCTCTCTCATGGGTAACACTCTGCACTCCCTCCATCTCTTGGGTTACACTTGGTACTCCCTCCCTCTCTTGGGTAACAATCTGTCCCCCTCCCCCTCCTATGTAATACTCTATGACACCCTTTCTCCTTGGTTACAATCTGTACCCCTCCCCCTCCTAGTTAGGTTAAAAGGTGATTGGTGTTGAATCAGTTTGAGAAAGTTGACTCTATTACAGCCTTATAAACTTTTCTACTTTACAACAATTGAATAACACGCTTTATCAACAAATACTGTTCACACCTGTCGTCACAGATGGAAATACCAGGTGAGTGTTACTGTGGGAGAAAACTGGAGTACCTGGTGTAAACTTACAAAGAGTACCCAAATGGTCCTGACAGGGATATCGGCCCTCATCTCCTCTTTAGGCATGACAAGGAAGTTTTACTCCATTAAAAAAGTGGATAAACCTTACTAGTCATTACCTTGGTCAGGATTGCAAAACACAAGATACAAACAAAGAAATAGATTGACAGGACACACCGGCCATTTCATTCCTATCCTGTTTGTGATAAATACAAGTTTGTTTCTACTTTATTGTTACTCACTCGAAGCATTTCCATAACGCCCAATTGGACAAGGTGTGGAAACAGAAGAATTCGCAGGACAGTAGTAACCTTGGAGACAGTCTATGGTAGTTGTACTAGCTTGTGGACAATAGTAACCAGCAGGACAGGGTTTACAACTGGCCTCGTCTGGAGTGCCTTTGGTGTCCGCGTACGTTCCAGCTGGACAGGCCACCTACACACAGTCATAAAACATGTTATACTCAGAGAGGTCATCATATATCCAGCTGAACAGCATGCTAACATATATTTCATGTTATACTCAGAGAGGTCATCATATATCCAACTGAACTGCATGCTAACATATATTCAACACTGGGTGACGTTAACCCGTAAACGGTACAATTTTCTTCAAACAAATAAATTTACAACTTCTACTTTTATAGAGAGTTATTCTGGAACTGTGATTGTGAAGACATCCTTAGTATATTTACAACATAATGTATACAATAAGAAACAAAATCTATAGATAGTGCTCAAATTTGTTTTGCCTCTTTTTAATAAATCAAATACATCTCAAATAATGAGAATTTTTCACCAATGTATTCTGCTTTACTTTTTCTCACAATCTTATAAATTTCGTAAAAATTGATAACTACGAAGTACGATAATAAACAGCAAATTTTTGAGATATAAAACGGTGAAACTTAGTAGCAGGAAATGCTGTTTTCTGTGAACATTTTAAACAAACCTGTTGTGGCCCATAGGCTCCAATAAGTGATGGAGGTGTGAAGTAGACAGTTGCCACAGGACTAGGACAGTAGAAGCCTTCATCACATAAACCAGTCACCGCGGAAGACGCAGCCAGACAGTACGACCCAGCCGGGCATGGTAAACAATGAAGTGTAACATCCCATCGTGCTGTCTCATTCTGGACAGTACCCACAGGACACTGAATCATCTCGAGTGTTCCTGTAAATAAAAGATCAAATTTCTGCAAAATCGTCTCTACTAACTACATGTCATTAACAAATGAAGTGGTTGTGTATCCCAGCAACGATCCCAACATGTTAAGATATGTATCTTTCAAATATCACACGATTTTAAAATTGTCAAGGGACCACTACAGTACCTCAGTGATAATACACCATATAAGTCATCTGAGGACGAGATACACTACTGTACCTCAGTGATAATACACCATATAAGTCATCTGAGGACGAGATACACTACAGTACCTCAGTGATAATACACCATATAAGTCATCTGAGGACCTGATACACTACAGTACCTCAGTGATAATACACCATATAAGTCAGTGTACCTCAGTGATAATACCATATAAGTCATCTGAGGACGAGATATATACACCATATAAGTCATCTGAGGACGAGATACACTACTGTACCTCAGTGATAATACACCATATAAGTCATCTGAGGACGAGATACACTACAGTACCTCAGTGATAATACACCATATAAGTCATCTGAGGACGAGATACACTACAGTACCTCAGTGATAATACACCATATAAGTCATCTGAGGAGTACACTCAGTATAGTGATAATACACCATATAAGTCATCTGAGGACGAGATACACTACAGTACCTCAGTGATAATACACCATATAAGTCATCTGAGGACGAGATACACTACAGTACCTCAGTGATAATACACCATATAAGTCATCTGAGGACGAGATACACTACTGTACCTCAGTGATAATACACCATATAAGTCATCTGAGGACCTGATACACTACAGTACCTCAGTGATAATACACCATATAAGTCATCTGAGGACCTGATACACTACAGTACCTCAGTGATAATACACCATATAAGTCATCTGAGGACCTGATACACTACTGTACCTCAGTGATAATACACCATATAAGTCATCTGATACACTACTGTACCTCAGTGATAATACACCATATAAGTCATCTGAGGACGAGATACACTACAGTACCTCAGTGATAATACACCATATAAGTCATCTGAGGACGAGATACACTACTGTACCTCAGTGATAATACACCATATAAGTCATCTGAGGATACCTCAGATACACATATAAGTACAGTACCTCAGTGATAATACACCATATAAGTCATCTGAGGACGAGATACACTACTGTATACAGTCATCTATACACTACTGTACCTCAGTGATAATACACCATATAAGTCATCTGAGGACAGTACCTCTGATACACTACTGTACCTCAGTGATAATACACCATATAAGTCATCTGACCTCAGTGATAATACACCATATAAGGACCTGATACACTACTGTACCTCAGTGATAATACATCATATAAGTCATCTGAGGACGAGATACACTACTGTACCTCAGTGATAATACACAATATAAGTCATCTGAGGACCTCAGTGATAATACAGTACCTCAGTGATAATACACCATATAAGTCATCTGAGGACGAGATACACTACTGTACCTCAGTGATAATACACCATATAAGTCATCTGAGGACGAGATACACTACTGTACCTCAGTGATAATACACCATATAAGTACCTCAGTGATAATACACCATATAAGTCATCTGAGGACGAGATACACTACTGTACCTCAGTGATAATACACCATATAAGTATGAGGAAGATACACATACCTCAGTGATAATACACCATATAAGTCATCTGAGGTACCTCAGTGATAATACACCATATAAGTCATCTGAGGACGAGATACACTACAGTACCTCAGTGATAATACACCATATAAGTCATCTGAGGACGAGATACACTACAGTACCTCAGTGATAATACACCATATAAGTCATCTGAGGACGAGATACACTACTGTACCTCAGTGATAATACACCATATAAGTCATCTGAGGACCTGATACACTACTGTACCTCAGTGATAATACACCATATAAGTCATCTGAGGACGAGATACACTACAGTACCTCAGTGATAATACACCATATAAGTCATCTGAGGACGAGATACACTACTGTACCTCAGTGATAATACACCATATAAGTCATCTGAGGACGAGATACACTACTGTACAGTGATAATACACCATATAAGTACCTCAGTGATAAGTACACCAGTGATAATACACCATATAAGTCATCTGAGGACGAGATACACTACAGTACCTCAGTGATAATACACCATATAAGTCATCTGAGGACGAGATACACTACAGTACCTCACTGTACCTCAGTGATAATACACCATATAAGTCATCTGAGGACGAGATACACTACAGTACCTCAGTGATAATACACCATATAAGTCATCTGAGGACCTGATACACTACTCTACCTCAGTGATAATACACCATATAGCATAAGTCATCTGAGGACGAGATACACTACTGTACCTCAGTGATAATACACCATATAGCATAAGTCATCTGAGGACGAGATACACAACAGTACCGCAGTGATAATACACCATATAAGTCATCTGAGGACGAGATACACTACTGTACCTCAGTGATAATACAGTCATCTGAGGACCTGATCTACTGTACCTCAGTGATAATACACCATATAAGTCATCTGAGGACCTGATACACTACTGTACCTCAGTGATAATACACCATATAAGTCATCTGAGGACGAGATACACTACAGTACCTCAGTGATAATACACCATATAAGTCATCTGAGGACGAGATACACTACAGTACCTCAGTGATAATACACCATATAAGTCATCTGAGGACGAGATACACTACAGTACCTCAGTGATAATACACCATATAAGTCATCTGAGGACGAGATACACTACTGTACCTCAGTGATAATACACCATATAGCATAAGTCATCTGAGGACGAGATACACAACAGTACCGCAGTGATAATACACCATATAGCATAAGTCATCTGAGGACCTGATACACTACTGTACCTCAGTGATAATACACCATATAAGTCATCTGAGGACCTGATACACTACTGTACCTCAGTGATAATACACCATATAAGTCATCTGAGGACGAGATACACTACTGTACCTCAGTGATAATACACCATATAAGTCATCTGAGGACGAGATACACTACTGTACCTCAGTGATAATACACCATATAAGTCATCTGAGGACGAGATACACTACAGTACCTCAGTGATAATACACCATATAAGTCATCTGAGGAAGATACACACAGTACCTCTGTACCATATAAGTCATCTGAGGAGTGATACATACTGTACCTCAGTGATAATACACCATATAAGTCATCTGAGGACGAGATACACTACTGTACCTCAGTGATAATACACCATACGAGATACACTACAGTACCTCAGTGATAATACACCATATAAGTCATCTGAGGACATATAAGATACACTACAGTACCTCAGTGATAATACACCATATAAGTCATCTGAGGACCTCAGTGATAATACACCATATGATACACTACTGTACCTCAGTGATAATACACCATATAAGTCATCTGAGGACGAGATACACTACTGTACCTCAGTGATAATACACCATATAAGTCATCTGAGGACCTGATACACTACAGTACCTCAGTGATAATACACCATATAAGTCATCTGAGGACGAGATACACTACAGTACCTCAGTGATAATACACCATATAAGTCATCTGAGGACGAGATACACTACAGTACCTCAGTGATAATACACCATATAAGTCATCTGAGGACGAGATACACTACAGTACCTCAGTGATAATACACCATATAAGTCATCTGAGGACGAGATACACTACAGTACCTCAGTGATAATACACCATATAAGTCATCTGAGGACGAGATACACTACAGTACCTCAGTGATAATACACCATATATAAGTCATCTGAGGAGTCATCTGAGGACGAGATACACTACTGTACCTCAGTGATAATACACCATATAAGTCATCTGAGGACGAGATACACTACTGTACCTCAGTGATAATACACCATATAAGTCATCTGAGGACGAGATACACTACAGTACCTCAGTGATAATACACCATATAAGTCATCTGAGGACGAGATACACTACTGTACCTCAGTGATAATACACCATATAAGTCATCTGAGGACGAGATACACTACTGTACCTCAGTGATAATACACCATATAAGTCATCTGAGGACAAAGTAGTCATGGGAACATAAATTTGTTAATTAGACGGGAACTACCATGGGTACAAAAAGTATAAGGAGTCCTCACTAAAAAAGGGTAGAATGAAGGTCGACAGTGAAGACAACACGAACAGCTCCTTTCCAATTCACGATTTATTTGTGCACCAAGTTGTTGACATGTTTCGGATCCAAGTGATATGACAACTTCATACATGAATAAATCGTGAGTTGGGAAGGAGCTGTTTGTGTTGTCTTCACTCTCGACCAATAAATTGTGAATTGGGAAGGAGCTGTTTGTGTTGTCTTCACTCTCGACCTACACAGATGTGATATAAGAACATTCCACTTGTACTTAAAAGTCTGAAGAAATCACAGAATATCAAAGACAAGTTTAAAGTTTACATATAAAGGCAGTAATATGAGTACAGACCTGCAGGGCAGTAAGTACCAGTGGTACAGGGGGCAGCTAATGCCATGTCTGTCAGTCCCTCTCCACACAGATAACCCTGGTTACAAATCTTGTCATTTAACATGGCATCCTCTGATGTTGTTTCATTATCACAATAATGGCTGAAACAGAATACAGTCCAATCAAGTTACATATAAATCCTTGAAAAAAGTTAAAATTTCAAATTACCTGGTTTTCAAACTAATCCACTTTTAAGACAACCAAAGGTTGGATTTGACTAACCCCTCATCTGCCTCCCAAAACTAATCCCTTCGCTACCACTAAAAACTAATCCCTACCCCACCAATCAAAAATAACCCCTCCATTGCCACTCACAACTAGCCATTCCCCTGCCACTCAAAACTAAACCCTCCATTGCCACTCACAACTAGCCATTCCCCTGCCACTCAAAACTAACCCCTCCATTGCCACTCACAACTAGCCATTCCCCTGCCACTCAAAACTAACCCCTCCATTGCCACTCACAACTAGCCATTCCCCTGCCACTCAAAACTAACCCCTCCATTGCCACTCACAACTAGCCATTCCCCTGCCACTCAAAACTAACCCTTACCCTGCCACTCAAAACTAACCCCGACTCTACCTATCAAAACTAATCCCTACCCCACCTAACAAAACTAACCTCTCCCCTGCCACTCAAAACTAACCCCGACTCTACCTATCAAAACTAGCCCTTCCCCTGCCACACACACATAACCCCTCCCCTGACACTCACAACTAACCCCTCCCCTGACACTCACAATTAACCCCTCCCCTGACACTCACAACTAACCCCTCCCCTGACACTCACAACTAACCCCTCCCCTGACACTCACAACTAACCCCTCCCCTGACACTCACAATGAACCCCTCCCCTGACACTCACAACTAACCCCTCCCCTGACACTCACAACTAACCCCTACCCTACAATCAAAAGTAAAACATCACCTACCTGAGCTGACTCTGAGATTCGTTAGTGATACCAGACGTCTTACCTAAATAAATGTCCCATTCATACATTGTTGTGTCAAGTTTTTAATTGCTATCTATCTGGATTCAGCACAGTAGGGTGAATATGTATTGACAATTGTCAGTGCTGCACTCGTAATGACTTGTCAGAGTCATAAAATGATGTTATTACCACTAAAACCAGTAGTATTTATCTATTTTATTTATTTTGTCTCAAATGAATCTGTATTTTTTCAATACCCTTCAACTTATTCACTTTATCTGACTGTTGTGTTTACTTTTTTATAATAGCAAGGAGAGGGATTTCATTGGCTAAGCTCAATTCCTTTTGTCTGTAAAATCACACAATATTCTGAAATAAAAGACTTAAAAGTAATGTTGGAATGGGCTAACCCCTGCCTGCCAAACAAAACTGACTCCTCCCCACTGATCAAACTAATTCCTTCCCTGCCTATAAAAACTAGCCCCTCCTCCCTAGCCATAACTAGCTCCTCCTCCCCAGCCATAACTAGCTCCTCCTCTCAATCCGAAACTAAACCCTCCTTACTAGACAAAACTAACCCTTCCTCCCTAGCCAAAACTAGCTAATCCTTTCTAGTTAAAACTAGCTCCTCGTCCCTAGCCAAAACTAGATATTATCTCCCTTGTTTTACTATAAAGCATCACTAGGTATTATCTCCCTTGTTTTACTAGAAAGCATCACTAGGTATTATCTCCCTTGTTTTACTATAAAGCATCACTAGGTATTATCTCCCTTGTTTTACTATAAAGCATCACTAGGTATTATCTCCCTTGTTTTACTAGAAAGCATCACTAGGTATTATCTCCCTTGTTTTACTAGAAAGCATCACTAGGTATTATCTCCCTTGTTTTACTATAAAACATCACTAGGTATTATCTCCCTTGTTTTACTATAAAACATCACTAGGTATTATCTCCCTTGTTTTACTATAAAACAACACTAGGTATTATCTCCCTTGTTTTACTATAAAACATCACTAGGTATCATCTCTCCTTTTTCACTATAAAGAACACATAGGTATTATTTCCCTTGTATTACAATAAAGCTTGCCTAGAAAATATTTCCCTTGTATTACAATAAAGCTTGCCTAGGAATTATTTCCCTTGTATTACAATAAAGCTTGCCTAGAAATTATTTCCCTTGTATTACAATAAAGCTTGCCTAGGAATTATTTCCCTTGTTTTTCTAAAAAGCACAACTAAGTATTTCTCACTTTTGTCCATAAAGCATGCCTAGGTGTTATCTCCATTGTTTAACTAAAAAGTATGCCTAAATATTATCTCCCTTATTTAAGCATGACCCAGTGTTATCTCTCTTTTATCTATAAAGCACACCTCGGTATTATCTCCCTTTGTCGTCTACACAGCATGCCTAGGTATTATCTCCCTTTGTCACCTACACAGCCTGCCTAGGTATTATCTCCCTTTGTCATTTACACAGCATGCCTAGGTATTATCTCCCTTTGTCACCTACACAGCATGCCTAGGTATTATCTCCCTTTGTCATTTACACAGCATACCTAGGTATTATCTCCCTTTGTCACCTACACAGCATGCCTAGGTATTATCTCCCTTTGTCACCTACACAGCATGCCTAGGTATTATCTCCCTTTGTCATTTACACAGCATGCCTAGGTATTATCTCCCTTTGTCATTTACACAGCATACCTAGGTATTATCTCCCTTTATCATCTACACAGCATGCCTAGGTATTATCTCCCTTTGTCACCTACACAGCATACCTAGGTATTATCTCCCTTTGTCATTTACACAGCATGCCTAGGTATTATCTCCCTTTGTCACCTACACAGCATGCCTAGGTATTATCTCCCTTTGTCATCTACACAGAATGCCTAGGTATCATCTCCCTTTGTCACCTACACAGCATGCCTAGGTATTATCTCCCTTTTCTTCTGAAAAGCATGCCTACGTATCATGCTTGTTAAACCATACAAATAGCCAGAGAGATCTCCCCTGTTTAACACTTGAGAAAGCCTTAATTATCTCTGCTGATTTGCAAACTTCAATAATTAAACCTGGTATATCTTCCTCCTTACTTTATTCGCTATAAAGTAAAACCTTGATTGGTATGAAGTATTTTTGAGTACTCACCCCATTATACAAGTTTTACACTCTGACTGCCCAGGTTTTGAGTAAAGTCCTTTGCCACAGTTATGCGGAGTTATAGTTCCTTCTCCACAGTAGAACCCTCCAGGACAGTCCCAACAATCAAATTGTCGTTTAGCAGAATCTAAAATAACAAGTGTCTCTTTTTATCACCCCTTTGTTGTTTTTATATTATAGATCAGCATATTGTAAATTCTGAATTAATGAACAAATTCAACTTTAAAAAATTCTTTGTGTGGTATTTTAGAGAAAAAGTGCTACACTTGGTACTCTTCAGTAAGATTCTTTGCTGTAATAAAGTCTTCCCATCTGTAAAACGTTTTCACCATGATCACATAATCAATTTTAGGTAATTTTATCTGAAACAGCCTTACCTAGACCAATCATGTTTCCAGAACCATCTGTACCCCATGGCATGTATGTTCCTGGTTGACACTTTTCAGGAATTGTAGTACGAAACTCACAATAGTGACCTGTAGAAAAGCAAAACATATAAAAACATCTATACAATCATTGACTTTGTATAAAGGGTTACTGACATCCTCACAGAAACCCTTTAACATTAATATTAATACATACAGTACTGAATGAGTAGGGACATTTTATGATGTCATAAATACCTTTAAAACCATGTAATGTGTGCACCTATGTAATGTACGCTGATATTTCTGTGGTTGAAACTGGAAAAAATGATTCTACTTACATAATTAAATTTGTACATCAAAAAATCTTTTTGAGCATTAGAAATATAAATAAATATATATAAATAAATATTTAGCACTTCAAACCAACAATATCAAAAGTTCAAAACTTGAAAGAAATCTCTTACAAAATTGATTTCCATTTCAATTTTGTCTTTGTTGAGGTAATTACAGGTAAAACAGAACAAGAAAACAAAATCTGCTGTTCTTGTTTGTTTTCTTGTTTGTGTTCTTGTTTGTGTTCTTGTTTGTTTTCTTGTTTGTGTTCTTGTTTGTTTTCTTGTTTGTGTTCTTGTTTGTTTTTTTATTGTTTGTTTATTTGACACACGAGACATTGCAATGTACAATGAACATTCACCTATTTAATTAACCTAGATTTATTGATCATGTGTACACAAACACTTGTCTTCATATTAATAAACAATGTTCATTGTTGTTATCACGTGTGCTATTAATGTTCTATGTATCAACATGGAATTTGATGTAGATATCTCAGTCCATTCTATTAATGACAGAACCAGGTTTGTCTCTCTGAGCACAGTTTTCTTTCGTATGTTGTTATCACATCATGCATATTTTTACAGTATAATTAATAAATACAACAACTGACTGATGAAAAAATATTATTAAAATGAAAAATTATTAACACAATCACAAAAAATTGTGGAGGATTCTCAGAAAACCAAGACCTAGTACACGTATATCAGAAAAACCTTCTGGTATTTGATTCTTTTATCCAAATCAGTGACGTCCATATAAAACGAAATACATAATGAATATATGTCATAATGTCAACACACAAGTCATACTGGAAGAGTCTAAAAACAAGGGAGGAAAGATAAAAATCTCAGAGATAATTTGTACCTATCATTTGATCCTTACATCGTGGATTAATGCTACCTCACATCAGAAAATTCTGTATTTGTCCACTAGACAACAAAATGACACTACAAAAAATTAATGAAACTGTTCTACCTCTGACAATGAACCTGCCCTTAATGGAAGATGATACCACATGTTTCTACAAATAATGCCACTACTATGGTTTGAACAGACCAAGCGGAACTTTTCAACACGTATATGACATCAACAATGTATAATTTTGATGATTTACAACAGAACATGCATGTCTCTATAACAATCATGCTGCAAACCAACTTCTGTAAATGTTCTGTGCTTCCAAAAGTTGAAGGTGCCATCGTAAAGATTCAGTACTTCAGATTTAAGAGATCTTAGATATTCTCTTAAGTGCTTATTCAGAATAGATATATATTGAATGGCTATATATTGCAGTGCTACAAATTCTATAAGAGAAATGTTCAGGATATGTCCAAATGGAAAAGATTTTGATTTTTTTTGTGTTTTTCATCAATCTGACAGCATCCTAAACAGATTGTCTTTGATGCGAGAAGCCATTTGCCTTTACTTGAACTAAGTCTGAGTATGAACATCCATAAATATGCCTTGTTCATGTTGTGTGTAAAATGAGCATCACATTTTTGAAAACAGTAATACCTTGACAAAGAGTGCACTACATGCACATTTTACAGTAATATCTACAATCTATTCCATGTTGTGTTGAAGTACTCACCCTGAGTACAGTTAGTACAATTGCTGAGACCCATGGCTCCCTCTAAGTTGTTATACGTCCCGTTAGGACAGCCGTACTGCTCTCCATTGACAGTAGACTCTGGACAGTAGTAGCCTATTGGGCAAATTCCTGTCGTCTTGTTTTGTCCGCCTTAATGAAAATAATTATTAGAGTTAACAAACTGAATACAAAATTAAACTTAAAAACCTGTTATACACAGACATTTCATTATAGACAGGTACCTGGAGACACAATTTACCTGTGTAGTAGCAACTCATTATAGACAGGTACCTGGAGACACAATTTACCTGTGTAGTAGTATCTCATTATAGACAGGTACCTGGAGACACAATTTACCTGTGTAGTAGTACCTCATTATAGACAGGTACCTGGAGACACAATTTACCTGTGTAGTAGTACCTCATTATAGACAGGTACCTGGAGACACAATTTACCATTGAAGTAATGTCTCCTGGTAACCTACTTTACCTGTGCAATAGTATCCGGCTGGACAGGGTGTACACTGGCTAGCTTGGTATAGGTTAGCAGCATCAGAATATGTTCCAGCAGGACATGGAAATTGCTCTGGATTAGGTGATCCCTCAGGACAGTAAAATCCTCGTCGGCAATTCTTGGGTCCATCAATTGTTCCCAGGCCAGCTGTGTACAGATAAAACTTTGTAAGCCATGAATTAAACACAAAAACAATACCAGATTTAAAAATGAGTGTCCAACTGACTATAAGCTCACCTTCAGAACTTCTGGAAGTTGTATCCCCTATCCCAATCTCACAGCCTTATCCCAATCTCACAGCCTTATCCCAATCTCACAGCCTTATCTCAATCTCACAGCCTTATCCCAATCTCACAGCCTTATCCCAATCTCACAGCCTTATCTCAATCTCACAGCCTTATCCCAATCTCACAGCCTTATCCCAAATTCACAGCCTTATCTCAATCTCACAGCCTTATCTCAATCTCACACACCTATCCCAATCTCACAGCCTTATCCCAGTCTCACAGCCTTATCTCAATCACACAGCCTTATCTCAATCTCACAGCCTTATCCCAATCTCACAGCCTTATCCTAATCTCACAGCCTTATCCTAATCTCACAGCCTTATCTCAATCTCACACCCTTATCCCAGTCACACAGCCTTATCCCAGTCTCACAGCCTTATCTCAATCTCACAGCCTTATCCCAATCTCACAGCCTTATCCCAATCTCATAACCTTATCCCAATCTCACAGCCATATCCCAGTCTCACAGCCTTATCCCAATCTCACAGCCTTATCTCAGTCTCACAGCTTTATCCCAATCTCATAACTTTATTCCAATCTCATTACCATATTCACACCACACATACTCCCACCACACATACTCCCACCACACATACTCACACCACACATACTCACACCACACATACTCACACCACACATACTCACACCACACATACTCCCACCACACATACTCACACCACACATACTCCCACCACACATACTCACACCACACATACTCACACCACACATACTCCCACCACACATACTCACACCACACATACTCACACCACACATACTCACACCACACATACTCACACCACACATACTCACACCACACATACTCACACCACACATACTCACACCACACATACTCCCACCACACATACTCACACCACACATACTCACACCACACATACTCACACCACACATACTCACACCACACATACTCCCACCACACATACTCACACCACACATACTCACACCACTCCTCAAGAAGTAGCATCACCAAACTACAGGTGTCATTAAAAATAAGAACTATTAACTATCATGACATGAACATGTGACCTGTGTGAACCAATGAGAATGTAGATAGATTGACTTACTTGTAGCCCATTCACAGTAGTATCCCTGTGGACAGAGTTCGCAGTCTTCAGCACTAGTAAGGTCAGTTCTATTGGTAAATGTTCCAGGAAAACATGGAAACTGATCTGGGGTACTAGTCCCAACTGGACAGAAATAACCTGCAATATCAAATTCAATAAGTCACCTTTACTAGAACTGTTCACTGTGATTTTTCAAACAATCAAGAATAAAGAATTAACATTGAATAAAATACAAATTATTAAGTAAAATATTGGGAAAACAATTTGTTTGATAACAAAATTTTGATATCAAATCTTAAGATATGTATCTACACTCCGAAATGCAGTCAAGTAAATAACACAGCCTTTTTGGATAATATTTAAATTTATGATAAAATAAATGCACTTGAGAGTCCTTTTGGTTACAAGCCTGACACGCCTCCATGGACAATCAGGGTCATTACCTTACTGAACAACATACTGGAGACCCATGTCATCAATGTAGTTGTTAAGATCTTAATATAAACATAGGTAACACACAATGTGTGGCTGTGCTATTTCATCTAGACCACATTGTCCGGATGACTAGATTCTACTGACCTTCCTGGCAGGCGTGGGTTGAGTTGATCTGGCCTTCCCAGGGACATGACCTTCCTGCATCACACAGCCTGCAGTTGAGTTCCAATCCACTTCCTGTGTCTGGATTATACTTCCCTGACGAACATTTTGTTGGAGCTTCCGTTGGAGCCACACCAGAGCCGGCTGGACAGAAGTGTCCAGCAGGACACTCAATACACTGTGTTTCATCTATAAATATACAGTTTTAACACTCATTGTAACATATCAGGATAAATACCCTATATTGTGTTAATTATTATCCTCAATTCAAGACTTACATATACTCCTACATCTTCCCAAGACTAACTAACACTCCTACATCTTCCCAAGACTAACTAACACTCCTATATCTTCCCAAGACTAACTAACACTCCTACATCTTCCCAAGACTAACTAACACTCCTACATCTTCCCAAGACTAACTAACACTCCTACATCTTCCCAAGACTAACTAACACTCCTACATCTTCCCAAGACTTACATTAACTCCTACATCTTCCCAAGACTAACTAACACTCCTACATCTTCCCAAGACTAACTAACACTCCTACATCTTCCCAAGACTAACTAACACTCCTACATCTTCCCAAGACTAACTAACACCTACACACACTCCTACATCTTCCCAAGACTAACTAACACTCCTACATCTTCCCAAGACTAACTAACACTCCTACATCTTCCCAAGACTAACTAACACTCCTACATCTTCCCAAGACTAACTAACACTCCTACATCTTCCCAAGACTAACTAACACTCCTACATCTTCCATAACTAACACTCCTACATCTTCCCAAGACTAACTAACACTCCTACATCTTCCCAAGACTAACTAACACTCCTACATCTTCCCAAGACTAACTAACACTCCTACATCTTCCCAAGACTAACTAACACTCCTACATCTTCCCAAGACTAACTAACACTCCTACATCTTCCCAAGACTAACTAACACTCCTACATCTTCCCAAGACTAACTAACACTCCTACATCTTCCCAAGACTAACTAACACTCCTACACTCCTACATCTTCCCAAGACTAACTAACACTCCTACATCTTCCCAAGACTAACTAACACTCCTACATCTTCCCAAGACTAACTAACACTCCTACATCTTCCCAAGACTAACTAACACTCCTACATCTTCCCAAGACTAACTAACACTCCTACATCTTCCCAAGACTAACTAACACTCCTACATCTTCCCAAGACTAACTAACACTCCTACATCTTCCCAAGACTAACTAACACTCCTACATCTTCCCAAGACTAACTAACACTCCTACATCTTCCCAAGACTAACTAACACTCCTAATCTTCCCAAGACACTAACACTCCTACATCTTCCTAACAAGACTAACTAACACTCCTACATCTTCCCAAGACTAACTAACACTCCTACATCTTCCCAAGACTAACTAACACTCCTACATCTTCTCAACACTAACTAACACTCCTACATCTTCCCAAGACTAACTAACACTCCTACATCTTCCATAACTAACACTCCTACATCTTCCCAAGACTAACTAACACTCCTACATCTTCCCAAGACTAACTAACACTCCTACATCTTCCCAAGACTAACTAACACTCCTACATCTTCCATAACTAACACTCCTACATCTTCCCAAGACTAACTAACACTCCTACATCTTCCATAACTAACACTCCTACATCTTCCCAAGACTAACTAACACTCCTACATCTTCCATAACTAACACTCCTACATCTTCCCAAGACTAACTAACACTCCTACATCTTCCCAAGACTAACTAACACTCCTACATCTTCCCAAACACTCCTACATCTTCCCAAGACTAACTAACACTCCAACATCTTCCCAAGACTAACTAACACTCCTACATCTTCCCAAGACTAACTAACACTCCTACACCCCTTGATGAATACAAAGTGGTCTGGTGAAGCCCTAAAACTGACCACGGCTCCTCTTAAGTGACTTACTCTGAAAGCCCTCGGATGGACCGTAGGTTCCCACTGGACATGGTTTCACAGTAGGGTCTGTCTGACCTGCCAGACAGTAGAAACCTTTAGGACAAATAGTTCCTTGGTTTGCAGTACCATCTGGACAGTAATACCCAGCTGGACAGACCTGGCAGTCGCTTAAACGTGTTGCATTTCCTTGGTCATTGTAGGTACCGCCTTCAAAGGGAGATAATCGACAAATATTAGGAACAAGGTCAACTTTGCTAAAACATAATACACATCATTCCTATATCACGAGTTAAATATAACAGATTATGAAACTTTCAGCCTTGTATCAGATTCTGATTGGTCTACCTCTGATCACATGTTATTCCATTTACCATTGAACTGTATCATAATGTTAGGCCATCATAGGTCAACATTAGTTAAATACAAGGTCATCAAAATGTCAGGTCATAATAGGTCAACATTAGTTAAATACAAGGTCATCATCACGTTAGGCCATCATAGGTCAACATTAATTAAATACAAGGTCATCAAAATGTTAGGTCATCATAGGTCAACATTAGTTAAATACAAGGTCATCATAATGTGAGGTAACAAAAAAAATATCATTAGTAACAGGTCAGTATGAGACCATGGTTACTATGGAAACAATAGATACTACAAAATATCCAACACTGGTAAATTTTATACATTTAACATAATACCAAACAACAGGACTAATATCCTGATTACGAGGGAAGTCCTACCTGGACAGTTGGTTGGTACCACACTTCCTAAAGGACAGTAGGCTCCGGAGGGACATTGGTTTACTGAGAAGTCATCCATTCCTTGCTGATCACAGTAGTAACCTGAGAACATACAAACAAATCAGAGTAACTACTACCTAACCCCAGTAGACCCTATCTAGCCCCAATAGTCCTTATCTAACCCAGTAGCCCCTATCTAGCCCCAATAGTCCTTATCTAACCCAGTAGACCCTATCTAACCCCAGTAGCCCCTATCTAGCCCCAATAGTCCTTATCTAACCCAGTAGCCCCTATCTAACCCCAGAAGTCCCTATCTAACCCTAGTACCCCTATCTAACCCCAGTAGTCCCTATCTAACCCCAGTAGTCCCTATCTAACGCCAGTAGCCCCTATCACACCCCAATAGCCCCTATGTAACCCCAGTAGCCCCTATCTCGCCCCAGTAGCCCCTATCATACCCTAGTAGCCTCTATCATACCCCAGTAGCCTCTATCTAAACCCAGTAGCCCCTATCTAACCCCAGTAGCCTCTATCTCGCCCCAGTAGTCCCTATCTAACCCCAGTAGCCTCTATCTCGCCCCAGTAGTCCCTATCTAAACCCAGTAGCCTCTATCTAACCCCAGTAGCCCCTATCTAAACCCAGTAGCCACTATCTAACCCCAGAAGTCCCTATCTAACCCCAGTAGCCCCTATCTAGTCCCAGTAGCCCCTATCTAACCCCAGTAGCCCCTATCTAACCCCAGTAGCCTCTATCTAGCCCCAGTAACCCCTCCATAATCCCAACAGAATCAAAGATTCGATCAAAGAGTAGGAGAAATACTTGCCATCGATGAAAACAAATTTTGGACCTCTTAACTTACTGAACTAATACTCTACAGATTGGGCTTAAAGAGAAATTTTTACAAATCTACTGAGAATGAATTGACAATGGTAAAGAGTGTTAGGTTGCCAGCATTTACAGAATCTCCGTATGTGAATTTGTAGGAAGAAACTAATATTTATAAAGATTACCAGCAGGACAAAGTGAACATTGTGTCTCTGATGTTGATCCATTGAAAGCATTGTATTTTCCTGCAACACAGGCTACAAAGCGTTGACCATCTGGGCAGTAGCCTCCCTTGTTACAAAGTCCACCAGGGGGCGTTGGTGTGGTGGAAGCCATTGGACACTGGTAACCAGGATCACATTTTGTACACTTGATCTGTCCAGCGATGGAGTAATAACCTTCTTGGCATTCTGTCATCTGGGAGTCTGGGAAAAGGTAATAAATGACATGAACAATGAACTTAATTTCTATTTAGGAGATCTCAGTATTACACTAACTTGGTACTTTATGTACAATAAAACTATGGCGAGACAATCAATCTTGATATTGTTTTCTATATGATACTCTGTCTTTAACTGCTTTTTTAAGTTGAACTCTCTGTCATAAAGATTTTTCTCTGTCGGAGACAGTGCCTTAAGATTGTTTTTTTTCCTATGGGAAACTGTGCCTTACATTTGTTTTCGGTGAGATACTCTGCCATGAGATTGTATTTTTTCTGCAGGAGTCTGCCATGTCATATTTTTTTTAGAATACTCTACTTAAAGGGAATTTTTGTGTGATAATTTAACTTGACTTTACTAACAAGAGAATTATTGGCTTACTGGCCTAAACTTTCACCTGATTGAGTAATCATTGCTCTAACTGTACCAGTTTACATTTGATATTTGTTAAATGACGTTATAAACCACTTCAATATGTTCTCAGATAAAGAAATTCACACATATTAGGATAGATTTTTCCATGCCTAATCTTTGTTTCTGCTAAGTATCTTCTTAACATAATATTCAATGTTTTTGATTAATAGCATTCTAAAAAGATAAACATATGCCAAAGGTTAATATATAGGTCACCAAAGGTGAAAGGTCAAATAAGTAACCAATATCATTCAATACTGTATTTATTTGCATATCTTATCAAAATGTAGATTTATGTCAATGGTCAATATACAGGTCATCAAAGGTCACAGATCAAAAAACATATCAATTTCAATATTTGATATTATTGGTGATTTCTCTGGTGACCATATTTTACTTCTGTTGAACATGAAATCAAGATTGTTGTACAATATCATCTACTTATCATATCATTAAAATTTCAGTGATATCATTCAACTGGTATTGGAGTTACTAAATCAATTAAAATATCTTCTAAAGTTGGCACTGATGGCAGCCATCTTGAATTTTATTTTTACTTCAGACATAATAGAAATTGATCAGTCCCCTGTACTGACCATTTGTAAAAAACTGACAACTCACACCACACAATGAACATAATGAGAGACAGATTAAGCCCCAGAGCAAAAGCTCAGTTAGGGCTTTAACTCAGGAGATGTAAAAAGTTCAAAAAATTTTATAACTTCTCATTAATTCTTGTTTTATTCAAATTCTTTTAAACATAAACTAAAACGCTTACAAATGGACGTTTTATCATATCTCCTATTAAAAATCATTGTATGCCACAGATAGAATTACATGAGGGATTTTACTGCAGCAAGAATCGGAAGTTTCTAGGATTAAACACTGAGGGCAGTAACTATAATACAGTGCATTGTTGACCTTAAAAGGGTAATACTGATATACTTACATCTGTTTGTCGGGCAGTAGTAGCCAGCAGTACAGATCGTACAGTTGGTAGATGCATCAGGACTGACATATCCTTCACCACAGTCGAGACCACCTTCTGTGGTAAATTCACAGTATTTACCTTCCTGACAAACAGTACACTGTTCCTGTCCTCCTAATGAATAGTAACCAGCTGCACAAGGAGAACTGAAAACAAGTCATTCGATATTAATTAATATTAATACTGCATAATAAAATTAATTCGCTTAAAAATTTGGTAAAATAGAAAAAAAATGCTAAGACAGGTACTCAACATACATTTCAAAATTTCAAGATGTCATTTATACAGTTTATTCCAGAAGTTCATCTAAAAAATCTGCATTTAACTTACAGATATAAAAAGTTCACCAGAACACGAAAATAATTCAGACATCATGATAATATACTTACCTGCTGTTGGTTAGTGGATTTGGACACTCATATCCAATAGCACATTGGGTACATGAAGTTTGGTTACCCACAGAAAATGTTCCAAAATTACAGGCAATCTCTGTGTTCTGGTCAGAGAAGGGACATTCACTAGTGAATAAATGAAAAAAAAGCAAAAATGTCACATCAACATTAATCAGAAGGTCAATGAAGGTCAACTCTATCATGGAATATCATGGAGATAATTCTACAATTAAATATCAAGGGAGATAATTCAATGATTAAACATCAAGGGAGACAGTTACACAATTACGATTTAGGGAAGATAACTCCATCATTTTGTATGTAGGTAATAACTGTGCACTGATCTAGCCTTTCTTTTCTACAGATAAAATGTCATATTAAAAACAAAACTTCTCAAGAAATAGCAGCAACAAACTTTCATACTCAAAATCCAAAATGGCCACCTGTCAGCCATATTGTTTTCTTAATCCACCCCAAAATGAAGTGAAATACAATCTGATATTTATATCAACAAAACAAAAAGACATTTACCTTCCTGCTGGACATTCTGTACATGATGTTTGTTTTCCGGTAGAGTAAGTTCCAATGGGACATTCGATGGACTGGTCCGAGGTAGTCAGCGGGCAGTAGAACCCGGCAGGACAGTCTGTACAGTCTACTGAGTTGCCTGTGGCGTAGGTTCCAGCAGCACACACTTCTATGCCTACACCATTTGTGTTTGGACATTTGGACCCAGCTGGGCATCCAATACAACTAGTAGCATTAACCAAGGAGTAAAATCCCACAGCACAAGGTAGCACCAATGCTACTCTGTTGGATATGATAAAGAAAAGCATACTTCAAAATATTAAAATACTAAAGAAATGATAAGTAGATGATATTGTACAAATAATTCTTTCAGTTTTTTCAAACTTAATTTACAACTTTTTTATGAAACATCCAGTTAAACCCTTACCTTCTGTTAGATAAATTATATAAAAAGAACCAATATAACAGCAGACTTTAGGCACTAGATAACTAAAGTCATCAACTTATTCTTTATATGGTGAAAATCCCTAAACTTACTCTGTATCCTGGCAGTGAAGCCCACAATCTACTCTGTAACTGGGCTGTGAAGCCCACAATCTACTCTGTATCTGGGCTGTGATGCCCACAATCTACTCTGTATCTGTGCTGTGATGCCCACAATCTACTCTGTATCTGGGCTGTGAAGCCCACAATCTACTCTGTATCTGTGCTGTGATGCCCACAATCTACTCTGTATCTGGGTTGTGAAGCCCACAATCTACTCTGTATCTGGGTTGTGAAGCCCACAATCTACTCTGTATCTGTGCTGTGATGCCCACAATCTACTCTGTATCTGTGCTGTGATGCCCACAATCTACTCTGTATCTGAGCTGTGATGCCCACAATCTACTCTGTATTTGTACTCTGTATTCGGGCTGTGAAGCCCCAAACTTACTCTGTATTTGGGCTGTGAACCCCCAAACTTACTCTGTATTCGGGCAATAAGAACCAGCTGTGCAATCAGTACAGGTCATCTCTCCTGCTTCTGAATATTGTCCAGGTTGACACAGGAAATTTTTTGTGATATCAGCTAAATCAGGACATCCATATCCCGCGGGACACTGTGTGCATGATGTAGACCCAGGGTTGCTGTTGTAACCTACAGCAGGATTAAAACATCTCAGAGAAAATCTAGATCAATATCAACAACAGATATATATAGATTGCCTTTATAGATGAATTTAATGAGATTTCTGTTGATATATTTTTATAAAGTAGTATACCTGAGGCACACGGGGAGGGACTAACAGTTGTTGACACACAGAAAGAGCCTCCGGGACATGTAACACAGGCTGTAGTCGAGCCTGCCAAGTTGTATGTCCCACTGGTACATATCACAGGAGAAATTCCCTGATTTGTACAGTCATATCCTGAAAATTATATAAAAAGTCGTTAAGTTAAAACTTCTGGTTTACACATGAATATCATTTATGATGCCGTGAAATTCGCAGACAAGTAAGAATTGACTTCCTTAACAAATGTAACAATGTACAGATATACAGGTTGGAATACTTCTATCTTATATTAGATACAAGTTCAATCAATGATTACTGAGCTTACAGAAAGCAGCCACTGACATTTTTTTTTTCAAAAGCCAGAGCTAAGCTGAAATATAACGGAGTTAACAAATTTACCTGTTTATTTTCAAAACTGTTCCAAAACATGAACAGGATGGAAATTGATCATTCGTGAAACTTTTTCATTTACAGTATGATGGGGCATAAGCAAGAACATTGTACCTGCTGGACAGGGGGTACAGGTCTCCTCGCCAAGTAGCGAGTAGGACCCAGCAGAACAAGCCGAAGCTGCAGTAGTCGTACACGAACTTCCCGCTGGACACTGCGAACAGGAAGACGCACCAGCTGCTGAATAAAACCCAGTAATACCACAGCTAGTCTCGACTTCCGCTCCCTGAGGGCAGTAATTACCAGCAGTACACGGCAAACAGGACATCGCTGTAAACAAAAAAAGTCACCGTAAATATTTGCACCAGTCACATAACCTCCAGAGCAGGATCTTTTGGTCATATAAGTTTTTAATTTTGAAATTTGTTTTAAATATCTAACACAGAAATTGCCAAAAATTAAGATTTACTTTCCACATTTTTGCAGATAATTCATTGATTTCTTAAATATCATTTAACTGTTCTGCTATTTAAGTCATTTTTAAGCATAGTGCACGACACACTTAACAATATGCCTTACGTAAAGACTATGATAACTAGAACTGTCGCCTAGATGGCTGACCAATACCGACCGCACACTGCAACGAGTCATTGGATAAGTTTAAGTGTTATTCTGAGAGTAATTGACATATTCTGCATGTGCCTGCATTTCTGGAAATCAGAAGGGGTGGAATACATGTTGTTCATGATCAAGAGAGTCTTGCAATACTTACATGTTTATTGAAGTAATATTTTCCACTGAAGGGCCACAGAGACAAAAAAATGGTCACTATAATAAGTGGGTACTACAACAATCTCAAACTCATCTGACAATCGGTTGATATAGAGATGGTCCAGAAGACCACCTTTTCTGTGTGTGGGTGAATCACAGAGCTGGACATAACCATAGTATCTGAGGAGTCTAAATAGTTTGTCCTTTGATGGCCCTTGATGCCGAGAAACCGTTAAAATCTGACGTTATTTAATAACTTTTTGACCAATGATGGCAAATTTGTTTAACTGAAAAAAGTCTGTCGTTATGTTCTTGATCTACACTAAACACTTATGTTTGTCATGGCAACGAAACCTATTTTACAATGTTTGGCATCCCCTTATAACCCTATATACCAAATTTGGTCAAAATTGGACAATATCTAAATTTTGACCAATCAGAGGCCAGGATTGTGTTTCCGCGGTAACAGTTTGGGAAACCTCTAATATGTCCAATTATTGGCCTTACTGAATTACATCTTTTTACTAAGTTTGAATACAATCGGTCAAATAACTGAGGAGTTATGGACATTTATTAGAAAACTTGTTTATACTGACCAGTTACCGTGGCAACCAAAATTTTCAAAAAAAGAAAGGGACATGCATATCTACACATGATCCTTAATATTCCTGTAAAGTTTCATCAAAATCGGTTCACAGGTTTAGGAGGAGTTAGCCGGACAAAATGTGTCTACAGACAGACGGACGGACGGACAGACGGACGGACAGACGGACGGACAGATGGATAACCTGATTCCAGTATACCCCCCTAACTTCATTGCGGGGGGTATAACTACATTTTTGTTAAGTTGGTGACACTCCCCAACCCCCCGCTCCCCCCCCCCCTCCCCCTTCTATATAATATAGTATCACCCCACACTTACTTCCAGCAGGACTGTATTCTCCTGGGGCACAAAGTACAGGTGTACTTGTAGCATCTGTGCAGTAGTTTCCCCCTGGACAGGAAATACAAGCTGTCTGCCCTCCTGTAGAGTACTGACCTGATGTAAAGATAAGACAAATTGTAAATATAACTTGATGATATATCATCTTGATTAAGATATTTTTGGAACTCAATATCTAAGTACTGGACTAATGCCTGTGGGTATCCCTGAACTTTTGTGAACCCATTATAATACTTTGTTACTAGAATTATTAACGTTTTCAAAATAGTTCTCTGACCTGATCAGAAAACATCTTACAAAAATTAATGTATCTCTTATGTTGAACTTTCACCTTACATTTTGTTCAACATCATAATTCATGAATACCTTAATCAGTTGTACAAGCCATGTTACATGGCATTTGATTGGCCATTAAAAATTACCACTAATATAACAGCCAATGAAATGTAGCATTTCAGATAACATTTCCACATTTGGTAGCTAGTTTTGTCAGGAAAGACTCAAAGAAACAATCTTCAAGACAAACCTTTACTGATATTGCATACTGGCTACTGTATGTATCAACATCATAGATGATAAAAATGATGAGCCAAAATCTCGGCCAAAAACACACAGTATCACATACATGGGCATGCAGCCAGTGTTATCTAAATGTACTGTTAAGTAGGTATAGTGTGGCCATTCACCAAAGCTTTTTATAGTTGGTTGCATATTTCAAAGAAATTAACAAATCAAAGTTAAGAAAGATCACAATACTTAAGGGAAAAAGAAAACAAATTAAAAAACTTTTGTCTTCAAACAATTTCAGGAAGAAACAATTCAGTTCTGTGAGTATCAGAAAGTTAATTTCTGGGTTTTCATATAAAAAAGAACCACATTCAACTGTTCATGACACATACCACATTTTTTTCATAGAGTTATTACTTTTTTTAAAAAATATATCCTTAATGGTTATATCATTGAACCACAAAGTGTAAATCTTTTCAAACTTCGAATTTTTTATTTTTAAAACTTTACAAAATCTTAGTATATGTTTGGTTAAAGTAGATGTAGATCAGAAAAATGAAACCCACCATTTTTAGTTTACATACCTGAGCTGCAAGCAACTGGTGCAGCATTGTTGACTGAACACTGGAATCCTGCTGGGCAGTTAGTGCAGCTAGCATCTCCTAATAATGAGTATGTACCAGCTGCACAGGCTGTTGGACTCGACCTAAACATACAAAATAGACCAGATGTAGAAATACAAAAAAGTACATTCTACAATACAGGCCAAAGTCTGACAGAGACAAAGTATACCAACATTCCTGCACGGTGTCCTGCTGGAAAGAATGGAGACATAGCTTGGTGTTTTCTGTTAGACAGGGTACAAGTGAAGTAAATGTGTGTCCTGTTGGACAGAATGGAGACATAGCTTGGTGTTTTCTGTTAGACAGGGTACAAGTGAAGTGTTAGTAAATGTGTGTCCTGCTGGACAGAATGGAGACATAGCTTGGTGTTTTCTGTTAGACAGGGTACAAGTGAAGTAAATGTGTGTCCTGCTGGACAGAATGGAGACATAGCTTGGTGTTTTCTGTTAGACAGGGTACAAGTGAAGTAAATGTGTGTCCTGCTGGACAGAATGGAGACATAGCTTGGTGTTTTCTGTTAGACAGGGTACAAGTGAAGTAAATGTGTGTCCTGCTGGACAGAATGGAGACATAGTTTGGTGTTTTCTGTTAGATAGGGTACAAGTGAAGTAAATGTGTGTCCTGCTGGAGAGAATGGAGACATAGCTTGGTGTTTTCTGTTAGACAGGGTACAAGTGAAGTAAATGTGTGTCCTGCTGGACAGAATGGAGACAGAGCTTGGTGTTTTCTGTTAGACAGGGTACAAGTGAAGTGTTAGTAAATGTGTGTCCTGCTGGACAGAATGGAGACAGAGCTTGGTGTTTTCTGTTAGACAGGGTACAAGTGAAGTGTTAGTAAATGTGTGTCCTGCTGGAGAGAATGGAGACATAGCTTGGTGTTTTCTGTTAGACAGGGTACAAGTGAAGTAAATGTGTGTCCTGCTGGACAGAATGGAGACAGAGCTTGGTGTTTTCTGTTAGACAGGGTACAAGTGAAGTAAATGTGTGTCCTGCTGGACAGAATGGAGACATAGCTTGGTGTTTTCTGTTTGACAGGGTACAGGTGAAGTAAAAGTACATGTGTCCTACCAGAAAGGATTCACAAAGAGAAAGCCTAGTATTCAGCTGAAAAGGGTTACACACAGAGACAGTGTACTTACGTGGGGTTGGTACATGTGTATCCAGCTGGACAGGATACACAGAGATAGTGTACTTACGTGGGGTTGGTACAAGCGTATCCAGCTGGACAGGATACACAGAGATAGTGTACTTACGTGGGGTTGGTACATGCGTATCCAGCTGGACAGGATACACAGAGATAGTGTACTTACATGGGGTTGGTACATGCGTATCCAGCTGGACAGGATACACAGAGATAGTGTACTTACGTGGGTTGGTACATTTGTATCCAGCTGGACAGGATACACAGAGACAGTGTACTTACGTGGGGTTGGTACATTTGTATCCAGCTGGACAGGATACACAGAGACAGTGTACTTACGTGGGGTTGGTACATGCGTATCCAGCTGGACAGGATACACAGAGACAGTGTACTTACGTGGGGTTGGTACATGCGTATCCAGCTGGACAGGATACACAGAGACAGTGTACTTACGTGGGGTTGGTACATGCGTATCCAGCTGGACAGGATACACAGAGACAGTGTACTTACGTGGGGTTGGTACATGCGTATCCAGCTGGACAGGATACACAGAGACAGTGTACTTACGTGGGGTTGGTACATGCGTATCCAGCTGGACAGGATACACAGAGACAGTGTACTTACGTGGGGTTGGTACATGCGTATCCAGCTGGACAGGATACACAGAGACAGTGTACTTACGTGGGGTTGGTACATGCGTATCCAGCTGGACAGGATACACAGAGACAGTGTACTTACGTGGGGTTGGTACATGCGTATCCAGCTGGACAGGATACACAGAGACAGTGCGTATCCAGCTGGACAGGATACACAGAGACAGTGTACTTACGTGGGGTTGGTACATGCGTATCCAGCTGGACAGGATACACAGAGACAGTGTACTTACGTGGGGTTGGTACATGCGTATCCAGCTGGACAGGATACACAGAGACAGTGTACTTACGTGGGGTTGGTACATTTGTATCCAGCTGGACAGGATACACAGAGACAGTGTACTTACGTGGGGTTGGTACATGCGTATCCAGCTGGACAGGATACACAGAGATAGTGTACTTACGTGGGGTTGGTACATGCGTATCCAGCTGGACAGGATTCACAGAGACAGTGTACTTACGTGGGGTTGGTACATGCGTATCCAGCTGGACAGGATACACACAGAGACAGTGTACTTACGTGGGGTTGGTACATACGTATCCAGCTGGACAGGATTCACAGAGATAGTGTACTTACGTGGGGTTGGTACATGCGTATCCAGCTGGACAGGATTCACAGAGTTCCTGGTTACTATCTGCCACTTGACCTGTAGATGACAATTAACAGCTTTTATTGAAAATAAATTATGACACTGGGCTCTCTTTGTCAGCTTATATAGGGCTATAAATATTCAAAAATTGCACTGAAGGAAAAGGTGTTATATTATAAGTTTATATAGCCTTGCTTAAAAGAAATTGCTTGAAATTAATTTTTTGTGAGAAAATGCAATGAAAAAAGTGCAATAACCCTTTTAAATTAAAAAATCAAAACACCATCAGGAAAATTTTACCACATCTATGAAGCCCATCAAGTTACAAAAATATTGGTTGAAAACTGAAAGAGACTTTCAGGGAAAACAAAAAATGCTGAAAAAGAAAAAAGGACACTGATGCTTTCAAAATTTGTCCTTCATAAAAAAAATACAGCCTCATCTAATGTGTGATATTGCCTACAAAGTTTTAGAGAAGAATGAGACAGAATTCTTTCTGGAGAATGAAAGTACACAATGGATGGAGGGCCAACACCACACCACAAAAGATAGAGTCGAAGGACTAGTGTTTAGAAACAAAATGAACTCCTTGTTGAGAGAGACTTACTTGCAGTACATATCGTACAAGCTGAGGATCCAGTTGCTGCAACATAGCCAGCCCCACAAGGTGTTGGGGATGAAGTCGCATTTCCACATGAATGTCCTACCAAACATGGCGTACATGTTGATGATCCTGCAATAGATTAGATTTGTTCACAGAAATGTACTGAAAGTAGCAAATCATGCAAAGTAAGAAGGTCCACTATCTTAGTAAGTACGAGTTCAAATTCTCAAATAGATTGAATTTTTTTATATTTATAGATTGCTAAATAAAAGGGTTTTAAATTACACCCTTGCAGCTCCCCATTTATTTTTCTACTTCTTTCAATAAATTTTTATTTTTCTCAGTTGCCTCCTAGGGTTCCAAATTTTGGCCCTTATTATCAGTGATGATTCCTAGAAGGACAAAACAGCTGTATAGTTCATTGTTTCATCAATTCAATTTTCTCTGCAGAAACTAATCGTTCAATATCCATAAAGAGCTAAAGTATTGAAGTGGATGTACAATGTAGTAAAGGGTGTGTACCAGACAAAAGATAAATTGTACAGAATATATCTACTGATCCTCAAACATCAGTTTATCACACGATGGAAGTATTAGATTATTTTTCTGTCGACGTAGGTGAGAAGATTTAAATAACTAATACTATATGTCTCTATATGTATACCTAAAGCAGTAAACTTGTATGTTACAAAGCCTAATGTTATGCAGTTTTTCCAATATTTAACACAATATTGCTGCTTAACTATAGGAACACTTAAAATATAAGCTGAGGAGAAGCTTGTTCTGGTTTACAGTATAGAAAACAGCTTAAATATCACTACAGGGAGACATTTTCTACTTCACAAAGTCCTTTTAGAATTTTTTTTGATGTAGAGTTTTCCTATAAAAACTTACCTGCTGAAGCACTGTAAGTTCCCTCTCCACAAGGTAAACATCTGCCTGATCCAAGCGTACTGTATAGTCCAGCCACACATTGAACTGGAGCACCATGGTTTGGACATTCAGATCCAGCTGGACATTGGGAGCAAGATGTCTGGCCTGGAATATAGAAATAACAAATTGATGATCAACAAGAGGTCCAAGGGGCCTTCACATTTACATAAACAAGAGGTCCAAGGAACCTTAACAGTTACATAAACAAGAGGTCCAAGCGGCCTTAACAGTTATATAAACAAGAGGTCCAAGGGGCCTTAACAGTTACATAAACAAGAGGTCCAAGGAACCTTAACAGTTACATAAACAAGAGGTCCAAGGGGCCTTAACAGTTATATAAATAAGAGGTCCAAGGGGCTAAACAGTTATATAAACAAAAGGTCCAAGGGGCTAAACAATTACATAAACAAGGGTCCAAGGGGCCTTCACAATTACATAAACAAGAGGTCCAAGGGGCCTTAACAGTTACATAAACAAGAGGTCCAAGAAGGCTAAACAGTTACATAAACAAGGGTCCAAGGGGCCTTAACAATTACATAAACAAGAGGTCCAAGGGGCCTTAACAGTTATATAAACAAGAGGTCCAAGGAACCTTAACAGTTACATAAACAAGAGGTCAAAGTGGCCTTAACAGTTACATAAACAAGAGGTCCAAGGGGCCTTAACATTTACATAAACAAGAGGTCCAAGGAACCTTAACAGTTACATAAACAAGAGGTCCAAGGGGCCTTAATAGTTACATAAACAAGAGGTCCAAGGAACCTTAACAGTTATATAAACAAAAGGTCCAAGGGGCCTTCACATTTACATAAACAAGAGGTCCAAGTTGCCTTAATAGTTACATAAACAAGAGGTCTAAGGGACCTTATTAGTTACATAAACAAAAGGTTTAAGGGACCTTATTAGTTACATAAATAAGATATTGTAAATTTGGGGTTGACAGACCTGTAGAAGAAGTGTAATATCCGTCAGCACACACAGTGTGTGCAGTGGAGGCAGATGGACAGGAACTCCCTATTGGACAATTTGTACATGTGGCTTGTCCTCCTGTTGAGTAGGTCCCAGCAGCACAGTCAGATGCAACAGTTGCCGTACAGGACTTTCCAGCGGGACAGTCATCACAGGATGTCTGACCTGCCTGTTCTTGGTATTTCCCCGATGGACAAGCCTACAAATTGGGATGCAACATTAACAGACACAATTAGTGTGACACTGTAGATGAGTTTGCTGGTTTTTTAAAATATTGATCTAATGCAAAGGGTTTCTATTTCTAGTCTCTCAAGATTAAAATGACTATTTTTATGATGTTATAAACACTTTTTTTGTATTTGTATAAATCACAGTTTGAAAGACCCTAAAATGGCAAATATTAAAAGTAAAGCAGTTGTTTTTAGGGTCTGATTAGTTGACTATACTTAAGGTTTCCAAAATTCCATATATATATATATATTTTAAGGTTTTGCTAGAACATGAAAATGCAAATTCTGTAAGTTTGAGAAGGAGCATATTAACAATTAAGTAACATACAATACAATCACTGGATGCAGTGTTCTCTGTGGCTGTACTGTAGGTTCCTGCTGGACAGTCTAAGGCTACAGCACCAGCCCCTGTACAGCTGTAAAACAAAACAAATTAACAACTGAAGCTAATGTCTCTTTATCAACTTTCTGAAACATCTCACTCTGAAAGGATAAAATGATGGTAGAAGTTTAGTCCTCACACATTCTCTAATGTCAGGTGTATTTATTAAACTAATACTCATCAATACTGCCACAATCAATTGCTTACCCAGGCTGAAACACATATAGCGTCTTACCGTGGTTGGAAATCAGAGTACCTGTAGTGGTCTGGCACTATAAAGGACCCAAAATCTTGTCACTTTCATTTTTGGAATCAAACAAAGACATCTAGGTAAAAGGCGAGTGTTACCACTGCACCCATAGACATTCTATTCTTGATTTTTTTTATCATTGATTATCTCCCTTGATGAGGTTCTTTGTCTGTATTGATTATAATGCCTATCGTCAGGTGATAGTAATAGAACTATCAGTGACTGGAAAATGGTGAATGAATTATTAATGGGACAATCTAACAGTTTTAGTCTTCCTTAACTTAATGTATATATGTACAAAATAAACTACGATTTATCTTCACTCTATGTATAAAATAGATGTAACAGGTACATGTTTCTAACCATTATACAGTATTGTCACCTCTCGTTATCTACTACCTAGTCATCACTATACAACATCAAGGGGGACAGGATGTTTTAAAGGGTCATCATTGTATATCATCTCCATGTAATATTCTATGTTGTAAATCAGTTATCATATTTGTGCGTGTTCACCTGATCAATATTCTATGTTATGTTTAAACAATACATTTATCTTACATGTAGATCCAGATATTGATTTATCCTATAATGTCAAGGGTGGAAAATACATAACCATCTAGACTCAAAGTCAGGGGTGGGCTTATTACAGGACAACAAATTTTATTTTTCTAGTTAACTCTTACAAACACAATTACAGATATAGATGGGCTTCTTACAGGACAACAAAAATCTCGTGTTTTAGGTAGATAAATTGTACAGAATTATTGACACAGATGGGCTTATCACTGGACAACAAAAATCTCGTGTTTTAGGTAGATCTATTGTACAGAACTATTGACCGGATGGGCTTATCACAGGACAAAAAAACATCTCGTGTTTTAGGTAGATCTATTGTACAGAATTATTGACCCAGATGGGCTTATTACTGGACAACAAAAATCTCGTGTTTTAGGTAGATATATTGTACAGAATTATTGACACAGATGGGCTTATTACTGGACAACAAAAATCTCGTGTTTTAGGTAGATATATTGTACAGAACTATTGACCGGATGGGCTTATCACAGGACAAAAAAACATCTCGTGTTTTAGGTAGATCTATTGTACAGAATTATTGACCCAGATGGGCTTATTACTGGACAACAAAAATCTTGTGTTTTAGGTAGATATATTGTACAGAATTATTGACACAGATGGGCTTATTACTGGACAACAAAAATCTCGTGTTTTAGGTAGATATATTGTACAGAATTATTGACACGGATGGGCTTATCACAGGACAATTTAAGAACCTTCTGTTTCAGGTTCAACTGCAACCTATAGAAATATAAGTGGGTCTACTACCAGATATAGAATTATGATTATTGTATATAAAGTATGTATATGATAGAGTAATTTCAAATGAAGTAATCAGTTACAGTTTTAATAAATATGATCTCCAGATCCAATCTATCTGACGTTTTCCCATGATAACTCCTGGTATGTATTATAAGTAGGTATTGCACCACACTCATTAAAAAATGTCGCCCATTTTGGTATTTAAATGTCTATCCCATATTCTAATTGTAAGTAATTCTATGCCTAGCTCCAAGTTTCTATACCTACATAAAGTCCCAGTGTATATGTTTAAATGTCTGCAGGCTTTCCAATCAATACCTAGTAATAATCTTGACAGACAACAATTATACAAAGTCTTATATATAAAGACTTATACCATATACGGAACTTGGGTCCTATACTGATTTGACAGACAGAATTATACAAAGACTTATACCATATACAGGGCCTGGACCCTATACTGATGTGACAGACAGAATTATACAAAGACTTATACAGGACCTGGGCCCTATACTGATGTGACAGACAGAATTATACAAAGACTTATACAGGACCTGGGTCCTATACTGATGTGACACACAGAATTATACAAAGACTTATACCATATACAGGACCTGGACCCTATACTGATGTGACAGACAGAATTATACAAAGACTTATACAGGACCTGGACCCTATACTGATGTGACAGACAGAATTATACAAAGTCTTATACCATATACAGGACCTGGACCCTATACTGATGTGACAGACAGAATTATACAAAGACTTATACAGGACCTGGGCCCTATACTGATTTGAAACACAGAATTATACAAAGATTTATACAATATACAGGACCTGGGCCCTATACTAATGTGACAGACAGAATTATACAAAGACTTATACAGGACCTGGGCCCTATACTGATTTGACAGACAGAATTATATAAGATTTATACCATATACAGGACCTGGACCCTATACTGATGTGACAGACAGAATTATACAAAGACTTATACAGGACCTGGGCCCCATACTGATGTGACAGACAGACTTATACAAAGACTTATACAGGACCTGGGCCCTATACTGATTTGAAACACAGAATTATACAAAGACTTATACAATATACAGGACCTGGATCCTATACTGATGTGACAGACAGAATTATATAAGATTTATACCATATACAAGACCTTGGCCCTATACTGCTGTGACAGACAGAATTATACAAAGACTTATACAGGACCTGGGCCCTATACTGATGTGACAGACAGAATTACACAAAGACTTATACGGGACCTGGGCCCTATACTGATGTGACAGACAGAATTATGTAAGATTTATACCATATACAAGACCTTGGCCCTATACTGATGTGACAGACAGAATTATACAAAGACTTATACAGGACCTTGGCCCTATACTGATGTGACAGACAGAATTATACAAAGACTTATACCATATACAGGACTTGGGCCCTATACTGATGTCCTAAAACTTATATACTTGCAGAAGGTACAAACAGCTAACACAAAATACTACCCAAACACATGATTCAAATGAAATCTGTTCACTGAGATCACACCAACCAAAATACAACTCTATCATTTCAGAACTTTTTTTTCTGGTTGGTTATGTAAATAGAATAGAAGTTCTTATAACACAATCCTCTACTTGTTGTGTTATAAGAACTTCCATTTTACAGAGTGTTAGTGTAAGTGTTAGTCTGATAAAGGATCAGAATTGTCTGAGACCAACATTGATATTTTGATCTTGTAGGACACTGTATATATTGTGCATCCATTAACCAGGACTAATTATCAAGTTCCTAAATATAATTCCTATATATAAACTACATGTAACATTTACAGGTATAAATATATTCTTTTCTTCAAAAATATGACTACATACTTAGGTCAACAAGTTCTGCTATTAACAGTTGTACTGACAGTAAAAGGCCTATGTGTTTAACAGTTTTACTAACAGTAAAAGGTCTATGTGTTTAACAGTTTTACTAACAGTAAAAGGCCTATGTGTTTAACAGTTTTACTAACAGTAAAAGGCCTAACAGTAAAAGGCCTATGTGTTTAACAGTGTTACTAACAGTAAAAGGCCTAACAGTAAAAGGCCTAACAGTAAAAGGCCTATGTGTTTAACAGTTTTACTAACAGTAAAAGGCCTAACACTAAAAGGCCTATGTGTTTAACAGTGTTACTAACAGTAAAAGGCCTAACAGTAAAAGGCCTAACAGTAAAAGGCCTATGTGTTTAACAGTGTTACTAACAGTAAAAGGCCTAACAGTAAAAGGCCTAACAGTAAAAGGCCTAACAGTAAAAGGCCTATGTGTTTAACAGTGTTACTAACAGTAAAAGGCCTAACAGTAAAAGGCCTATGTGTTTAACAGTGTTACTAACAGTAAAAGGCCTAACAGTAAAAGGCCTATGTGTTTAACAGTGTTACTAACAGTAAAAGGCCTATGTGTTTAACAGTGTTACTAACAGTAAAAGGCCTAACAGTAAAAGGCCTAACAGTAAAAGGCCTATGTGTTTAACAGTGTTACTAACAGTAAAAGGCCTAACAGTAAAAGGCCTAGGTGTTTAACAGTGTTACTAACAGTAAAAGGCCTAACAGTAAAAGGCCTATGTGTTTAACAGTGTTACTAACAGTAAAAGGCCTAACAGTAAAAGGCCTAGGTGTTTAAGATCTGTTGATGGATTGTATAGTCATCAAATAAAATTGCTGGTTAATACATCCTGGTAGGGAAAGACAGAACTAACACAACATAAAAATCATGACAAATACCTAGTGAGATTGTGATAATTTTACATTTGAAAAATAATGAACAAAATATATTACAGAATCTAGTGAACTGTTAATCCCACATCTCTCTAGTATAACTTTATTTAGGTCACAACAATGGAGAGACAAGCTGATAAATCACTTGGTCCATATTGAAACCCATCAGAGATCTTCCTTTGAGAACCAAACACACAGGAAAAACTCACATGCTCTATGGCAAGTGACAGAATATTGCTTCAACGCCAATATTCTACATCAAAAACAGGAATAAAACACTGGTTACCTAGGTGACAGGCAAGTGAGTGCATCAACAAATGTAACCCACCATGTTGATCTGAACTCCCAATGGGAAATCTGTCCTTTATATAATCTACTTTGCTATATCATGGAATGTAGTATAGAAAATGCAGTCCTGAATAAATTCTCATACAGTGTTATCAATATATTTCACTTCTTTTGAATTAATTTTTTCTACATAAGTTCAAAATATGTTGAAATTGTGTTGAGAATGGCTTGTCTAATATCACAGTATAACCCCATTTCAAGGAGAAGTCCTAGTGTTCAGTGATATCTACTTACATTGTTGTACGTATCAATATAAGACAGCCAATATACAGATAGGTATCCACTATATATTGTAACTTATACCGGTATATCAAA